CGAGGGTTGGATCCCCATCCGCGACCTGTCATTCGTAAAAACCGGATCCCCCTTTAAATAATCCTGGATCCGCCCCTGCACAAAAACGTATCCATGGACACACACACAGTTTTATTTCAGTTTATAAATAACACATAGAAAAACAAACTCTCGAAATAGGAGTACAATTTCCACGGCCAGCGTCCCTGCTTGATTTCAAGGACATCTCACGTGGCCCCTGCGACTCGCAAGGCATGCGCAGACTTGCGCCTTTCCATTGAAACTACTACCTCTACTAACTCCACGGTCTCCCGTGTACCCAAAATTCGTGGGGAACGTACGGTCCTAAAATCCATGCGTCCGGTTGTGACCGAGCCTTAAGTAGTGATATGATACATGTAGCATGACTAACCATTTAAATGTTATCTAAGATCTTTCACAACGACTGTGAAGAACTAGGCTACTAGTGGTAGAAAAAAGGTCCACTACACTTTTCAGTGGTCTATATGCTTACAGCAAAGTCAACATCAAATTTAACTATGCAGAACAGGCAATACAGATGTAAGTAAAATGTGTACCTAGCAAAAGGCTTCAGGACCATCAAAGTTCAAGTTCACACTTTGAAAATGTCAGAATGTGAAAAATGACAATTTCACAAACACACACACACACACACAAAATTGCATAAATTGAAGAAAAAGAATGATAATCACTGAAAGTGCACGGCGACGGCGACGACAGACGCAAGTGACTGTAGTATCCCCATAAATATTCATGTGTGGCATGTGATCACGACGTGTATGCCTACTATTAAGTATCCACGTGTCGTGAAATAAAGCACGTCAGTGTGTATGCAAGTAAGCATTGCGTTTTTCCGGACTTCTGCCATGAAATGCGACATTGGGATTTTCCAAATTAAGGCCAGCACAAAGCTGATCGATATTTTCGATTTATCCAGGTGTGTGTCGCAATAAAGACACCTGTCTGATTTTTCCATGAGTCATATATGAGCCTTGACTCAGTGGAAAAACCTGCGTAGGTGTAATTTGCCTTTTGTGAGGAGCACCGTGTCACAATAAAATACGTAGATCTTTAGTAAAAAATTTCACTTTCCATCTATCTGGTCTCTTGGGTGGCAGTATATCAAGATTCGAGTGCGCGAGCCACGTTCAAGTTAGATTTAATCGGGCTGGTGTTTGGAAATCTGAGCACGACTGATGAAAAATGGGTCTTGGACATACTAAAGGATTTACTGTAGAAATCGAAAATCAAACGCCACACGAATTGCATTTATGTAATCCTCATAATATCGTCCAAGTAACAGGCGTGCAACCTACTGTTACTGCCTCCATACTGCCCGGCACAGTAGTCCAACAGGCCATAGAAAGTCATGGACATCAAGATGCAAGCTTTGGGGCACATGTGGAAAAAATCCAATATGTAGTTCAGAAGTACCAAAGCACTGCATCGGAGAACAGATCGTTTCAGATCGAAAGTGCAAGCACAAGTGCTGCTGCGCAGAATGCTTTACATGATGATCATTCCGGTTGGGTTTTTCGTCTGGAATTATGTGCCGCCTATTACAAGAAAAATGCTTTCTATGTCGTCGAAATAATAGACAAAACTGACCGGATTCGTGCAAGAGAAGTGTTTAGGGAGTATAATGCTTTGGAACATCGTCGCAAAAATTACAGAAATTGTACCGTGCGTCCCATTCCAGCCAGTGGTGACTGCCCCTTCGCAGTAGATATGACAGTCAGCGAGAATCCGCGTAGGAATCTCGGTTGGTGGACCGTGCGTCTATGCTTTAGAGAACGCTTGATGTAAGTACACTGTAAGTACCCTTAGCTGTTTGGATTGTTCATTGGACCATCTGACATTTATCAGAATGCTTATTTATACGTATCGTTATAACCTACGTCAGTGCGATTTTAATATATTTTGAGTGAGAAACCCTACTGATACAGAGTTGGACAAATAAAATGCATTTTTGTAAACAACCCACAAAACATTCAACTAATTTCTCCTGCATGAGCTTGGTGTGACAAGAGAACGAAACTACATGAAAAATCCACAAGATTCATTGAAAGACCGAAAAAGGGCTCTTGCTATGAGCACATGTGAAAGCAAATTTTAATCAAAACTTAGACGTGTGCCCTATTTCTGAACAATATCAATCCAACATAATTTACACTGAAGAAAAAAGATTACTACAAGGTAATCTGTGAATACAATGTAGATTGAATGCGACTGGTCAAACCCGTTTACATTTATAGGTGTATTGCCAATCCAGCTTGCATCGTAGAAAGACTACGTTTTGCGTTCGGCGTTTGGAAAGCGTGCAGAACAGCTACAGTACGAAAACTACTAGAAATCTCCGAAGATTTGCACCTTCATAATCAAAGCATTAGTGTCGCCACAATCACGGGTCATTCCACTTCAATATTTGCCGCAGCAATTGGCGCTGCAGGATTTGCCGCTTCATTCTTTACCTCAGGGGCATCTCTCATTTTATTAGCGGCCAGTGCCGCATTAGGAGCGGGTGGCGGGATAACTGTGAGTGGCAGCACCATCGCTCGCTCTGTTCTCTCAGCATCAGCGCAAGCGGAGGCCAATGAGGTCTTACAAAAAGATCACAATGCATTACATGACATATTGGTTCTGTTTGAGACTATGAAACACATAAGCAGACAGGATCTTATGAAAATCAAACAGCAATTCAAGATGCACAACGTCCCCAGAAAAGGTATAATATTATCTACAATGCAACACACGGGTAAAATTGGATTCCTTGTGGGTTCTAATCTCTTGTATAAACCAATCATCACAGCACAGAAACTGGCTGGGGAACTGACCGCAGTGAGCACTCGGTCAATTACCAAAACTGGACGTTCAGTGGCCACATCAGGCGGGGAAGATTTGCTCGAACTGTTTTTACGGGCAATAGGTATCCAGGTACCGAGAAATGTTTTAGAATCTGCCGGTGGAATAATTGCCCTGGTGTTTTTGCCTTTTGATATCTGGGGCCTTGTTGAGGCTGCTGCCATATTGGCTAGTGACAGGGGGACTGACATAACTGAGTTGTTGCAACGTACTGCCAAAGCCCTTGAGAAAGAAATACCGAGCCAGCAAGATTTTGATGTCCTGGTTCACAGGTACCTAAGCAGCATTTAGGACATTGTGTATATTTCCCCCATCTGGGCTAATTCAGTTATAACGTAGGCCTACTCACAGAAATGCAATGATATATGCGATGTTTCATCTAGTGAAATGGGTTTTTATAATATTTAAAATCGAGTGACTAGCTATAGTACTGTAAAAAGTCAATTGGTACCAGCTATTTAAGGTAGCTAGGCCTTGTGTACCTCTACAGCGTAGATTTCACAGCTAGTTGTTAACTATCATGAAATATATTGTATAAGAAAATGGACTAGACTGTAGACACATACACGTTTTGTTCTAGTAGATCATGTAGAATTTTTGTTTATTTGAAAATAACATAATTTTTAAATCAACAAAGATATTTAAATGTGAAACTGTAAAAAGGATTTACCCTTTGAATTATATGTATTGACTGATACCTGAAGCATTTGACAAAAATAAACATGCATTATTGCTTCTAAATGTCAACATGTATTAAACAATACGTTTATGCACTTTTTTAATACGCTTTTGATCACTTCTGCACTTACATATTTATCGATGGTCCAGAATGTATGACAAACTTAAAGTACTTGTTACATAAAATGGTAATGAATGGATATACTTTAAGAAAACTTGATAACATAATGTGCGCATGGTTTTATTTCTCTACATTTGAAGAATAAGAAGTGTGCGGTTCAGATTTAAATAGAATCTTTTTTATACCATTATATACATTTCCTGGTTAATAAACACAATACATCATGATACTTGGGATAGTAAGCATAAATTGATACTATAATTGATTCCAAGACAACGTATTTTTCTTGCTTTTTTTACACCTGTCAACCCTGATCAAGAATCGTAAAATGCTATATTAAAGAAACGGGGGTTTTCCAGCCATCTGTCGTGTCATGTGACACTGGGATTTTCCAAAGCGATTTTGATTGCTAGTGACGTGGTTTGTCACCAGCTTACACCTACGCGGGTTTTTCCCGAGCTACAGCTAAAATCAGTAACATGTTTTTATACCCCAAATACCAGTATGTTTGCATTTACTTTGTAGCCGCCACACCCGTTGACATGTGCTCATACTTGGCATATGCAATGTCAAATGGTAATAGAATTATAGTGGAAGCAAGAAACCTAAAACCTTTAACAAGATCAAGAATCCAAACTCTCGAGCATTTGACAACCATTTTGACCAACGTTACCAATGTCTAATAAAAAATTACAGACAGCCTTAGTGTATAAAGACGTTTGCTTCCGATCAATGTTTTTTTAATATAAAAAAATCGCTGGAAAGTGATGTCAAGTTTTTCTAAGGTCATTTTTCTAGGGTCTGCAAAACAACTTATCATCCTCATCAAAGTCAATTATTGTATACTATAAAATGCATTGCGTTCGAAATCCTGTTCTGACCCATAAGTTACGGCAAACAATGTATTTCAAACATTGTAATCTCCAACTCGACGAAAGCCGACTGCGAGACCATTGATTAAAAGAAGATGCCATTAACAAGCTATCGGAATGTACATATACTTTAATCCGATTTTTTTTACCACTGTGTAAGCACAGCTCAGCGCACTGCTATTGGGACACTGGGGTTTCCCATCTCCATGGTTACCAGGTACGTGTGTCTCGATACAACATGTAGGACATAGGCCTACGTCCGGAAATATGTGAAAAAACATGAATATGAAAAGTAGACAAAGATTTAACATTNCACATATTGGAACCAAATGCGGAGAGAGAGACAAGGCACGAGAGCAGTTACAACAATACATAAATTTCCTACGGTACCCCACCTCTCTCTCTATCTCTCTCAATGAAAGTGCACGCACCGGTGACGACAGACGCAGGTGGCTGTATAGTATCCTCATAAATATTCATGTGTGGCATGTGATCACGACGTGTATGCCTACTATTAAGTATCCACGTGTCGTGAAATAAAGTCAGTGTGTAGGCCTATGCACGTAAGCAGTGCGTTAGCGTTCTGAGTTACAACAAAAATATCACAGCGACGATATATACAGAGACACCTGTGCCTGTACATAACAATGGAACGACCTTCATTGTATATTCCCCCCCCCCCCGTCCACACACACACACACACACACACACGTACTCACAGGTCGATCACATACTTTCTACTGGAAATGATTTATCTCACAGTCTCCATAACCATGATTATGAGACAAGCACGGCGCAATCTTTACTGTTATTTAAGCTCCTAGAAACTGGTTTTTCCAAACATCTGCCATGTAATGTGACACTGGGATTTTCCAAATTTATGCCAGAACAAAGCTGATCGCTATTTCCAACGTAACCAGGTGTGTGTCGCAATATAGCTGTTTTCCCCATTGTATGATTCTGTGGGAAAAACCTGCGTAGGTGTAATTTGCCTCGCTTTGTGAGAAGCGGCGTGTCATCAGCTTCTCTATCGAGTCACAATAAATTACTAAGATTTGTAGGATAATTTCACTTTACTTCTACCTAATCTGGTATTTTTGGTGACAGTATATAAAGATCTGAATACGCGACCCACGTTTAAGTTAGATTTAGTCGGGATGGTGTTTGGAAACCTGAGCACGACTGATGAGAAATGGGTCTTGGACATACTTCAGGATTTACTGTAGAAATCGAAAATGAAACGCCACACGAACTGCATTTACGCGATTCTCATACTATCGACCGCAGAACAGGCGTGTCACCTACTGTTACTGCCTCCATACTGCCAGGCACAGTAGTCCAACAGGCCATAGAAAGTCATGGTTGTCAAGATGCAAGCTATGGGGCACATGTAAGAAATATTCAATATGCCGTTCAGCAGTACCAAAGCAACGCAGCGGAGAACAGATCGTTACAGATGGAGAATGAAAGCACTAGTACTGCTGTGCAGAGTGCTTCACACGATGGTCATCCCGGTTGGGTTTTTCGTCTGCAATTATGTGCCGCCTATTACAAGAAAAATGCTTTCTATGTCGTAGAAATAATAGACCCAAATGGCCAAATTCGTGCAAGAGAAGTGTTTAGAGAGGATAATGCTTTGAAGTACCGTCGCCAAACGGACGAAAATTGCAACGTGAATCCCATAGCAGCCAGTGGTGACTGTCCCTTCGCAGTGGATATGACTGTCAGCGAGAATCCGCGTAGGAATCTCGGTTGGTGGAGCGTGCGTCTCTGCGTAAGAGAACGCTTGATGTAAGTACACTGTAAGTAAACCTAGCTGTTTGGATTGTATCGTGTCCATTGAGCTATCTGACATTTATCATGAATGCTTATTAACACATATTGTTATAAACTACGTCAGTGGGATTCTAATTATTTTGAGTGAGATACACTGCTAGTAGAGAATTGGACGCAAAGTGCACTTTTGTAAACAACCCACAAAACACTTGACTGAATTCTCCTGCATCAGCTTGGTGTGACAAGAGAACGATACTGCATGTAATATCCTCAAGATTCATTGAAAGATCGAAAAGGATATTGCAATAAGCTCAAGTTAAAACAATTTACATCTGACTTAGACGTACGTGCGTCATACCTCTGAAAAAATATCAATCCAACATAATTTACGCCGAAGAAAAACAATTGCTGAAAGGTAATCTGCGAATACATTTGTTCACTGAATGTGACTGATCAAACCTGTTTACATTTATAGGTGCATTGCCAATCCAGCTTCCTTCGTAGAAAGACTACATTTTACGTTCGGTGTTTGGAAAGCGTGCAGGACAGCTACAATACGAAAACTACGAGACATCTCAGACGATTTGCACCTTCACAATCAAAGCATTAGTGTCGCCACAATCACGGGTCATTCTACTTCAATATTTGCCGCAGTACTCGGCGCTGCAGGGTTTGCCGCTTCATTCTTTACCTCAGGGGCATCTCTCATTTTATTAGCGGTCAGTGCCGCATTCGGCGCGGGTGGTGGGATAACTGTGAGTGGCAGCACCATCGCTCGCTCTGTTCTCTCAGCATCAGCGCAAGCAGAGGCCAATGAAGTTTTACAAAAAGATCACAATGCATTACGTGACATATTGATTCTGTTTGAGACTATAAAACACATAGGCAGACAGGATCTTATGAAAATCAAACAGCAATTCAAGATGCACAACGTCCCCAGAAAAGGTATAATATTATCTACAATGCACCACGCGGGTAAAATTGGATTCCTTGTGGGTTCTAATCTCTTGTATAAACCAATCATCACAGCACAGAAACTGGCTGGGGAACTGACCGCAGTGAGCACTCGGTCAATTACCAAAACTGGACGTTCAGTTGCCACATCAGGCGGGGAAGATTTGCTCGATCTGTTTTTACGGGCAATAGGTATCCAGGTCCCGAGAAATGTTTAAGATTCTGTCGGTGGAATCATTCCACTGGTGTTTTTGCCCTTTGATATCTGGGGCCTTGTTGAGGCTGCTGCCATAGTGGCTAGTGACAGGGGGACTGAGATAACCGAGTTATTGCAACGTACTGCCAAAGCCCTTGAGAAGGAAATACCGAGCCAGCAAGATTTTGATGTCCTGGTTCACAAATACCTTAGCAGCATTTAGGAAATTGTGTATCTTTCCACCATCTGAGCTCATTCAGTTGTAACGTACTCACAAAAATACGATGAGATATATGCGATGTTTTATCTAGTGAAATGGGTTTTTATAATATTTAAAATCGAGTAACTAGCTATAGTGCTGTAAAAAGTCATTCGTTACCAGGAAAATACACATATTAACAGAATTATGTTATTCTCAAATAAACAGAAATTCTACATGATATAGTGGGGGGCCTACTAGTACAAAACGTGTATGTGTATTTTCCATTGTCTACAGTCTAGTCCATTTCCTTATACAATATATTTATGATAGTTAACAACTAGATGTGAAAGCTACACTGTAGAAGTACACAAGGCCTACCTTAAAAAACGGAGAACGGGGGTTTTCCAGCCATCTGCCGTGTCATGTGACACTGGGATTTTCCAAAGCAATTTTGATTATATTGCTAGTGACGAGGTTTGTCACCAGCTTACAGTACACCTACGCGGGGTTTTCCCCCGCTACAGCCAAAGTTAGTAACATGTTTTTATATCCCAAATACCAACATGTTTACATTTACTTTGTAGCTGCCACACCATGTGGACATGTGGTCATACTTGGCATTTGCAATGTCAAATGGTTAAGAATTATAGTGGAAGCAAGAAACCTAAAACCTTTAACAGGATCAAGAATCCAAACTCTCGAGCACTTGACAACCATTTTGACCAATGTCTAAAAAAAAAATACAAACAGCTAGCATATAAAGACGTTTGCTTAAGATCAATGTTTCTTTTATGTCAGAAAAGTTGCTGAAAACTGATATCAACTTTTTCTGCGCCTCGGTCAATGTCACTTTTCTAAGGTCTGCAAAACAACATATCGTCCTCTGTCAAAGTCAATTACTGTAGGCCTATACTATAAAATGCATTGCGAAACCCTGTTTTGACCGATAAGTTACGGCAAATACCGTATTTCAAAAATTGTAATCTCCAACTCGACGAAAGCCGACTGCGAGATTTTTTTTATTAAAAGACGATGACATTAATAAGCTGTTGGGGTGTCCATAGATTTCAATCCGATTTTTTACCACCATGTAAGCACAGCAGCGCACTGCAATATTGATCAGCGGTGGATCTACATGTANCTCGTTTTTCTATTTTTTCTCATAAATTGACGGCCATATTGAAAAATGCTCAAGGTCTCGGAAATAGCAACCAAGCTAATTTTGCTTCTCTCGACCTAAGGAATGCATTTCAGCGAAAAAAGTTTACAGGAAAAAACATTGCAGGGTTAGCGTTCTGGCTACTCGACTACTACGGCCCGTGGGCCCTACATGTAGGATATAGGCCTACTTCCGGAAATATGTTTAAAAAAAAACATGAATATGAAAAGGAGACCAAGATTTAACAATGCGTTGTTAAACATTTTTTTAAATAATAATAAATTTGATAGGAAAAAACATCCTGGTCGGTTATGCCGTTTTGCCTGCAAATTCCGAGTAAGCACATTATACTGTAGGAACCAAATGCGGAGGGAGTGACAAGGCGCGAGAGCAGTTACAAGTCTTAAGTTTCCTACCCCCACCTCTCTCTCTCTCTCTCTCTCTCTCTCTCTCTCTCTCTCGTCATTTTGGGAAGACAGAGCTCTGACACTAGAGGGAAATGAAACAGAGTTCGATACGTTGGGACTTTTTTCAATAATTTACTTGATTTAAGTCACAACATCACTTCCATTCACGTTTCGAAAAAAAAACAAACCCCAAAACACATAGCCTACAAACTACCGCCCGACAAGAAAAAAATGTGAACAACGAATATATAGGCCTCATAGTTTGCAATCTCAAAGATTATTATTATTATTATTATTATTTATATAGCACAAACCTTTCTCCTTGCAGATTTTTGTTAAATGACATATTTACTAGCACCTGAACTCGCTGCGCCATCTATAAGCGACTGGCTTGTGTTGCCGTTTGGATTTTCAGTATTTCTCGTGGCCTGTGATGCCGTTTCCTCCATCTTCTGACCTGACCTTCTTCTAAAGCCAAGGCAAGATTCATCGTCGATTCTCAAATATTGAAATTGGCATTAGAAATTACAATGAATGCATTTAGCGTGAATGATTTACTAACAATGTTACACTATCTCTTCAGATGTTTCACTATCTCCAGGGGCGGATCCAGAGATATTTTCTGACAGTCCAAATTATCTTTATTGATCCAACCTCCATTTTTGACCGTCTTCCAACAGAAAAAAAAAAATATCCGTCATGGCCGTCAATGTAAACTTGAAAATCTGACCGTCTTCCAGAAGACCCAGAAGACGGCCTAAATCCGCCCCTGATCTCTTTCCTTCAAGTTCTTTTGACAGAAACACACATCTTGACACCCACTGCCATCTATGAGCCATTACACCTATGAAAACAAGTGCACGCTGCACTCGTCGTACTAGTATGCAAGCAGGTCCTAGGATGATTTTTGTCACGGTGTTTTCTCAGAAATCCTGATATGGCATCGTCAACCAAGTTAAGACATATACTCATCACAGGACCACCAGGTAAGTCGTAGCGCTAATAATTACATCTATACTTTAGAAGTACAGAAATACGCTTCATTTTGTATTTTGTATGTCACAGAACTTAAAGCCAGGCTCATGCTTGTAGCTAAATATCAATCATATTAATATCGTTAAATTATAAAAAATTGTGTATAATGTAACAGAAATGCAAATAAATAAATAAATAAGTAAATAATAAAAATAAAAATAAATAAATAAATAAAAATATGCATTGATATGAGAAAATGCAGATACTTGCATCCAAGTAAAATTATCAGTGTGAGAAAAATTTACTAATATACTACAACAGCAGAGTAGTGCTGGTACATGTACTTATGTACATGCAACTGAAAACTGCATGTAGATTATATATCTAATTTTTAAATTAATTTCTCTTTGTCAGGAGTAGGGAAGACTACTCTTGTTCGCAAGGTATGTGACAGCCTAAAACAATCTGGTGTGGCCTTACAAGGGTTTTACACAGAAGAAGTCAGAGCTGAAGGGAGAAGAATCGGTTTTGATGTGATCACTCTACATGGAATCAGAGCACCTTTGTCTAGAGTAAAGTAAGTCAAGTCATGGCATATATTATTTTACTTACTTTTCCTCCCCATATCTAGGTTACAGACCATTAGCTATATATTATGTACTGAGTAAAGGTTTTCTGTTTTATTTTTAATTAACAGTACATGAAAATATCAACAACAAGACCTTATAAAATTGTTTTAACTTAAATAGGCATTTTCAAGATCTTCAGTGCATAATCTGTGTAAAAGAAACCAGTTTAAAAAAAGAACTATAATTTCTTTATCCTTCAGAGTAATTGAAAAATGGAACAGCCTACCTGACAGTTTGCTAATGCACCATCACTAATGGCTTTCCATAGTTTACTTTACAAGAACTGGAACAGAAATTTTATTCTTTGGAACCATCTTTCAGGATAGTTATTGTGACTAAGAAGTCTACTAGTATTGCTAAAAAAAGTAATGCTTGCAATGGTCTCTGACCTATAGAATTGGCATGGTTATAATTAGATTTGAAAATGTCATGTCATATTCCATCTTTTCTACAGTTTGAGCTTACATTTCCAGGGCTGACCAGCCTGGTGGTAAGAGGGAGCTAAGGGTCGGTCAGTATGTGGTGGACATTGCATCATTTGAACAGACAGCACTCACTGCTCTAAGGCTAAAGGTACACGTACGCAACCAGCTTTACTTATGTGTGAATTTTTCTTTTTAACAAAGTATGGATTTTTAAGATTAGTTCATAATTTACTAATTTTATTGTTTTCCTCAAAATGACTCTAGTTGGGAGACTTACTGTACTGAAAAACTCCAGAACTCCATCCATCAATTCTGCCAATGATAATTCTGTGTCAATACTGTAAAGTATGCGATTTTCACTCGGCATTAACAACACTAGCAGACTTAGTAACAGAAAACAAGAGTGCTAAAGACAGAACAAACTGGATAACTTATTCACAATTAATGAAAATCACAAAACTAGCATTGTTGTGATGCACACAAAGTTATTTTTTCTGTGATTATTTTCAATGAAAGGAAGTAAGGAATATTACGTCTTACATTCATCTTGTGGTAATAGTCAACTACTATTTTTTTTAATTTAATTTAGTGGCTTCTGTTTCAGGATACAGGGCAGTGTGTTATGGTTATTGATGAAATTGGAAAAATGGAAATGTTTAGTCAGCCATTTATTCAGTTGGTGAGAAGTTTATTTAGTAATCCTCAAGTCACAGTTTTTGCAACAATTCCAATAGCCAAAGGCAAACCAATTCACCTAGTGGAAGAACTGAGAAAGAGACATGATGCCAAATTATTCGAGGTGAGATATGCTAACATCATGTTACAAGTCAAGCTGAGTTTGCTCAACTTCTGAATTTTAGTCAATTTGAATGTCAAATAATAAGATTACTTTTGAAAATTATATCAAGGAAAACAGCATGACTTTAAGGTGCCTGAAATATTTATGAAGTAATTTATTTTCTTTGCAACTTCTTTATTGACCTTTTCTTCTCAGGTCTCAAAATCCAACAGGGATGTCTTAGAGGAAGATATCAAATCTGCAGTCAAGGTGGCATTAAGTTGTGAATAATCATAGGTGGCATGACAAAGTTCGACACAGACTCAACACAACTTTGTAGTGAAAACTAAATTTCTGTGGGACAAGTTATGTGACTTTCTTAGACTGATCACACCCATTATAAGCAGTCTATGTACCCTCTACCGTACTAAGCTCTTCTCTATGCTAGCAGTTACAAAATTGTATGAAAGGGAAATACAAAGGGTATGTCTGTGAGAAACATGGACCATCTGATCACCTCAAAGAGAACAGGGGTCTTTTGTACAATTTCGTAACAGTTAAAGACCTCTGAGAGGGTAATCTTCAACGCTCAGATTTTTTGTTCTATGCAGCTCACCAGACAGTGTCATGCAGTATTGCAGCATGAGAAACCCTCCTACAATAAAAAATACATACAGGTATTTTTTATGTTATGAGATGCTTTATATCTACTTTATATCAACCACTCAATGACGCAATGATTTCTTTATTTCAATAGTATGCAAAAAATAATTTCCATTGTCATCAACTACTAGCCCTAGGTTGCCCATAGGGATGCCTCTACCATCAAGAATATTCATGAAGCATGTTCTTATTGGGACACAAGTTCTACCTTAAGAACATGCAAAACAGTCTCAAATGGTTATGTAAATGGATAAGCCATTTGCCAACTCGGATTTGAACCACGATTTCATAGCAGGAATGTAAAATTAGCAGCCACGAGCACAAGGCTATGAAAGCTGGCCAAAAACGGTCACCTACCTGTTCCATATACACACGCTGGAGATTGTTGAGAGCTCATTGCTGCATTACCGTATTAATATACAGTATGGATAGTAGATTATAGGAATACTTAAGTTTGATTTGCTTGGTGCTTTTTATTGTTTTTCTTTGTTATTTTTTCTAAAGATAAAGTAAATCCATGAAAACATATATGCAAGTTGGTGGAAACTGTCATCAAAAGAGCTTACATGCTGTTTTTGGTATCTTTGCCGTATTGCAAATAGTCCTGGGTTTAATAAAGGAAGCCACATGTGAACAGCCAGAGACCTGGATGAAAGCTGGACAAATCGCCAGCCCTTTTTGACGCTGTGCTTGTGGCTACTAATATTACATCGAGCACTGAAATTGTGCCTCTAATTGTCAATTTTGGCATTCGTGCTCCCAACTCTAAGGCTCTTGATAGTAAATGGTATTTAAAATTGAAGACAGATATGCCTGAAGCATCATTGTTTGATTTGTATTGTTTACAATCTTAGTGTACACTTTAATACCCATAAGTCAACGATGGCCTGAGATCAATAGATTTCTTCAATAACTTGTATCACTATTTTATTACCATGGTAACACCGTAATTAATCATAGAGGATTTCTCCATCTTCTTTCGTGAAAAAAGGAAACTGACCAACGATGGGATAATAAGGTAGACAAACTGTGCTTGGATCTAAGGGACCCCCCCCCCCAAAAAAAAAAAATAATAATAATAAATGAATAAATAAATAAATATATGAAAAAAAATTGTGTTTACAATAATTTTGCGATTACATCGACTTATTTTGCTGACATTTCTAATATAATCTGATGATTCTCAAGGTCTGTTTGTAATTATCTACTTGGTCATGTTTCCATCTGTGGGATACCATCAGAAATACAATTTACACAATTACTTTAACTTCTGAATTTTCAGGAACTTCACACAACTGTTTCAAGAGAGCTAGGTAATCTTAACTGTAAATTAAAAGTATTAAATGGCTGGAAACATAGTATATCAGTTTCAGCTGTTTTTCCTATGCAATCTTGGTAACTGCCAATGGGACGTTATTTTCTGTGAATCCATTCAATGAGATATATATAATGGAAGATCAGATGAAGTGTTATGAAAATGGAAGGAAAATCCTATTCAGTTCTGTTGATGTTGAAATGTTGATCTAAAACATGCTCAGCAGTGAATTTGCATATGCCATGGGCTTGACGTTTGGATGTGGCTGCAAAAGAAAAAGAAAAGCTAGTCCAGTAAATAATATATTTATGGTGCAAAAACCATTACAGAATAGCAACAATATTTAATTGATTCAACTGACAGTTTTAACTTGAATGATCTCTCCCTATCTAAACTGATATGGTTTTATTAGTGTAACTTCTTTCAGACAAATATTCTTTATCCTAAAATAAGTATCTATTCACAAGTAATAAAGTGATAACGATAATGCAGTAAAAGCTGGCACACTTCACTTACCACAGCCTCATAGGATGTAAACTGTGGAGTAAGATCATCTCCTCGTATAACTATAAATGCCCCCTTGTTACCCATGGTATCACTGAAACATCGATGTCAGTTTTGAATTGTAAATTTATTTGCATGGCTATAAAATCACATGACTGGTTACATGGATAAAGCTGAATACTATATGAATGATTTTTTTTTATTTTTATTGCCTTAATCCCACAACTAAGTAGCTTGTATCACCTTAATACCTTACATTACAGGCACACACCACCCCAAGTAACTAATAATTTCCCACCTTCCAACCAACTTACCAGTAATTAGGTGCTGAGAAAACGGTGATGCACTTTCCATCATGTGCAACTTCATAACCTTCATTTTTCACCTCATGGCTTCTGACAATATATTCAAGGTTATTGTTCTCAAGGAATTTTTTTGTGACGTCTGGACCAAACTGACAGCCGACCCCTCTCTTGCTGGCTGACCTACCTGGCTGGGGCTGTGGATCAGACCAAAGCAGGTCACACATAATACCTGGAACACAGTTAGCATATCAAGGTATTTCCCCACTGCTTACAAATCTCTCACTCCATTAAAAATAGTCAACTGCATCTTGACATATAAATATACTCAGTTTGCTGGTTAATAGTCCACAAGGTGCCAGCTGGGAAGATCTTAAAAACTGCCGCAAACTACCCCAAAAAAATTGTCTAATTAATTTGACTCTGTATCTTTAATTCCACTAGCTATGCTTTTAATGAAGGTCAGTTTTGTTACCTGAATCTGGAGGTTGTCTGTTTCTGTCTGTTTTCCTGATGTCATCCAATGTCACATTGTCTTCGCTGAATAGTCCTCCATGCATTGCCTTAACAGTTAGATTACAGTCACTTAATCATGTTTTAATCATAACATTAAAATATTATGGACAAGATAAAAGTTCTAAAACTTACCGATGTGTATTTTACATATGTCCTTCTGAGATAGGCTTGCCTCAAGATAAAACTCTGTTTTTCACATAGGCTACCAATTTCTTCATGTTAACTCATCATTAATGAAACTTAAGAGAACTAACAAACCCTACATTTCTATCTGTACTGTAGGACAATGGAATGTTTGTTAAGTATTACAGGGTGAGCAACTTACTAAAATCTTTTCATTTATCAGGTGGGATAGAGGTAGCCAGTTGAAAACTTCTGTGAACAGTTCTGCCATTTGATTAGTATACTTTGCTTTCACTTCTCCATCAAAACCATACATCTGGTTCATTGTCTCACTCTCATGATTTCCTGGTAAACAAAATTATGTTATGGTATTAGAATAATATTCTTAAAAGCAACAATTGTAAAATACATGCACATTTCAAGCAAAATAATTAAGAAAATGAAGCATTCCTTTTAAATACAGAAAAAAAAACTTACCTCTTGACATATAAAAATGACTGGGATATAAAAGTTTAAATCCCCATAATGTAAGTATACACTCGACGGAAAAGGAGCCTCTGTCAACAAAATCTCCATTAAACAGCTGAGCAACAGTCAAGGTTTATAATACATCAATACAGGGGTTTCTTTAAAATATATAATTTCATTTTTATAAACACTGTTATGTCATAATCTATTTTTTAACAATTTCATACACCTGATACGCAAGTCTTGTTACAAGCATTAGTTTGAAGCTAGCCCATCACAGGTTAGTCATTAAATAATGTGAATTTTCATCTGAATAAATAAAAAATTATTTAAGTTTTTGTAATTATTATGGCAATCAACTATGTCATTATTTGAAAAAAAAAAAAAAAAAACATCAAAAGATACGTAAGGGTTCTCTTCTGAGGGGAGCCCATTCAGTTCAAATATATTCAGCAGGTCGTAAAACTGGCCATGGACATCACCACATATTGTGAACTTCTTCCCCTGAAATTACACAATACAAATCATGAAAACAAGTATTAAGAATTGAACATTTAAATAAATAACAAATGGAATAAAATTCAAAATGAGTTATTAAAATATCAATTGTAAAAACGATCAATCACAGCTAAATTCTGATTAATCATTCTGATTATAAAATTATGATAAACATATGTTGTACAGCTCCCATCCTGTATGGTCATACCTTTGGCACTGTTATATCCACCAATGAGGCCTGAGACATAAATATTTTCTTAACCTCAACTAGTATCTGGAAGAAATTTCAAAAGCATTCTTAACTGCAAAATTACTGCAGCTTAGTGTTTACGTAAAGCAAAAAGATTTCTAATGCAGCCCAACAGCTTACAACATCAAATATTTCATTACGTTACACATCAAGAATGCAATAAAACAGTTTTAACAGTGTCAACAAAATGGTAAGTGACAAAAAAATTACACAAAAAAGTGCACTAAAATTCAATGCCTGGGAGATTTAATTCCATACCTGATAAGCATATTTCCTATGTAATTTTTTCTGTTGTTTAAAAGTTTCTATCAGATCTTTCATGAACTGTAGTGTGATCCCCTCTTCTCCTATACAAGGTCCCTGGTAGTCATCCTCAATTACTAAATTCCAAATAGCATTTTAACAAACATCATATCAAAGTGTGCTGTCAGTAATTCTTTATACAATTTGCAAAACTGCTTGATATATATGCAAGTGCAACATAAGTGAAAGAACACTTTTTGTAAAGATGGGGAATTCAACAACATGACTGCAAATCATAACCCCTAAATATGATAATTTTTTGTTATTTTTCACATAACAGAATCATGCAAACTTGCTTCATCTATTTTATAAAAATAAGGTTATTAGTGTATTTAACTTCCAATTACCCATATTGGCCAATTCCTCCTCAATTGTCACAGCAACAGGTTTCTTATGGTCATCCACACTGATGGCTTTCATAAAGGCCTGTCTCTTCACAATTTTATTGCATTCGTGATAGTTTCTTTGAGCATCTTTATCACTTGGCCTGGCCTTTGTCACCTGAAAAGTTGATAAATAAAAGAAAAATTAAGGGTTTATGCAATGTTGTTTTCTAAGTTGTCTAAAACTATTTTAATATAACATTAAGATATGAGAGAAACTTTATATACTGATACTGACTTTCAAAATTAAGTATGTGTAACAGTAGAAAATAAGGTTTAAAACTAAACAAAACTTAATTTTCACCATCCTCATAAAATAACATGCAATAATCTTGAGTCTTTATCAATCATACAGTTACTGTGAAGAGTATCAACAAAGACCACTCACTGCTTCAAAGTCCTTTAACGCCAGTTTGAACTTTCCAAGAGCCATGTTGGCAGATGCCCTCCTGTAGTAGGCCTGATATGAACATCAAAAAGTGTAAATCTTCAGTTAAATGTAACACATTCAATTTCTCAGTTGATGAAATGGATTCCACTGTGTACAATATTGACTCCTGGTCTTGTGGAAATACATTTGTATTAACATCTTTGTGTTTAACTCATCTAATTCATACCTCATTAACAATTCTGTTGATAACTTCCACCTGGTAGTTATGTACACAATTATCAATACAAAATGTAAATCAATTGTCCTTGCTCAAATAACTGGTGATTGAGAAAACCAAATTAAATACGGGTATTACCTGAATATGCAATTCAAACTAACTAAAATATTATGAGCTTTACATTCTTAAAAGTTAGCAAAATGTTTGTCTGCACTGTCACAAACTCATTTTGTGAAAATAATTTCCTCTTTCAATGCATTTCTAGAACCAGAAGCTAAAATAATGATCATCTATTTTCATGAGATATATAATGACCTAATACTGGCCTATTATTTGCATTGGCCTATTCACCTTAATGTAAGTTTTGTCCAATTCAAGGGCCTTGCTGGCATCATTTAGGGCATAGCCATAACACTCTGTTTTTATGTAGGCAAAGCTTCTGTTGCCCCAGTAAGCAGTGACGTAGGGATTCAATTCTATAGCTTCTGTGTAGTATGTTATGGACTGGCCATAATCTTTTTCTGAAAAATAAATAATAAAAAAGGCCTTTGAACAATGTTCTAGTTAAATAAGCTATTTTCATCTTTGAAATTAAAAGGGCAAAATGTAAGACTTTTTAAAAACATTTTTTAATTTACAAATACAAAATAACACTTCTTGTTAAACTTATCTCAGGGCAAGTTGTACTTTTTGATAATCTCTAACAGATAACTGTCATGAATTAATGTAGTAGTTTTGAATTGTGCCCAATCTGCTTAAAGTGATGGCCACATCTGACAGGACTTTAAAAATTTCCCAGATTGTTTCAGAGTTATGGCAAGTGTCAGGGAAGAAAACAAAGAGGGGGGGGTGGGTGGAAGGATACTGTTTACCCAGGAAATTTATTAGTTATGCTTTTTTCACAGGAAAATCTACAATGGGTACTTTTAAAACTTTCTACTTCTCTGACCTAAATAAAAAAAACCCTTCATTCATACAGTGCTTTTGTACAATTGTGCATAAATTAATTTATTTACACATCTTACCCCTGGATAGACATAACAATTTGTTTATTTCTTTCCTTCAGTCTATTTTCAAGAGTCACTGTTGAAAGTTATTAAGTCTGATTGATGGATGGCATTTAAATTTTTCTAAGGTTTAAAATAATTTTAAACTAAGTTCAAAAGATACAGTAACAATACGGGGTGCCATCCATAAGGGAATTTAGACTTGAAATAAGATTTCAAACATTTGTACACTGCAATTGAATAAATCAGTTCTGTGATATCCTATATAGATTCATAGTTTCAAATTCATCAAACAAGGCAGCAAAGCNTTACTTCTGAATTTTCAGGAACTTCACACAACTGTTTCAAGAGAGCTAGGTAATCTTAACTGTAAATTAAAAGTATTAAATGGCTGGAAACATAGTATATCAGTTTCAGCTGTTTTTCCTATGCAATCTTGGTAACTGCCAATGGGACGTTATTTTCTGTGAATCCATTCAATGAGATATATAATGGAAGATCAGATGAAGTGTTATGAAAATGGAAGGAAAATCCTATTCAGTTCTGTTGATGTTGAAATGTTGATCTAAAACATGCTCAGCAGTGAATTTGCATATGCCATGGGCTTGACGTTTGGATGTGGCTGCAAAAGAAAAAGAAAAAGCTAGTCTAGTAAATAATGTATTTATGGTGCAAAAACCATTGCAGAATAGCAACAATATTTAATTGATTCAACTGACAGTTTTAACTTGAATGATCTCTCCCTATCTAAACTGATATGGTTTTATTTGTGTAACTTCTTTCAGACAAATATTCTTTATCCTAAAATAAGTATCTATTCACAAGTAATAAAGTGATAACGATAATGCAGTAAAAGCTGGCACACTTCACTTACCACAGCCTCATAGGATGTAAACTGTGGAGTAAGATCATCTCCTCGTATAACTATAAATGCCCCCTTGTTACCCATGGTATCACTGAAACAGTTTGGAATTTTAATTTTTTTTTACATTGCTTTAAAAGCATGTTGGCTGGTTACATGAATTAAGATGAATACTACGTGAAAAATTTTTATTGCCTTAGTAGCTTGTATTTTGCACTAACTTAATACCTTGTATTACAGGCACACACCATCCCAAGTATTTATGTATTAAATTCCCACCTTTCTTATTGACTTACCAGTAATTAGGTGCTGAGAAAACGGTGATGCACTTCCCATCATGTGCGACTTCATAACCTTCATTTTTCACCTCATGGCTTCTGACAATATATTCAAGGTTATTGTTCTCAAGGAATTTTTTTGTGACGTCTGGACCAAACTGACAGCCGACCCCTCTCTTGCTGGCTGACCTACCTGGCTGAGGCTGTGGATCAGACCAAAGCAGGTCACACATAATACCTGGAACACAGTAAGCATATCAAGGTATTTCCCCACTGCTTACAAATCTTTCATTCCATTAAAAATATTCAACTGCATCTTGACAAATAAATTTACTCAGTTTGCTGGTTAATAGTCCACAAGGTGCCAGCTGGGAAGATCTTAAAAACTGCCGCAAACTACCCCAGAAAAAAAATAGTCTAATTAATTTGACTCTGTATCTCAAATTCCACTAGCTATGCTTTTAATAGAGGTCAGTTTTGTTACCTGAATCTGGAGGTTGTCTGTTTCTGTCTGTTTTCCTGATGTCATCCAATGTCACATTGTCTTCGCTGAATAGTCCTCCATGCATTGCCTTAACAGTTAGATTACAGTCACTTAATCATTTTTTAGTCATAATATTAAAATATTATGGACAAGATAAAAGTGCTAAAACTTACTGATGTGTAGTTTACATATGTCCTGAGATAGGCTTGCCTCAAGATGAAATTGTTTTTACATAGGTTGCCATGCTATCAACTGATTCATGTTAACTCATCTTTAATGAAATTTATGAGAACTAACAAACCCTACATTTCTATCTGTATTGTAGGACAATGGAATGTTTGTTAAGTATTACAGGGTGTACAACTTACTAAAATCTTTTCATTTATCAGGTGGGATAGAGGTAGCCAGTTGAAAACTTCTGTGAAAAGTTCTGCCATTTGATTAGTATACTTTGCTTTCACTTCTCCATCAAAACCATACATCTGGTTCATTGTCTCACTCTCATGATTTCCTGGTAAACAAAATTATGTTATGGTATTAGAATAGTATTCTTAAAAGCAACAATTGTGAAATACATGCACATTTCAAGCAAAAAATTAAGAAAATGAAGCATTCCTTATAAAATACAGAGCAAAAAAAACAAAAAAAAAACATACCTCTTGACATATAAAAATGACTGGGATATAAAAGTTTAAATCCCCATAATGTAAGTATACACTCCACAGAAAAGGAGCCTCTGTCAACAAAATCTCCATTAAACAGCTGAGCAACAGTCAAGGTTTATAATACATCAATACAGGGGTTTCTTTAAAATATATAATTTCATTTTTATAAACACTGTTATGTCAAAATCTATTTTTTAACAATTTCATACACCTGATACGCAAGTCTTGTTACAAGCATTAGTTTGAAGCTAGCCCATCACTGGTTAGTCATTAAATAATGTGAATTTTCATTTGAATAAATAAAAATTACTTTAGTTTTTGTAATTATTATGGCAATCAACTTTGTCATTATTTGAAAAAAAAAAAAAAAAAAAACATCAAAAGATACGTAAGGGTTCTCTTCTGAGGGGAGCCCATTCAGTTCAAATATATTCAGCAGGTCGTAAAACTGGCCATGGACATCACCACATATTGTGAACTTCTTCCCCTGAAATTACACAATACAAATCATGAAAACAAGTATTAAGAATTGAACATTTAAATAAATAACAAATGGAATAAAATTCAAAATGAGTTATGAAAATATCAATTGTAAAAACGATCAATCACAGCAAAATTCTGATTAATTATTCTGATTATAAAATTATGATAAATATATGTTGTACAGCTCCCATCCTGGGGCCCGTTACACAAAGCAGTAGTTAGTTAGAGATCGGTAGTTAGCCTCTCGCTAGTTATGAGTGCCATTTCACAAAGCTATCGCTAGTTCTCTCGCTCTTTATTGTGTCGTTGTTACCTTGGATATTTAGCGACTGGTCAGACCATCGTACGCATGCGTGATGAATGAAATAGAAAGGTTGCTTAGTTACCGTTGTCTGTCATATGTCTTTGTATCCAATATGGCGACAACCTTTCTTTCTGTCCGTACCGCCAGACGGGAACGTAGACTACGACGTTTTCATGATAGGCAGAATCTATTAGAATATACACGCGATGATGCAATTTACGAGAGGTTGCACCTAGCTGTGACAAAAAGAGCGGCAAAAAGGTGGTGGAGATCCTTTACGACGACCTCAAAGCAGACGTTCTTATGCATTTCCAGCCCCCGGAAATTGGAGAGTTAGAGCTTTCGCGACACTTTTACGCAAGAGTTCCACTTCCAGTAAACTGTTTCGAGACTACGGTGAGTAACAAGAGAACTAACGACCGAACTTTACGACTGAACTTAGCGATGAGTTAACGACTGCTGAAACACCCCTAAAGTTTTCTCGTTAGCGAATTAGTTCATTAGTTAGTTATTCTAACTAACTACTGCTTCGTGAAACGGGCCCATGTATGGTCATACCTTTGGCACTGTTATATCCACCAATGACGCCTGAGACATAAATATTTTCTTAACCTCAACTAGTATCTGGAAGAAATTTCAAAAGCATTCTTAACTGCAAAATTACTGTAGTTTAGTGTTTACCTAAAGCAAAAAGATTTCTTATGCAGTCCAAAGTTTACAACATCAAATTTTTTATTACACACATACAATAAAATAATGTCAACAAAATGGTAAGTGACAAAGAATTTACACAAAAAAGTGCAGTAAAATTCAATGACTGGGACGTTTAATTACATACCTGATAAGCATATTTCCTATGTAATTTTTTCTGTTGTTTAAAAGTTTCTATCAGATCTTTCATGAACTGTAGTGTGATACCTTCTTCTCCTATACAAGGTCCCTGGTAGTCATCCTCAATTACTAAATTCCAAACAGCATTTTAATAGACATCATTATATCAAAATGTACTGTTATTAATAATTTATAAAATTCTGAAACTGCTAGATATTAAAGTGCAACACAACTGAAAGAAATTGTTTTGTAAAGATGGGGAATTCAAGAACATGACTGCAAATCATACCCCCTAAATATGATAATTGTTTCTTATTTTTCACAAAACAGAATCATGCAAACTTGCTTCATCTATTTCATAAAAATAAGGTTATTATTGTATGTATCTTCCAATTACCCATATTGGCCAATTCTTCCTCAATTGTCACAGCCACAGGTTTCTTATGGTCATCCACACTGATGGCTTTCATAAAGGCCTGTCTCTTCACAATTTTATTGCATTCGTGATAGTTTCTTTGAGCATCTTTATCACTTGGCCTGGCCTTTGTCACCTGAAAAGTTGATAAATAAAAGAAAAATAAGGATCTATGCAATGTTTTTTTCTAAGTAATTGTTTAACATTATTTTAATATAACATTAAGATATGAGAGGAACTTTATATACTGATTTTCAAATTTTAGTATGTGTAACAGTATAAAATAAGGTTTAAAACTGTAAACAAAACTTCATTTACACCATCCTCATAAAATAACATGCAATAATCTTGAGTTTTATTCAATCATATAGTGATTGTGAAGAGTATCAACAAAGACCACTCACTGCTTCAAAGTCCTTCAAAGCCAGTTTGAACTTTCCAAGAGCCATGTTGGCAGATGCCCTCCTGTAGTAGGCCTGATATGAACATAAAAAAGTGTAAATCTTCAGTTAAATGTAACATATTCAATTTCTCAGTTGATGAAATGGATTCCACTGTGTACAATACTGACTCCTGTCTTGTGGAAATACATTTATATTAGCATCTTTGTGTTTAACTCATCTAATTCATACCTCATTAACAATTTGTTGATAACTTCCACCTGGTAGTTATGTACACAATTATCAATACGAAATGTAAATCAACTGTCCTTGCTCAAATAACTGCTGATTGAGAAAACCAAAATAAATATAGGTATAACCTGAATATGCAATTCAAACTAATTAAAATATTATGAGCTTTACATTCTTAAAAGTTAGCAAAATGTTTGTCTGCACCGTCACAAACTTTAATTTGGTGAAAATAATTTCCTCTTTCAATGTATAAATAGCCAGAAGCTAAAATAATGATCATCTATTTTCATGAGATATATAATGACCTAATACTGGCCTATTATTTGCATTGGCCTATTCACCTTAATGTAAGTTTTGTCCAATTCAAGAGCCTTGCTGGCATCATTTAGGGCATAGCCATAACACTCTGTTTTTATGTAGGCAAAGCTTCTGTTGCCCCAGTAAGCAGTGATGTAGGGATTCAATTCTATAGCTTCTGTGTAGTATGTTATGGACTGGCCATAATCTTTTTCTGAAAAATAAATAATAAAACAGGCCTTTGAACAATGTTCTAGTTAAATAAGCTATTTTCGTCTTTGAAATTAAAAGGGCAAAATGTAAGACTTTTTAAAAACATTTTTTAATTTACAAATACAAAATAACACTTCTTGTTAAACTTATCTAAAGACAAGTTATACTTTTTGATAATCTCTAACAGATAACTGTCATGAATTAATGTAGCAGTTTTGAATTTTGCCCAATCTGGAAGTCAGTGCTTAAAGTGATGGCCACATCTGACAAGACTTTAAAAATTTCCCAGATTGTTTCAGAGTTATGGCAAGTGTCAGGGAAGAAAATAGAGATTGGTTAGTCGGGGGGAAGAGGGGGGGATGGAAGGAAATTTATTAGTTATGTTTTTTTTCACAGGAAAATCTACAATGGGTACTTTTAAAACTTTCTACTTCTCTGACCTAAATAAAAAAACCCTTTATTCATACAGTGCTTTTGTACAATTGTGCATAAATTAATTTATTTACACATCTTACCCCTGGATAGACATAACACTTTGTTAATTTCTTTCCTTCAGTCTATTTTCAAGAGTCACTGATGAAAGTTTGATTGATGGATGGCATTTTTCTAGAGTTTAAAATAATTTTTAAACTAATTTCAAAAGATACACTAACAATGCGGGGTGCCATCCATAAGGGAATTTAGACTTGAAATAAGATTTCAAACATATGTACACTGCAATTGAATAAATCAGTTCTGTGACATCCTATATAGATTCATAGTTTCAAAATCATCAAAAAAGCAGATCCAAGTCAGTGACAGGGGTGAGTGAGTGCCTACTGAGTGACAGAGAGACACAGCTTCCCAGCAGAGACTTTCTACGTGCTACCTACTTTTAAAGAACTCATTTGCTTTTTCCTTTAATTCCTCTGCACGTCTTGCGTCCTCTTCTGATACAACTTTAGCGCTAATCCCATTCACTTCATCACAATTTGCACTTTTATCTCCGTTTCCATCTCCGCTGCTGGGCTCCGCCATTTTGAAACATGTGTGAAAGTTCAAGGTCACAAGAAAGGCCCCACGAGGAGTAAAACTTCAACATTATGTAAAGTTATACATTATTTGATCAAAGGAGGATCAAAGTCGATATTTTCCTCTTGTGTCAAATTGAAGCGAGCTACGTGATTGAAATACATTGAATGTCTGAAATATGCAATGTGTTAAACACAAAAGACACAAAATGTTATTTCTTTACAGTTTTTGTTATGCTGTGAACATTTTTCAGGAAATTTTAACATTTTGCCTAATCTCCACGAATCGATATACCAATATATTAATTTTTTTTTCATAAATCACGTGTTTGAGTTCTTAGTTTGTAGTTTTTTTAGTCACTCTTCGTAGAGAGTATTTTTTATGGCGGGATAGGAATCCATTTCAATCAGGATGAAAATTAAGGTTTTCCGATATTTTTTGTTTAAATTATTGTCTTTGCTATTATAGTATTTTACAATGTTTTGATTGATTTCAATATCGATATTGGAAATTAAAGGATAAATAAAGAAAACGAAGCGACCTTTGTTACATGGAGCAATTTATTCTTTCTTTTTATTAAAAATATTATTCGTCCGTACGCCCTTTTCGTTAGTGGAAATAGGCCTAATATCTAGTGATGTATTGTAAGCTATGCTTTTATAATTGTCTTTGCTTTTATAATTTTCTTTGGACATTGTATTTATTTATTTATTTATTTATTTATTTATTTATTGTTGGTTTCTATATTTATTCACTCATTTAATTATTTGTAGGAAACCTTGAAAATCCATCGTTCGATTTTCTCCAACATCGCACTCCCTTGCAAGGAACATGAATCCTGTTTCTCTACCCTCTACTGGTAGTTGGGTTATTTTTGTATTTTAAATCATCTATTTAATTTGTTTGTTTTACTCCATACACTGTACGTGAACCGTTTCTTTGATTAAAGTGTTGAAAGAATCAATGTTGAAAAAAGACATAAAGCATCTTATTTCTTAGTCTCTTCATGTTATTTTCATGAAAAAAAGGAATACAACTATTTAAAGTCTCAGACAAACCAAAAGTGTATTTTTTGCTTGTTATATAAATTTGATATTTAGGTCTATAGTATAGTTTGATCAAACTTAATTTTTTACTTGCTTTTTTTATATGTTTATTTTGCAACAAAATTAATTTATTTACTTGTTACGACCGATAAAATTTATGTATGTAACCAGTAATGCGCGTTTAGGACTCAACAGGTAAAAATCCCGTTCCTTCCATTGTTAACTTGTTTCCATTCAGACTGGATATTGTTCCACATCTGTGATGACTTCATTCATTGCAATAGCTGAAACTGGAAGACAGATTAACCTTTATATTAAAATGACATAGAAAACCCTGGTAGGTACAGTAGGTTCAGGATACAATATATCTCAGTCTAAAAACAACATTTAGCGATTAAAAAATCATTAAGATACTAAACAGAGTTTTAATGGTAGATAAGTACTCTCCAGACGCCCCACCAGAGGCCCCCTGAGTGATGACGTCCATGCTGTGCCATTGTTGTAGATGGCCAGAAATATTCACATAATTAGCCAGGGAAATGTCAGTAGATATATATATATATAGTGAATTTATCTCTTTGTTCACTAATAGTGTCTAGAAGATAAATATGGTACGCTAAGGCCGTTTTATGGGGCTTTTAGATTCATTCGCCGTTATTCCGTTATTATAGGCCTATTAGGACACAAACCGAAAATTAAATGAAGTGTGAACTGGACAATTTCCCCTTTCTTTAAAGATAAAAGAAATACATATAACTCAACGACTTTTAAAAAAAAACAGTTTTTCAAATACTGGTACAGATAAACGGTGTGATAAACATAAACGTGCATATAGCATATACGACAATAAATAAAAAGTAAGCATGCATGTATCAGTTACCTGATTTGTCTAGCGTTGCAGTGCTATTCATTGTATCGTTTACTTCTGGTTTGGGCATACGGAACCGAATGATTCTGAGGCATAAAAATTGTATAAATTGTCTTAATATTAACACGTCCAGGATAATAAACAACCAGCAAATGTTATTCATAAAACAAACAAACAAACAAAATAATAATAATAATAGCAGAAAGAAATTACTAGTATCAAGCAACGGATAAAAAAACGAATAAGTCAGTCACCATTCCAGGTTTTCAAAATATAAGTTTAAAACATACAATGTACTTACATTGTTAGTACTATGGCCACTAGGAGAAGTACTGCACATAGCAGATAACTTAACCCGGGGAAGAAATGCAGCGTCTCTGGATACAAGTTATTAAAGATGACGCTTGACAAGAGGACGCTCAGAGACTGGGCGCTTCCAACGAATGCAAACGCTTTGCCTGTGAAAAAAAACGGACTGCATAGTTCATTAATCGCCGATTAATCAAAGAATGGTATCAGTAGCTATATCAATATATCATCATTAAGTGTTAAACCGTTATACTTTCACGCATATACTGGGTCATGTTGACCCAGGGCTCCAGAGTCTCCTCAACCACATTCCAAAATAAAGTGGCTGGTTTGGGCCCCGACATTTCAGGAAAGAAAAGGCACTTTTTCATGTTCTCCTGAAAAATGTTCACAAATTTCAAATTTTATTTAAAAAATTGAATTTAGGAAGTTGAAGCCAAAAAAAAAAAATGTCTCCTCTCATTTTGATTCTTGATGTGTGAGCTCTCAAGTCTCTCAAGACAGAGTGAGAAAGAGAAAGAGAGAGACTCGCCTTGTTCGTGTTTTCCAACCATTCTTGCTACAACTGCCCTGAGCGCTGTGCTGCTAAACGCCGACAGCATGTTCGCAAAAGGCACTGAAATATATTGACAGATTTCTTAACACGAGTTTTTCAGTATTTTGTATCATCAGGTTTCAATGCGTGGCTTCGAATGAAAAATATAAATTATATTAATTTCAATAATTTATACCACAAGTTACATGAATAAACTGAAATAAAAATACTTGCATGCCTTCCTTAACGGCTCACCTACCTAACATAGCCATCCAGATAAATCGACTGAAAGCCAGCAACACCACTCCAAGAATGGCGCTTACGTGGCCCACGATGGCCACAGTGGTGTCATCCAGGGCCAGCTTTTTCACGACAGGCATGAAAAGGAACAGGGCTATCATCATCATGACGTTCTTCAAGGCAGCATATATACCGTACAGGGTCAAGTTCCAGCCTGGGACCACATATCGCAGAAATAATAGAGTAAGAGTCATTGCAGCTGAAACAAAAAAAGAAGTCATGGAGCAACAAGTATGTTTTACACTCCAAACGCCCACCTATTCATTTCCACGAGAAGAAAACAGACAGGGGATATATTGTAACCAATTTTTTTAAAGATCATTGTTTTTAAAGATTATNCGAACTTGACCTGCGTTTTAGTAAGATTAATTACTCCTGTGAGTTTCATGACAACAGGTCTATCGGTTTTCCTTGAAATGTGTTAACAGTGTTGCACATATGCTGAAAAGTGAAAAAAAAAGCATAACTACTAAAATAGTGTCCCGATCATGCCGATTTTCGAACTTGATCTGCGTTTTAGTAAGATTGATTACTCCTGTGAGTTTCATGACAACAGGCCTATCGGTTTTCCTTGAAATGTGTTAACAGTGTTGCATATATGCTAAAAAGTGTTAAAAACGGCATAAATTCTACAATAATGGCCCGATCATGCTGATTTTCAAACTTGACCTGCGTTTTATGAATATTAGTCAGCTCTGTAAATATAAAGCCAAAAAGTAAAACTGTCTTCCACTTATGGTGTTAACGCTGAAAGTGCACGGCGACGGCGACGGCGACATGATCGGCGACGGCGACGACAGACGCAGGTGATGGCAATATGTACAGACACATCTGTGTCTGTACATAAAAAGCAGATCCAAGTCAGTGACAGGGGTGAGTGAGTGCCAACTGAGTGACAGAGAGACACAGCTTCCCAGCAGAGACTCTCTTAGTGCTACCTACTTTTAAAGAACTCATTTGCTTTTTCCTTTAATTCCTCTGCACGTCTTGCGTCCTCTTCTGATACAACTTTAGCGCTAATCCCATTCACTTCATCACAATTTGCGCTTTTATCTCCGTTTCCATCTCCGCTGATGGGCTCCGCCATTTTGAAACATGTGTGAAAGTTCAAGGTCACAAGAAAGGCCCGACGAGGAGTAAAACTTCCACATTATAAAGTTATACGTACATTATTTGATCAAAGGAGGATCAGAGTCGATATTTTCCTCTGTGTCAAATTGAAGCGAGCTACGTGATTAAAATACATTGAATGTTTGAAATATGCAATGTGTTAAACACAAATGACAAAATGTTATTTCTTTACAGCTTTTGTTATGATATGAACATTTTTCAGGAAATTTTAACATTTCGCCTAATCTCCACGATATACCAATATATTTAATTTTTTTTTCATAAATCACGGGTTTGAGTTCTTAGTTTGTAGTTTTTTAGTCACATGAACAAGAGAGTAGAGAGTATTTTTTTATGGCGGGATAGGAATCCATTTCAATCAGGATGAAAAGGTCTTCCGATATTTTTTGTTTTAATTATTTTGTCTTTGCTATTATAGTATTTTACATTGTTTTGATTAGTTTCAATAACGATATTGGAAATTAAAGGATAAATAAGGAAAACGCGGGGGACTTTATTACATGGAGCAATTTTTTCTTTCTTTTTATTATAACCTAAATATTATTCGCCCGTACGCCCTTTGCGTTAGTGGAAATAACAGGCTATCTAGTGATGTAGTGTATGCTATGCTTTTATCATTATCTTTGCTTTTATAATTTTCTTTGGACATTGTAGGTCTATTTATTTATTTATTTATTTATTTATTGTTGGTTTCTATATTTATTCACTCATTTAATTATTTGTAGGAAACCTTGAAAATCCATCGTTCGATTTTCTCCAACATCGCACTCCCTTGCAAGGAACATGAATCCTGTTTCTCTACCCTCTACTGGTAGTTGGGTTATTTTTGTATTTTAAATTATCCATTTAATTTGTTTGTTTTACTCCATACACTGTACGTGAACCATTTATTTGATTAAAGTATTGAAAGAATCAATGTTGAAAAAGACATAAAACATCTTATTTCTTAGTCTCTTCATGTTATTTCCATGAAAAAAAGGAATACAACGATTTAAAAGTCTCACGCAATCCAAAAGCGTATTTTTTGTTTGTTACATAAATTTGAAATTTAGGTCTATAGTATAGTTTGATCAAACTTAATTTTTTACTTGCTTTTTTCATATGTTTATTTTGCAACAAAATTAATTAAGTTACTTAATTGTTACGACCGATAACATTTATGTATATAACCAGTAATGTAACCAGTAATGCGCGTTTAGGACTCAACAGGTAAAAATCCCGTTCCTTCCAGTGTTATAACTTGTTTCCATTCAGACTGGATATTGTTCCACATCTGTGATGACTTCATTCATTGCAATAGCTGAAACTGGAAGACAGATTAACCTTTATATTAAAATGACATAGAAAACCGTGGTAGGTACAGTACATGTAGGTTCAGGATACAATATATCTCAGTCTAAAAACAACATTTGGCGATTAAAAAATCATTAAGATACTAAACAGAGTTTTAATGGTACAGTGTAGATAAGTAGGCCTACTCTCCAGGCGCCCCACCAAAGGCCCCCTGAGTGATGACGTCCATGCTGTGCCATAGTTGTAGATGGCCAGAAATATTCACATAATTAGCCAGGGAAATGTCAGTAGATATATAGTGAATTTATCTCTTTGTTCACTAATAGTGTCTAGAAGATAAATATGGTACACTAAGGCCGTTTTATGGGGCTTTTAGATTCATTCACCGTTATTCCGTTATTATAGGCCTATTAGGACACAAACCGAAAATTAAATGAAGTGTGAACTGGACAATTTCCCCTTTCTTTAAAGATAAAAGAAATACATATAACTCAAGGACTTTAAAAAGACAGTTTTTCAAATACTGGTACAGATAAACGGTGTGATAAACATAAACGTGCATATAGCATATAGCACGACAATAAATAAAAAAGTAAGCATGCATGTATCAGTTACCTGATTTGTCTAGCGTTGCAGTGCTATTCATTGTATCGTTTACTTCTGGTTTGGGCATACGGAACCGAATGATTCTGAGGCATAAAAATTGCATAAATTGTCTTAATATTAACACGTCCAGGATAATAAACAACCAGCAAATGTTATTCATAAAACAAACAAACAAACAAAATAATAATAATAATAATAATAATAGCAGAAAGAAATTACTAGTATCAAGCAACGGATAAAAAAACGAATAAGTCAGTCACCATTCCAGGTTTTCAAAATATAAGTTTAAAACATACAATGTACTTACATTGTTAGTACTATGGCCACTAGGAGAAGTACTGCACATAGCAGATAACTTAACCCGGGGAAGAAATGCAGCGTCTCTGGATACAAGTTATTAAAGATGACGCTTGACAAGAGGACGCTCAGAGACTGGGCGCTTCCAACGAATGCAAACGCTTTGCCTGTGAAAAAAAAAAACGGACTGCACAGTTCATTAATCGCCGATTAATCAAAGAATGGTATCAGTAGCTATATCAATATATCATCATTAAATGTTAAACCGTTATACTTTCACGCATATACTGGGTCATGTTGACCCAGGGCTCCAGAGTCTCCTCAACCACATTCCAAAATAAAGTGGCTGGTTTGGGCCCCGACATTTCAGGAAAGAAAAGGCACTTTTTCATGTTCTCCTGAAAAATGTTCACAAATTTCAAATTTTATTTTAAAAAATTGAATTTAGGAAGTTGAAGCCAAAAAAAAACATGTCTCCTCTCATTTTGATTCTTGATGTGTGAGCTCTCAAGTCTCTCTAGACAGAGTGAGAAAGAGAAAGAGAGAGACTCGCCTTGTTCGTGTTTTCCAACCATTCTTGCTACAACTGCCCTGAGCGCTGTGCTGCTAAACGCCGACAGCATGTTCGCAAAAGGCACTGAAATATATTGACAGATTGCTTAACACGAGTTTTTCAGTATTTTGTATCATCAGGTTTCAATGCGTGGCTTCGAATGAAAAATATAAATAATATTAATTTCAATAATTTATACCACAAGTTACATGAATAAACTGAAATAAAAATACTTGCATGCCTTCCTTGACGGCTCACCTACCTAACATAGCCATCCAGATAAATCGACTGAAAGCCAGCAACACCACTCCAAGAATGGCGCTTACGTGGCCCACGATGGCCACAGTGGTGTCATCCAGGGCCAGCTTTTTCACGACAGGCATGAAAAGGAACAGGGCTATCATCATCATGACGTTCTTCAAGGCAGCATAGATACCGTACAGGGTCAAGTTCCAGCCTGGGACCACATATCGCAGAAATAATAGAGTAAGAGTCATTGCAGCTGAAACAAAAAAAGAAGTCATGGAGCAACAAGTATGTTTTACACTCCAAACGCCCACCTATTCATTTCCACGAGAAGAAAACAGACAGGGGATATATTGTAACCAATTTTTTTAAAGATCATTGTTTTTAAAGATTATCGTTCTGAACTTATACTTATGATTCTGACAGAAAAACGTGTACTCTGGTATGTCCACGATGAGACCTTGGTTTTCTCCGTAAGTCATCCACTTACCTCCAATTGTTAAATTTGTCAGAATTAAAGTTATCAGAGACAGCCATAATATAAGTCTGCGATATTCCTCTCTTTTAACAAAGAAACATTTCATGGAGTCAATGAAATGGTTGCAATCGAACAATCTTGCACAGAGATTTCGTTCTTGTTTTGACATCGCCTCCTGCTCCTTGCTTTCTGTGGAAATTGGATTCTTTATCCACAACAATGTGTAAATTAGAGCCACCGCGGCGGAAGAAGTGGAGACTCCGAAGGTAGCAGGAAACCCAAAGTTTTCCACAAGCAGACCAGAGATGCCTAACCCTATTGCTCCGGCCAGTTGCAGGACACCTTCGGTGACGCTGATTCGAACCAAGCGCTCTTTGTTCCCCTTTGACACGACGGCCACGTAGCTGTAGGCTGAGAGCAAAAACGTCGCAATGCCCCCAAGAATACCCGAGGAGAAATAGCTTATCAAAACGAAAGCGGGATGCCAGTCAATGAATATCGAGTTCAAAAGAAAATTAGAGTGCATTATCAGTAGACCAATAATCGGGATGACTATAGGTATTTTACGATTTATTTGATCGCCCCAAGATCCCATGAAAGATGCTGCAATCATTGACGGGAATGTTTCTAGGCAAATGCTGTAAAAGAACCAGCGTGAGCTCTCGGTTTGGACGTAGTCTCTCTCCACGTCGTGAAACGTTAGATTGCTACAAATTTCTTCTGATTTGTATTTGCCCATGCACACTTTCTCGATGTAAAGAGCCTGGGCTGCGGGCCAGGAACAGTACAGAGACAATATATAGAGAAACGTGGCGGGTTCTATTGTGATGACCAGCCTCATGTCGTGTTTGTGGTCCATCCACCATTTTTTCAGCGCCATTTCTACCAGACAGATGGTTGCCCTCCTCGAGATGGATGAATCCTTAGTTTGTCAAAAGATATTACATCAAAGTTCGTCCGTCTCGTTGAGGTTACAATCCTTGAATGTCATACGATCAGGCTCAGGCCTATGCTCAAGTGCGTCTACTGTCTCCATTTCTTGATAGACAAATGATGTTGTCTGTACTAAGCAAACAATTAATGGTCTTTAATCAGTAAAGATATATGGGACGGCATCTTATATCTAAAGCATACTTCTGGAGAAATGTAACCGTCATTATGCAAATAAAAAATGAAATTCTGAAATTCTTATTCCCGTCGGTGTAAATGACTGCAATATGTATATGCGAAGGTTTATGGACATTTTTATCATCATCGACAATTTGGATCCATAAAAAAACATCACTTAAATGTAATATTCAATCTCATAACACCCTTCCCCTTGAATGTGAGCAAGTTCATTATAAGTAAGTTATCAAACAACTTGACCTGGTCTTACTCTGTAGCTATCGAAGACGAAGTACTATCTGTACATAAGACCAGATATTACGTGTAGTAGTCTAAACATATAACTTCTTCGTTGAGTTTTATCTCTAGAAATGCAGATAATTGATAACCAAGGCTTTGGTAAGTATTCGCTTATCAGTGATGGTTTATGTCAAGACAGTAGGGTCATAAATTGACTTCATTTGCTCGTAATCCATAAATGTCCAAAAGAAAAATAATTTGAAAGGCTTGTCTGGTGCAGTAAGGAATGATAATGCTCATCTCAAAGAGGTACATGTATATAGTACAGGGTTTCTCCAGCTAGTTGTTTTTTGCACAGGTTTCAAATGATTGTGATGCAAAGGCCAAAATATAAGGTGTAGTTCAATAGCGAAGTCTGTTTAAGGTATATACATGTATACACTGTAACCCAGTTAGGATGACGACAAAGGAAATAATTGAGTGAGTGACATTTAACCGAAAAGCCATATGCAATTTCAGTGGTAAATTTAGTCGAACAAACTGAAAGTGTCACGACTGGGCGGTGAGAACCAGCGTCTGGGATGTCGAATGCGCGCTGGATCTCACGGATATTACGTCTTGGCAGTGTCCTTCTGTAGATAGGCCTATGCCTTTGGTTTGGTAAGCCTGATTTACTAATCCTGCCTATTTAACTGTGAACTGAAGATTGTATCGTTCATATTTAGGTATGAACTTGTCCATTTCACATTCATTCCTAACTGATTCCAGGGTGCAGACATGTTCCAAACACCGTGGTACTTTGTTTTGGTCTTGTGCGTTTCCATGACGCTCGGACAAGCGGAAAATGGTAAGTAAAGCTATTCCTCGTGTATGCACTCTCTCTTGCATCGCCGAGAGATAGTCAGTGGTCTAGCTGAAACCACAAAGGACAGACTTGAATATTTTTATTTAATGCATATCCTATGTTTAAAACATTTAATAGCAATAGTTGTCTTGAAAAGCCGCTCCAAGTGTTCTTCAATAAAAATATACACTGTAAAAACTTGGTCTGTAACATTGGGGACACTTTGTAATTTGTACATTATGAAACGAATTCGATCCATATCTTTGATAATGATATTAATTCTGTATTTTTCACGTTCCTTCTCAGTATACTACATCAGATCACAAAACTACCCAGCGTACACTTGGGGCTATGATGTCAAAGGCGAGGCCTACATCATGACGGGGCTCGGCCAGCGACTTTTCCGCATCATCACCCCGGGTCTCACGGAGCAACCAGGCACTATTTCCTTTGAATCCTACGACAAACCGGGCTACTTTTTACGTCACTATGGGAGTGAATTACACCTAGAGCATTCAAGCCAACCGAGAAATTCGCACATCTTTGCTCAAGACTCGACTTTTTTCGTACGGGAAAATAAATGGTTTCCAGAGTACGCTGCATACGAGTCTGTCAATTATCCTGGGTCCTTTATCCGCCACAGTTCGTCCCGTCTGCGAATCGATAAGTCGGACGGTTCTGATCTGTTTAAGAAGGATTCCAGCTTCATACTGACTACTGGGAGTAAGTTATAGTTAAGTTTCTTCAACCTTTAGTTCCTTCCTAATAACCAGTATTGATTTCTCAAGATATGGCATACATGTACCGTTCTCGGTTGACGAAAAAATTGCCAAAAGCAGCATTTAATGGTGATAATGACGTGTACAATTATAAAAACCTATTCACTTGGCATACATGTACGTCAAGGTTTGCGCTAAAATCTGGTAGTTCCTTTTTTTTTCTAAATACACTTTCTATCTTTTTTTCTTTTTAAGGCGACCTGCCACAGCCTGGCATTGTTGGAAAATAACCACCTGGGAGTTGTCATTATGGTGGGGATCCAAATAATCTGAAGATTTCTGAGTATGGCATCTGACAACTGACAGTGGATATTCTCAATTTTAAGTCATCTTTCGGGTTCTGATACACTTTGATTAATAACATTAATACATACACATCCAAACATCACTCAAAAAGAAACCATCACTCAAAAAAGAAAGAACACGTTATTTCACTGGAATTCACCAACAATCTCCCAGTAACGTGTACAAACATAAGAGTGTTTTCCTGTTAGTTTCAGATACCACCTTCTTCACTCAGTTAAACTTGATGTAATTGCCCCAGCCTCAGACCTCCCTGGTCTGAGACAATATGTTTCTTCCTACATGTAGGAGATAAATGTTGTGTAACCCAGGTTGGTTGCTGATTTTGTAGGTGAACGATGAATAAAATGAACACAGTAGCCAGCGTTGTAGTTTCCTTACTTCTTTATTCTCCATACACGGGCTACAGGCTACAGGCAGGAACAGCCTTAGGTACATCTGTTTATAACCCAGTCAGTGCGTTTTTGAAGGAAATGATTGAGTGAGTGATAACTAACTGTAAAGACATACAATTTAAGCAGTTTAATTAGTGAAACTTCTTTCTAAAACACCACAAACAAAAATCGAAAGGGTGTCACGACTGGGTGGTGAGAACCAGCGTCTGTGGTGTCAGATATGTGAAGGATCTCACGGAGATAACACCAAAATTACGACTTGGCAATGACCTTCTGCAAGTATGCCTTTGGTTTGGTTATCCTGGATTACTAATCCTGTCTATTTAACTATGATCTGAAGGATGGTTCGTTCATATTTAGACCTGAACTTGTCCCTTTTCCATTCATTCCCTACTGGTTCCAGGGTTCAGACATGCCGCAAGTACCGTGGTACATGTACTTTGCTTTGTTCTTGTGTGTCTCCATGGCACATGGACAAGGTAAGTTAAGCTGTTCATCACGTATTAGACCCACTCTGGCATAGCCGAATGTTTTTATTTATATAAATTTATTTATTTAATAGAAACGCATATCGCATGTTTAAAACATTTAAATAGGATTAGTTGTAATTAAAACCCCGAAATCCAAGACCGCTGTCTATGGTAATAACGACTGAAAAAGAAATGTCGTCGAACTCCAAAACAAACCTTACAAAAGAACATATGCATACAATGTTTTGAGATGGGCCTTTTAGAGGAAAGAAGACTACTGATCAAATGCCCTTTCAAGGAATGTCCCCTCCAAATGTTCTTCAAATGAAAAATGCACTCTAAATACTTGGTTTGTATTAAAAATTTTGTACAGTACACTCATTGTACAGTATGTAACTAATTCTGTATATTTAATACATGTTATTAATTCTCTGTTATTCACATACTCTCTCAGTATACTACATCAGATCACAAAACTACCCAGCGTACACTTGGGGCTACGATGTCAAAGGCGAGGCCTACATCATGACGGAGCTCGGCCAGCGACTATTTCGTATCATCACCCCGGGTCTCACAGAGCAACCAAACACCATTTCCTTCGAATCCTACGACCATCCGGGATACTTTTTACGTCACTATGGGTATAAATTACACCTGGAGCACTCAAGCCGACCGAGAAATTCGCACATCTTTGCTCAGGACTCGACATTTTTCGTACGGGAAAATAAATGGTTTCCCGAGTACACTGCATACGAGTCTGTAAATTTTCCTGGGTACTTTATACGCCATAGTGGATACCGTTTGCAAATCAATAAGTTGGACGGTTCTGACCTGTTTAAGAAGGATTCCAGTTTTGTACTGAATGCTGGAAGTAAGCAATAGTGAATTTTCTCAAACATTTATTTTTCCTCTTAAATAATCTGTCTGTATTGGTTTCTCGAAGAAATGCCATATCCTTCTCAAGTGATGAAATATTACCAAAACAGCATTTAATAGTTATCATGCATTATTATTTTGACATACGTCAGGATTTGCGCTAAAATCTGTGATATTTCGACTTTTTCAAAAAACACTTTTTTCTTTTAAGGTGATTGTCGACAGCCTGCCATTGTTGGGAAATAACCACTTGGGAGTTGCGGTTATGCGATGGTTCCAAATTATTATCTGAAGATATCTATGTCTGGGGACAATTACTAACAGCGGACATTCTGATAGTTAAGTTATTTTTCTGGTTCTGATACACTTTGATTGAATACATGCACAAATATAAACTGAAGAACGACCATCGCTGGAAAAGAAAGAAAGAACACGTTTATTTCCTTGGAATTCACCAACCATTTCCCAGTAACGTGCACTACAAATAGAGTGTTGTCTAATTAGTTTTACAAATACCTATTATTACTCTTTACACCAATATAAACTTGATAAAGAACGTTCCAACATAAAGATTTCAATAAACTGAGTTAATCCTTCCTACCGCACTGGAATTTCGTGTAATACCACTTCAAGGTATTAAATCTGGTACACGAACGCTTTGAGTCCATAGTTCTCGAAACAGGTGGTACATTGTTGTTGCAATGGTTCTGGTACTGAACACAAACAAGGTTGAAGTGTTGGATCTCTGATTGGCCATTCTTGCATTTTCTTTAGCATGGGTTAAAGCTGCTTGGACGACGTCTCACACGCGTCAGCTTATGTCTATGTGTCAATGGCAGCCATACGGAAACTTGCAGTGTGAAGCATGCTCAGATTTATTACGATTTGTACAATTTCCACTGGGGCGCATGCAACGCAGATCAGCTGCCAAACTCCCCATGCACTGCCTGGAACTACATTACAACAATAAAAGCAATTACGATACAATTGTTATTTTTACGGTTGGCACAATATAGGGTATAAAGTTCTAAATACACATATTTATTGAAAAAAGAAAGACGGACTCTATCCAACCAACCGTCTTTCATTTACTACTCATAATGAATTATAGATTATCCTATCATGTCGTTTCTGGTCACCTAAATTAATTTTGCTGGCCGATCTTACAAGGAAAAAATGAAAGGAAAATCTATGCTGGGAGCCACAGAAGACCACACTAATTATATTACATAAAATATATGCATCTTATCTTTTGGCAGTACTCACCTCTTGGTCCTGGGGTGATGGTTACAAGGTAAAGCAAGCCGAAAAAAGTCATGCTGCCGTAGAATACTACATCTAGAAAAAGCTAATGAAGAATATATAACATATGATAATGTAAGAAATAAAATCATTGACTTTAATCGAAAACATAATTAAGGAATTTCCACCATGGATTCTGTAAGGATGAATATCAACATGTATAGTACAAATATTTAGATTCTGCAGTTATAGTTTTTCTGAAATACATGTATTTCTGCTGGAAATATACAAAAAACCATAAGAATTTTACAATCTAATTCATATGCCTAACGAAACAGACACACTCATATGCCGAAAAACAAACTCCAGCGAAAACAAAACATTTACTTCGGAAGGTCGAAAGTCTTACCGGATTGCCGTAGTAAAGCATCAGAAGGGGACCGATCTCAGGATCGACGATTTTATGACTTTTGTAACCAAGCAAAACTGAACTGAAATTACATCAATCAAAAATCATCAAAAATGATTTGGACTGCGTCATACAGTACAGTGGACACGCTTTCTCTTCTCGCTTTCAAACAGATCCAACTACTAGTACATCATTATTTAAAGGGGAAACATTCATAAATTTAGTTTCAAGTTTTCATGCTATGAATATCATATAAAATCACTTGAACATCGCACAGTATAGAAATGAAAATGCGAACATATCACCTTTTCCTCAATGTGTCATTTATAAACCCACTCAATATTTCAAATACACGGCGAAAAGAAAAATCCACTCAGTTTATTTTCAAGGTCCACTGAAGAAATTATCTGATGTTTTCTTAATCTGAAGCAAATTATTGTTTGTAGCCTACATTGACATTCCGGCACTCTTGCATTCTTGCAGTCTTGTTAAAAATGATAGAATATTGCAATAAAATATTACATTTGCGATTACAATAAGCTAAAACTAACAAACTGTGCAGTATTATTATTATTCAACCAGCATATTATTTTTTTTATCATAATTTCATGTTCTATGTTCAAAGTACAGTATATTTGCTAACTACACCAAGAAATCTCGCTTCATCAGAAAACGACATGCCTGCAAATGACGCGTTTAACGGCAATGAGGTTGTCGGGTCCATTCCTAGCGGCGGTTTTTCTACTGATGGTCCAAAAAGTTTCCTTATGAGTACACCTTGGTCCAGGCCAAGAATAAGAAGTCTGCTGTTGTCTGATCCTTTGGCAGCCAGGCTTTTGCTGTGGTTGTGCCATTGTCCCTCTGAGTAGATGCTGACTTTTTTCTCTTTTGGCGACATATCTGGTAGAGTATACGATTCTTCCAAGTTTTAGTTTTACGGGTTGTGTACTTTGCTTTGTTCGCTGCCGCTAAACGATCTTACCAACAGTTCCTTGAAGTATTTTAACACGAACAGCAATGTTCTTTTGTTTGCGTGGGCGCAAAGCACCACATCCACAAAAATTATACCAAGCGCTCTCTCTTTGGCTTTAAGACAAGACATTGACACCTTTTAAATGTGCTGAACATAATTGACTTACAACAGCAAATACCAGCTACTGCGCCATAAGTGTACAATTGGCTTGCCATTCTGCCCAGATATGTTATACAGGGCACACAACTCTAACCTATAACGTTTATTTTGAATTACTCAAGGAATTTTGTAACTTGTAACTTTCGTAACTTGAAAATTGTTTATTAGTCAATGCTTCAACAAGCTACATGTTCATGTATACATAACAGATTTTGTGGCAATTATCACAATGAGCTTTGAAACCATAATTATACCTCTAATTTCCAAAATATTCCATCATTTTGGCAATATTAGTGTGGTTAACAGGTGTCTGGGCATGACGTCCCAAAAATAATGTTATGTTTTTAATACTTGATGTGCATTTGACCTAGTGTAATAGCCTGACAACCTCAGTTTGCGCCTGATAGTTTGTCATTAAAGTGATAATAAGTGAAAATGATGCGAATTAGGAGAACATTTTGCGCATACCATTAAATACTAAAAGCACGCTAGATATGAGCAAATTCTGTGTACAGTTACACATAACATTCTTGGTATGGGTGGTATTTTTTAAAACCTTATTCTACTGGTAAAATTATTTAAATCCATTTCAATAAAACTTAAAAAGAACACACCTGTACATGTACATCCAATGGCTGGATATGTCCAAACACGTAAGAGCAGAAAACACATTTGCGTAACTGGGATAACACAGACCAAGTCTAGTCAGCATACATAGCAAAGTACATCTGTCTATCAGCATATCCAGCAGAGACCCAAACACTGAAACTATGCACGTTTTCAATTTTATTATTATTTTTTTAATATTCTTACATGTAGCCTATCAAAACAATGTATAATATAAATATATATATTACTCATTAATGTAGCTAAAACCGTTAGTTTTGCTTGCTGTCATGAAAATAATACTGGTGCAACCATTTACCTTGTTGAAGATGTCTTGCAAAATGTCCGTCAACCATGTCCAGAGAGATGCTTACTATATACAGCCAGAATGCTGCGTATTGCTTTGAAGGCATAAGACAAAATGCAACCAATGCAATACCTATTCTGAGGTATCCTATATTTAAAATGAAACTCGTGTATACAAAGATATGTGTGGCGTTCAAAAATACGTGGCTGCAATGTCGCTATTAGGTCATCATTACAAGTTACTTTTTAAATGTACAAACAATACCGCAGTAAATATGTTAGGTCGTCACTCATTATTTAAATCTTTTAAATAATCATTGTTTAAAATTACAATTTGCCAGAAGAAAATCACTTGCCTATGATGTTCGGGACAAAAAAGAACACTTTGTTAGCCATCGGAAATGATCCTTGTGCCAAATACAGAACTGCTAGATTTTCAGCCCTTCAGTGCGTCATGTTTTGTGTACCACTGGTTTTAAAATTTCACGGCTGCAGCCCTTGCTTATATCAAGTTTCAAGACAGTTTATGCCCCAGTGTCAATTACGACCGATGTTGACAACAATATCAGTTGATCAGTTTAGTCCGTTTAGCAACATTACCCGCACGAAAACGAAGTAGATACAGACCCGCCGGAAAGTCCATACTTACTCTGCGGGTCGCTGCGGGTTGTTCATACGGCCTGGAGCGGTAACCATGGAAATAACATTGTCATCCATGCGTTGTTTGGTTTCTGTTAACAATAGTACCATGCCCTGCCCCGTCGGATAATTATCGTGTCTTAATTTCTGCTAGCAAAAGAGCCTAACCCTAGCTCGCTGAGATAAAGATCGAAGCTGAGCGTGGTCGCAATAAAGTGTTCGTCCAAGCGTTAATTGACCTTTAATGCGCGGTGGCTTCACTCTACATTGATCACTCTACTCTGATACGGAGATTTTAGTATAAGAACGTGCCAACAATGATTTTTTAAAATGACTTTACCAAAAAGATTCGGTGATGAAAGCAACTTTCGTGTACATTTTGGCTATGAATTGATTGAATTCACATAGAGCTGAATAAATGAATTTATGAATTTATGAAAGATCAAATAAAACACTACTCGTACTTGTACATGTAATATTTATTAAACACGATGAAACTTTATTTATATAGTAGGTCCTGATATTTCTAATTGCTTTGTTCATGGATGGAATGTATTTTTTCCAAAAAAGACTTGTCAGTTGTTTGAGTAATAAACTGGCCCGTTATCGAATATCAAAAATTTCTTTATTTGACAAGGTGAAGGGTGGCCGGCCGAAAGACTGACTCCTTGGTTCTGCAGCACACAAAGTAGGAAGAATTATAATTAAACACGCGTAAAATGTTATTAAAGAAATTAGCCTAAATTTTGATACAAATGTTTCTCTATTAACGCAGCACCTATGTACTTCAAAACGATAAAAATAGTTAATGTTCACGACCTTTACTCCAAACTTAACCAAAAACTTTCTTCATACTTAAAACCATCAAAGAAAATTAATTTAAAAAGCTGGATTACAATCTCTCGGGTTAACTTCACTGTTTGGCACGTGTCATCTCACATTAATTAACAATCAGTTCAGGTTAGCTTTATTCTTGCCGGGTAAACACAGTGCTGAAGCTTTAACTATTACATAATCACTACTGTGTGACACGCGTCATCTAAAATTAATGTTAACATTGCGATGACGCTCTTCAATTCAAACTATTCAATTTTACCTAATTATCAATCACCTGACACGTGTCAACAAGATTGTTTGTCTATCTGGACTTCCTAAATGGCCAGTAAGTATTTTGTATAATATGGCATGTTTATATTACTGATTTCTGTGCCATCGTGTTACCTGCCAAGTGAACGGTATAAATCGACACTCAAATTTTCCAAATCATCACAATTCCAAGAAGCCTCTTAGCGATTATGTACGTTTGCGTATCATCGGCCTCCGAGAACAAGGGGTGCGATTTAAAAACATCACCGCCCAAACGGAAAATGAAGACCATAAAGTGTCGCGACAGGCAATTTACTAAGTGTTAAAGAAATACAACGAAGGACTCTCTTTGCATCAGTTATAATATAAACTTAAGTGAGGCAATTAAGAAGGAGCAGAGCGTGTTTGTTGAACCAACTAAGGGCGTATTCCCAGAGCTTTTAGATCGATCTATCCCCACGGGGAGTCTCACTAGATTACTGTCGGATAATCCGGCTTAAATGTCCGTCCCGCCTACTACAAGCAGTAAGGGGGTAATTAACTTTCGTGCCCGCAGCTATTTAGCGTGAACCCCCAGGGAGTTAGGTCGATCTAAAGTAGATCGATCTAATCTCTGGGAAAGGGGCCTAATTTGGGTGCCCGATAAGTATTACTTGCCAATTTCCCTACCCTGTAATTATCATGCGGCCTCTATTGTTCGACCATACGGGGCAGGGTTGGGAGACCATGAGGCCTTTTGGTAAGGGGACTTTCTGGCGGGACTGTACTCCAGCGCAGTAGACTACTGCAATCATACTGCAAACATGCCTCAAATCTGCTTCGATTTGGAAGCTAATTAGCATATTTGAAACATGCTCCTATTATGCTGCTAATCTACTGCATTAGCGCTCTTCTCTGTACAATCCTATGTACTTTTTGGAGTAGAATTGCAGTAGGCTATACTGCAATTCTACTGCAAATATGCTCCACACCACTACTGCGTTAACTTGCTACTTTGCTACTTCGATACTACTGCATTTTCGTACGGGTAGGCTATATACATACACACACTGGACAATAGAAGTGTCACCCCTACTGAACCAATACTTTGGGGGAAATAAATGATATGCTCCTGGTATCATTTTATTAACATCAAATTTCACAAAAAGACCAACATTACAATTCCATGGTACAGCGGTTGTATACTCATTAGTCACATTATAAGTAGACCAGGCATTATAACTTTGATTGGGCCTACTCTGATTCAGGGGGTGACACTTCTATTGCCCAGTGTGTGTATATATGCTTCAGGTCATTCAGAGCTAATAATTTTCTTGTTTGGTGCGATCAATACAGTTTATTCGTGTTTCATTTCCATTGAATAAATAAAAGGATTTTATTCGTGGTAAGGGAAATAGCCTTTCCATAGCTACTACCTGATGTTAAAAAAAATATGAAATACTAAAATAAATTTACAAGAGTGCTATTACCTACTAAAAATTGAATCATTGAAAACTCTATATATAGTTGAAAAGAAATTTAAAATTACGTATCGGGAGCGTGTATTACCTATAACGGATATTAACCAGTTCTACTAGTTTCTTATGCCACTCAAATAAATCCGAATTGGTATAAACCAAATCATTCACTCGATCAACAATGTAAAACGGATTTAAAACTGCACTTTCTTCAAATTTCTAGTCGTAAATTGACCTTTTTATCTGTCCCGCCACTTCGTAAAAAGACCACCAAAGTAAAGTAGTAATGTATGGTGCATTAATGTACCGCTGCACACGCAGTTATTCCAATGAGTTGTCAAAAACGACCGAAGGTTATACAGTGTATATAGCACAAAAGAAAGCAAAAAATACCCGTCCAGATGTCATCTCTCGGGAAATATGAAATGATGCCCTTTAGAATTTCTTTTCGTTATGGTATTTGAAACTTTACGGTGGGTTTAATTGAAAAAATTAACTTCATATGAATCTTAAAAAAGTTTTTAGTTTAAAAACTAAAGCGATTATTGTGTAAATTTTGTTCGGAGAATTATTCACATGTGTGAAGATAAAACTATCATGGAGCAAGTTTTTAAAACTCCATCACGGTTCAGCAGGTCTTCAGTGACCAATGCGTCTGTTGAGCAAATTATCAAGTCACAGCTGTCACATCCAGAGTCCGCTGCTACTGCAATCTTGGCCGTTTACACCGGGGATGGTATAAGGCCACACTTTTTTATTTTTATGGATGACATCCTCTGGGGACCCCAAAGTCGGTGCGAGCNTCAATTTTCCTGGGTACTTTATACGCCATAGTGGATACCGTTTGCAAATCAATAAGTTGGACGGTTCTGACCTGTTTAAGAAGGATTCCAGTTTTGTACTGAATGCTGGAAGTAAGCAATAGTGAATTTTCTCAAACATTTATTTTTCCTCTTAAATAATCTGTCTGTATTGGTTTCTCGAAGAAATGCCATATCCTTCTCAAGTGATGAAATATTACCAAAACAGCATTTAATAGTTATCAAGCATTATTATTTTGACATACGTCAGGATTTGCGCTAAAATCTGTGAGATTTCGATTTTTTCAAAATACACTTTTTTCTTTTAAGGTGATTGTCGACAGCCTGCCATTGTTGGGAAATAACCACTTGGGAGTTGCGGTTATGCGATGGTTCCAAATTATTATCTGAAGATATCTATGTCTGGGGACAATTACTAACAGCGGACATTCTGATATTTAAGTTATTTTTCTGGTTCTGATACACTTTGATTGAATACATGCACAAATATAAACTGAAGAACGGCCATCGCTGGAAAAGAAAGAAAGAACACGTTTATTTCCTTGGAATTCACCAACCATTTCCCAGTAACGTGCACTACAAATAGAGTGTTGTCTAATTAGTTTTACAAATACCTATTATTACTCTTTACGCCAATATAAACTTGGCAAAGAACGTTCCAACATAAAGATTTCAATAAACTGAGTTAACTCTTCCTACCGCACTGGAATTTCGTGTAATACCACTTCAAGGTATTAAATCTGGTACATGAACGCTTTGAATCCATAGTTCTCGAAACAGGTGGTACATTGTTGTTGCAATGGTTCTGATACTGAACACAAACAAGGTTGAAGTGTTGGATCTCTGATTGGCCATTCTTGCATTTTCTTTAGCATGGGTTAAAGCTGCTTGGACGACGTCTCACACGCGTCAGCTTATGTCTATGTGTCAATGGCAGCCATACGGAAACTTGCAGTGTGAAGCATGCTCAGATTTATTACGATTTGTACAATTTCCACTGGGGCGCATGCAACGCAGATCAGCTGCCAAACTCCCCATGCACTGCCTGGAACTACATTACAACAATAAAAGCAATTACGATACAATTGTTATTTTTACGGTTGGCACAATACAGGATATAAAGTTCTAAATACACATATTTATTGAAAAAAGAAAGACGGACTCTATCCAACCAACCGTCTTTCATTTACTACTCATAATGAATTATAGATTATCTTATCATGTCGTTTCTGGTCACCTAAATTAATTTTGCTGGCCGATCTTACAAGGAAAAAATGAAAGGAAAATCTATGCTGGGAGCCACAGAAGACCACACTAATTATATTACATAAAATATATGCATCTTATCTTTTGGCAGTACTTACCTCTTGGTCCTGGGGTGATGGTTACAAGGTAAAGCAAGCCGAAAAAAGTCATGCTGCCGTAGAATACTACATCTAGAAAAATCTAATGAAGAATATATAACATATGATAATGTAAGAAATAAAATCATTGACTTTAATCGAAAACATAATTAAGGAATTTCCACCATGGATTCTGTAAGGATGAATATCAACATGTATAGTACAAATATTTAGATTCTGCAGTTATAGTTTTTCTGAAATACATGTATTTCTGCTGGAAATATACAAAAAAACCATAAGAATTTTACAATCTAATTCATATGCCTAACGAAACAGACACACTCATATGCCGAAAAACAAACTCCAGCGAAAACAAAACATTTACTTCGGAAGGTCGAAAGTCTTACCGGATTGCCGTAGTAAAGCATCAGAAGGGGACCGATCTCAGGATCGACGATTTTATGACTTTTGTAACCAAGCAAAACTGAACTGAAATTACATCAATCAAAAATCATCAAAAATGATTTGGACTGCGTCATACAGTACAGTGGACACGCTTTCTCTTCTCGCTTTCAAACAGATCCAACTACTAGTACATCATTATTTAGAGGGGAAACATTCATAAATTTAGTTTCAAGTTTTCATGCTATGAATATAATATAAAATCACTTGAACATCGCACAGTATAGAAATGAAAATGCGAACATATCACCTTTTCCTCACTGTGTCATTTATAGACCCACTCAATATTTCAAATACACGACGAAAAGAAAAATCCAATCAGTTTATTTTAAAGGTCCACTGTAGAAATTGTCTGATGTTTTCTTAATCTGAAGCAAATTATTGTTTGTAGCCTACAGTGACATTCCGGCACTCTTGCATTCTTGCACTCTTGTTAAAAATGATAGAATAGGCCTATTGCAATAAAATATTACATTTGCGATTACAATAAGTTAAAACTAACAAACTGTGCAGTATTAATATTATTCAACCAGCATATTATTTTTTTTATCATAATTTCATGTTCAATGTTCAAATTACAGTATATTTGCTAACTACACCAAGAAATCTCGCTTCATCAGAAAACGACATGCCTGCAAATGACGCGTTTAACGGCAATGAGGTTGTCGGGTCCATTCCTAGCGGCGGTTTTTCTACTGATGGTCCAAAAAGTTTCCTTATGAGTACACCTTGGTCCAGGCCAAGAATAAGAAGTCTGCTGTTGTCTGATCCTTTGGCAGCCAGGGTTTTGCTGTGGTTGTGGCATTGTCCCTCTGAGTAGATGCTGACAATTTTCTCTTTTGGCGACATATCTGGTAGAGTATACGATTCTTCCAAGTTTTAGTTTTACGGGTTGTGTACTTTGCTTTGTTCGCTGCCGCTAGACGATCTTACAAACAGTTCCTTGAAGTATTTTAACACTAACAGCAATGTTCTTTTGTTTGCGTGGGCGCAAAGCACCACATCCACAAAAATTATACCAAGCGCTCTCTCTTTGGCTTTAAGACAAGACATTGACACCTTTTAAATGTGCTGAACATAATTGACTTACAACAGCAAATTCCAGCGACTGCGCCATAAGTTTACAATTGGCTTGCCATTCTGCCCAGATATGTTATACAGGGTACACAACTCTAACCTATAACGTTTATTTTGAATTACTCAAGGAATTTTGTAACTTGTAACTTTCGTAACTTGAAAATTGTTTATTAGTCAATGCTTCAACAAGCTACATGTACATGTATACATAACAGATTTTGTGGCAATTATCACAATGAGCTTTGAAACCATAGTTATATCTCTAATTTCCAAAATATTCCATCATTTTGGCAATAGTGTGGTTATGACGAGGTGTCTGGGCATGACGTCCCAAAAAATAATGTTATGTTTTTAATACTTAATGTGCATTTGACCGAGTGTAATAGCCTGACAACCTCAGTTTGCGCCTGATAGTTTGTCATTAAAGTGATAATAAGTGAAAATGATGCGAATTAGGAGAACATTTTGCGCATACCATTAAATACTAAAAGCACGCTAGATATGAGCAAATTCTGCGTACAGTTACACATAACATTCTTGGTTTGGGTGGTATTTTTTAAAACCCTACTCTACTGGTAGAATTATTTAAATTTATTTCAATAAAATTTAAAAAGAACACACCTGTACATGTACATCCAATGGCTGGATATGTCCAAACACGTAAGAGCAGAAAAAACAATTGCGTGTCTGGGATAACACAGACTAAGTCTAGTCAGCATACACAGCAAAGTACATCTGTCTATCAGCATATCCAGCAGAGACCCAAACACTGAAACTATGCAAGTTTTTCAGTTTTATTTATTTTTTATAAAATACTCTTACGTGTAGCCTATCAAAACAATGTATAATATAAATACATATTATTATTACATACTCATTAATGTAGCTTAAACCTCTAGTTTTGCTTGCTGTCATGAAAATAATTCTGGTGCAGCCATTTACCTTGTTGAAGATATCTTGCAAAATGTCCATCAACCATATCCAGAGAGAAGCTTACTGTATAAAGCCAGAATGCTGCGTATTGCTTCGAAGGCATAAGACAAAATGCAACCAATGCAATACCTATTCTGAGGTATCCTATATTTAAAATGAAACTTGTGTATACAAAGATATGTGGCGTTCAAAATACGTGGCTGCAATGTCGCTATTAGGTCATCATTACAAGTTACTTTTTAAATGTACAAACAATACCGCAGTAAATATGTTAGGTCGTCACTCATTATTTAAATCTTTTAAATAATCATTGTTTAAAATTACAATTTGCCAGAAGAAAATCACTTGCCTATGATGTTCGGGACAAAAAAGAACACGTTGTTAGCCATCGGAAATGATCCTTGTGCCAAACACAGAACTGTTAGATTTTCAGCCCTTCAGTGCGTCATATTTTGTGTACCACTGGTTTTAAAATTTCACGGCTGCAGCCTTTGCTTATAGTAAGTTTCAAGACAGTTTATGCCCCAGTCTCAATTACGACCGATGTTGACAACAGTATCAGTTGATCAGTTTAGTCCGTTTAGCAACATTAGGCTATATACATGTATATATATATGCTTCAGGTCATTCAGAGCTAATAATGTTCTTGTTTGGTGCGATCAATATCAGTTTATTCGTGTTTCATTTCCATTGAATAAATAAAAGGATTTTATTCGTGGTAAGGGGAATAGCCTTTCCATAGCTACTACCTGATGTTAAAAAAATATGAAATACTAAAATAAATTTACAAGAGTGCTATTACCTACTAAAAATTGAATCATTGAAAACTCTATAGTTAAAAAGAAATTTAACATTACGTATGGAGCGTGTATTACCTATAACGGATATGAACCAGTTATACTAGTTTCTTATGCCACTCAAATAAATCCGACTTGGTATAAACCAAATCATTCACTCGATCAGCAATGTAAAACAGATTTAAAACTGCACTTTCTTGAAATTTCTAGTCGTAAATTGACCCTTTTATCTGTCCCGCCACTTCGTAAAAAGACCACCAAACTAAAGTAGTAATGTATGGTGCATTAATGTACTGCTGCACACGCAGTTATTCCCATGAGTTGTCAAAAACGACCGAAGGTTATACAGTGTATATAGCACAAACAGAAAGGAAAAAATACCCGTCCAGATGTTATCTCTCGGGAAATGTGAAATGATGCCCTTTAGAATTTCTTTTCGTTATGGTAGTTGAAACTTTACGGTGGCATTTAGTTGGGTTTAATTGCAAAAAATTAACTTCATATGAATCTTTAAAAAGTTTTTAGTTTAAAAACTAAAGCGATTATTGTGTAAATTTTGTTCGGTGAATGATTCACATGTGTGTTCAAAGATAAAACTATCATGGAGCAAGTTTTTAAAACTCCATCACGGTTTCAGCAGGTCGTCAGTGACCAATGCGTCTGTAGAGCATTATCAAGACACAGTTGTCACATCCAGAGTCCGCTGCTACTGCAATCTTGGCCGTTTAAACCGAGGATGGTATAAGCGATATTAAAGCACTCTCCTGTCAAAAGACAATAGGTCGCGTCGTGCTTCATTTCGTGTAAAGTCACGTCATCCACGAATGCGTTCCACGCACCAGTGCACAGGCTTAATTACTCGTGCTTTAAGCCAGATAAAGCACTAGGCGCCGAGGTTTACGAGAAATAGAGTAGATAATAGTCTCGGGTTCGCTCGGTTTCTCGTAAACCTCAGCGTCTCGTACTTTATCTATACCATATACGGGATCAATAGTAATATTACATGACTAGACAAAGAAGCAAATCACTTTAACCGACTTGAGCACATTTCGTGTGTGTGTGTGTGTGGGGGGGGGGGGGGGTCTGAAAAACTCATCTATTCATTTTTGTTTACAAAACGTGTTTATGCACACGACGTCTAGCTTTTGGGTTTATTATTATTATTATTATTATTATTATTATTATTATTATTATTATATAAACTTTTAAGAAAATGAAAAATGATCGCGCTCTCTTATTGCAAAATGATAGAATTAATAAAATTAGTCGTGTGTGCGAATTGAGAATAAATGAGGTAATTAAATTATGTACACCGTGTCAACAGTGGAAATATCAACTAAAAATAATGATGCTTAACAATGATCTATGCCTTTTCGGAATATTATTCGGGGAACTATTATTTGATCAAAGTCCTATATATCTTCATGTACCCATTTACTAGTATCTCGGTGTCATTTAGGGCATCTTGCATACATCATCTCCTCATACTAGATCATTTGAGTTAGAACTTAAATATACATACAGTCAAAATGATGTTTTTGCAAATATTTTACCCAAAATTTTGTATGCTGTTTTATTTAATGACTCTAGCACCACGTAGGCCTACGTGAGTATGTTATTTTTAAAAGTTCAAAATTAACTGCAGAAATTAAATAAATTTGCAGTGTTGTTTTATACTGGGTGATGTTGATGTAAGGAATATCACATGTGCCACTCTAAAAAGGAGGCATTTAAAAAGACCGATTTTATTCAGTTTACACATATATGCAAAAAATAATAACATAATAATAAATAGCTACCTGCCTAAAGAAAATTGTAAATGATATAAAAAGGCAAAATAAAAACTTTAAAATAAATAAATAATGAATAAATTGTGGACTGACTTGGGTTAGACTCCCTGTAAATCGGATTAATCGGTGACCAAATTCAGAATTTAACATTTTTGACTGCATTGATTTTTGGACATCCCAGGGGCGGATCCAGGATAAGATTATTTGAAGGGGGGGGGGGTCCTCGGATGCGAAGCCTACCTTCCACCCCCACCCCCCTTGGCGTTGGGTTAAGGGACCCCGGAAAATTTTGGTATTTTAGAGGTATTTTATTTGGTACGGTTTAGAACTATGATTCAGCTAGTCAAGATTCTAATTTCAAGAGGCCACTTAATGCATTAATTAATTGGTGTGATCTTTTTCAGAAATCGAAGGGAGTCAGGACCCCCCCTCAACACCACCTAAATCTGCCACTGCATCCTGTACCCCGAGTCCTGGAAGAAACCCTGATAGACACGGGGTAGAGGGTAATTCCCTGGCTCATAATGTTTCGTTGGTGGATTCTCACCATGTAGCGGCACACGACCTCGCTAGGACATATTTATAAATCAAAATACCATTTCATACCTTCATACAGAAAAGAGTATTTTGGATCAAAGCTACTTCCAGGGTACAGCTTTTACGCCTTCCAACAGAAATAATGTCGTAATGATTTATCCAGATTTTATTTACCGTGGGATTTCCGTAGTGGCTCGAAGGAATGTTGGTCTTGAAACAACTACGCCATCGGGTATAATAACCATACAGCCGGCATTAGATGCCAAGGTACAGCTTGACTTGACAGTGGTCTACACGGTGCTTTATTCCTTGTTGTTTATCTTCGTGTACGTTCAGTTATGGATGATTTTCTGGTACAGACATAAGCGACTGAGCTACCAAACAGTATTTCTGTTTCTCTGTTTGATTTGGTCAGGAATAAGAACTACACTGTTTTCATTTTACTACAAAAACTACGTCCTTGCGAACACTTTGTCACCAGTACCGTATTGGATTTTATTTTGTTTTCCTGTATGTATCCAGTTCATTACTCTTTGCCTGTTGGTCCTTTTCTTTGCTCAGGTAAGTACACTCTTTCGTCTCTTTACCACGTTTAATGTTAAGTCAGTTAAACTTGCAAGTTAATGAAATATGTAGTTATAAGAAATACTGGAGTGGGGGTGGGCTACTAGTATTACCTTTCAAATTTACTTGTGTTTTTTCTCAGTTTATTTATTAGCCATAATATGCTAGAAAGAAGTAACATGCAAGAATACTGTTCTCTTGTTGTTTTGAAAACAAGTAACTTGTCACAATAATGCAAACATACAGCAGTATATGGATATAACTATGCTGAATCACAAAGAAAGATGCTCTCCTTCTTTTGCTTAGTTTCGTAGTTGAAACCACTGGACAGATATTGTTTACCACCCTGTAGTACAGGCTATGTTCACCATATGTACTCATGTACTAGTACCTGTACCAGTATAGAAACTGCTGTAGACAAGGGGAAGGGGACTAACAGTTTTTTATTCATTTATTTATTTTTTGTTGGTGTTTGCTTGAAACCTTTGCAAATTCTTAAAGGTAAGGTTAATAAAGTGGTATATACTTGTAACCCAATAATCCCCCCCCCCTCCAGAACATGCTCTTCTCTATTAAACTAATCATTTGTTGACATGTCTTTTAGGTTTGCTTCAAGTGTAGAGCACGCTATGAACCAAACAGATACAAGTAAGTCTGCATCTATCATATGATGTTCTTTACAAAAATGAAGAATCTTATAACGTGGAATAATTTTTTTGTGGGTCTCAAAAATAATGATGTCCTCTGTTGTTATGTCCACTGATATATTTATATAATAGATGCCTGAGGTAAAATTGAAATAGTAAGATACAAAATAAGATTACTTATAAATGTGGAAATTGCTCTGTTTTTTTGTAGTGATTGCAGTGTCACTGTGATAATATATTTTGTTTGTTTTAGGAAGCCATTGTGGGCTGCAGTCATTGTGGCAGTGATAGTCTTCATTACTACAAATGTTGTTGCAGCAGTTTTAACAAAAAATGATGAACTTGATCAAAACATTGACTATACAGATATCATCCTTGCTCGTGTGATCATAAATGAAGCTTTATTCCTCATTTTTGCCATTGCCTTGGCTGTGTGTATATACAAAATCTCCAGGATGTCATCAGCTAACCTGGTCCTTGAAGCTAAGGTAAGTTATTTACTGAACTGAAAAGGTGGTTAATCTGCTTTGTTATTTAAAAGCATATTATTATTATTTGTATCTCAAAACCTCTTTATGGTTGTTCCTGACACTGGATTTTACTGCTTTGAGAGAAAATGGCATTTTCATGAGAAAGGTGGCTCCATGTAACCCTGGGATCTTGGGGGTGGGGTGGGGGGGGGGGGACACCCAACATTCAGGTCTTCACAGGTGACCAAGGGTGAATATAATGTCATAGTCTTGTGCGGCAGGAGCATCAAGTTGAGGGAGATGATAACGGAGTTTGTGATTTACTTCCATGACTTCACAGTTGTTTTTTATATTTTTATAGTCTCTGCAGATTTCTTTGTAAATGATCTTTTGACTGTCTGATTTCTGCTTTACTCTTTTAAGTAGGTGACTAGAACAAAAATAGCCTCTAATTTTTAAATCAAGTGGAAACGTACGGTAATGACAGTGGACATTATTCATTCCTGGGAAACATCTGTTGGTGAAAAAAAGTAAATGTGAAGAAATGTTCACTGAGATATTTTGTTAAGTGTATATTCATGTACTTTGTATTTCAGGGTACCAGCAAGTGGCAAGCAATGGCAGCCTGTGTGGTGATTGTTGTGTTGTTTACTTCTAGAGTTGTGTATAATGTCATTGCAATATGTAATATAGAAAAGATGCCTGGGTTTGGCTATGACTGGGTCAATGTTTCAGATGAGGTAAGTTACTGCAAAGAGAAATGTTGCATTATTCGTTACAGGCCGTCTTCAAGTTTACATTGACGGGCATCTAATTTTTTCTGTCAGAAGACAGTCAAAATTGGAGGATGGATAAATAAAGATAATTTGGAAGACTATCCAAAAATATCTCTGATACGCAGCTGAATCAACAACCTATCACCTAAACTTCAGTTCTAAATTTTAAAGAAAAATAGTTTTAAAACCTACTTTAATAAGACGCAATTTTTTAGAAATTTTGAATTACATGATTTAAAATTATTATGGTATCATAATTATGTTGCTTAAAATAGTTCCTCACTGCTGTCTGTTTACTGTTATTTACATCATGATAGGTTAATCAGTATAATCAAATTATTTTTACATAATTTATCAGTGTCATCTGAGTATGAATACTCACACACACTTGATTTTATATTTAGTTGACAATGCCAGTGGAAGTCTTTTTTAAATCAGTGTACTCTCCTGAGACAGTAATTGTACTACTTTATAATTTAACAGGCAGATCAAGTGAACCTTTCCAAGGGATATGCATACTTGTCTTTTGGTATTGTTCTCTTTGTGTGGGAGATTTTACCAACATTTGTAGTGGTAATGTTTTTCCGTGTTAAGCGACCCCAAACTACACCCGTGAGTATTCTTTCTATTGATGTACAAGTAGTTTAAGAACAGTGTCAGTTTTAAATGACCTTCATTCATGAACTAACTATAAAGTTGGCAAATCTGCAACCAAAAAATTATAGAAAATATTTTCTTTGCTTCTTTTTGGTCATACTATGCTGTAATATTTTAATATTAAAGTAACCTTAGTTCATTAGTTACACCAGTCCAGATGTCATGAAAATTTATCTTGCACTGCTTTAAAAAAAAGTAGGAGTGAATGTGGTGCACCTGTGTATGTAATCTTTGCAGCTGTTGACTGATGCATCAGTGGAAGGTCTCAGCCCCCGTGCCTACTTCTTTGATAACCCAAGAAGGTATGACAGTGAGGAGGATTTGTCAAAGAGCACAGGTGGAAAGTAAGTGAAATGGGTTCCATGTTCAGACACATCAATCTTTTTTGTCTAAGTATTCCTGCAAGGCAAAAGAGTAAACACAAAGAGTCTGGTGTAGCAATTATTTATAACTTTGAAGTGTGAACAGTATGTATGTGTACATTACTGTATGCTTACTTGTTCCTCTCAAGGATATTTTGAAAAAAAAAAATTGAAACCACTGTGAGCAACTGAACACAGAGGTCACTTTTTAAATAATTTTTTATTTATTTTTGACAGTCAGGCAGACCTCCATGCCCCCATCAATGGCTCCCCAGCCAGACTTGGTGTCAGTTATTCCAGTCTTGGGGGTTCACTGGCTGGAAGAACAGGGAGTTATTCTCAGCAGATGCCAGGGACCACTCCCCCTGTTATGTATGCTCCAACCCCCATCACTCCTCAGCAACACACGCAACGTTTAGGTGACGAAACATAACCTTTCACTTTGACTGCTTTGGATTTACGAGAGAAATTGCTTGGGATTTGCCACGTGTACTTTTTATGTTACTTTTAACAGGCATGGAAACGCCTTTAAGTGATGGTTTAGCTTGTAAATTTTAGAAGTGTATAATTTTGCCATTTCAGGAGAAAATTGGCTTGTGATAGTGTCAGATGTTTTTATTTTCTTCAAATCATGCCCCAAATGTTGGTTTTATAGCTTCATCATTAATATTACAATAAAATTTAATTATAATCAGACCTGTCATATTCTTTTATCTCACCAAGGCACATGCACATACGTACATACTATATAGCAAGAAATAAGGAAATTATTACAGAAGCCCCAAACAAAAAATTAAAATTTATTTTGTAAGCAAACTGCAAAGGTGATATTAATATGAACTGAAGGGGTAAATGTTGATATGGGCCTCATAGTCTAAATGACAGGTCAGTCATTTAAAACTAAATTATTAAATCTAAAATGGAATAAAACATCAAATCTTAGTGCAGAGAAAGAGCAATGATTCACCAGTGAGAAAATATCACAGAGTACCTTTAATTTACATGATTGTAAAACATGAACAAAAGATCTAGAGATGATGCATCTGTCACACATGCACATCATGCATGAAGTAAGATTCATCAGCAAGGTATGCACAACTCTTTCCACCAAAGAAAATCATGTGAGTGAGTAGGAAGGCCCCTTCTCTAACTCCAGGCCATGTTTCCAAAATGCAGCACCCAAAAGAATGCAAGATCCCATTAATTCTCTGTCAATGTCTTTCATGTTTTTATACTCTGTATAAATAAAGTTTGGTATTTTAATTCCTGTATCTGTCAAATCTTCATTATATATCTCCTCGACTATAGTTTTGCAAGGCATGCGTACACCATCCTGGACAAGTCCAAATCTCATGTTAACCAGCCCTGGTATAGATTCAAAGTAGACGGGATGTTCTGAATGTCTTTGTTGTTGACTTAATACAGTTTTGAGTGTGCACTCCACAAGTTGCATGTGAATTTGTGGTTTTATTCGTTTTAAGGTTTTATACACATAATTTTGAGTTTCCATCACATACAGGTTGGACATAGGAAGTTCTGGTAGAATTGAATTATAGACCTGAAATAGATGGTGACATAAATTTACAATCATACATACACAAAACAAAGTTTACAACCAAAATAAAAAGAAAATGCTACTTTATAGAAAAAATCAAAAATCATGTTACAAATTCACTGAAATGACATGGGTCAATTTTGATAACTAAAATGTTAGTTGAATTCAAGACTATCCCACAATGTACCCGCTGGGTGTGGAACTACTGGTATTTAGTAATTTGAAAAGTGTAGGCTGTTACAAAAAAAACCAACTTGTTGTCACAGAAAAGAAACCGACTAGTACCCGTCTCAACAACCGCTGGTGCAAATGCGCTTCCTTCACTGCGGTTGATACATCAATAGTGACCATGTTATTCAGAGAAAGATTGCGGCCCATAGTTGTTGCATATACCTTATAGTAACCAAACACAATTGCACATACACTGGACACATTCTGAAAAAGAATAACAGTTTTTAAGAATCTCATACACAGTAATTAGTTTCTTATTTGACATCACTGCTCCATGCTTGTAATCTCCAGCTTTAAAAAGACAAAATAGAATGGCTACTGTTTCAATTCATCTGGGGCTGTTTATTTAACAGACAAAGAATAAACTAATCATATCTTACCTTAAGAGACTCCTTAGTTAAAGGTGGATCACAGAAAACGGGTGCCTTTTTTCTACCACCTCTCTTGCTTTGTACCTTTCTGGCCTTTGTTCCATTATCCAAGTTTGCAGATGAACTTTGGGGCAATGGAGAGGGAGGAGGACCTTTTTGTTCTGTTACATGCCTACATGAAGTGTTACTCTCTGATGCCACTACTTTCTCACTCTTACATATTTCCTCTTCATACTCGGTGTTTATTTTTTTACTTTCTTTTTCCTGTCCATTGGCTGAGACGAAAATGATAGGAAGTGACTCTCTGGCACACCCACCAGCATGTCTTTGCAGATTTAGAGAACAACTGTGAACCTGAAACAAAATCATAATAAATGAAGCTTATTTCTGATATGAGTACAGAAACCTGCTGTTGAATCTAAATTTAAATATTATAAGTATTGTCTGATGTTCTTATAAAGATATCTATAGCATCTTTTACTTCTTATTTGGACTTTCTTGGAGATACCTGGCGTGATCTTTCCCCCATGAAAAAAAGTCATACTTTATGAATTTTCATTGGGTGATGCTAATTTTCTCTAACAAACCTTTGATCATCCTTTCCTGAATTGCTTCAGGTCTTTTTAAAAAAGTCATGTTGGGGATGATGCTACCTTTTATTAATTTTACAGTTTATTTTTTTAACCAAAAAAATAATGCACCATATTAGTATAGAAGTCTTCTGAGGCCCTAGATGTTTCAGTTTATGTGGCATAATGATAAGACCTAAGACCACACTACTCTCTGCCTGAGACCTGTTAAGTGATGATATAAATTATATGTAACAGAACAGAAAAGTGCACAGAAAAGACCTTAGAGAAGTATCTGTGAATACCTGATTGAAAAATTATCTGTGGCCCTGCTAGGGGGTAAAGCTACCAGAAATTTTATTCACTAAACTGCCAAGCGGCGACTGGGGTCGGTAGACATGTTTTTGTATTTTAAACGTGTTTAATTAGCATAGCAACTAACTTTTAATGTTTTAATTATTGTTTTTATTTATTTATTTATTTTTAAATATAAATTTATTCAAGTGGTTGGGGTGGAGAAATGTCAAATCCCAAGAGTACCGGTATAGAAACTTAGCTCAAGTCACTCAACTCACCGTTCGTGGATTCTTAATGCTTTTGGTAATCACGTACTGGCTCCTTAAAACAGCTTGAAAGCGGCCAAAGACACGAAGACCACTCATTATTATCTTGTTCCAAGCTCTATGCTGGTGTTGTTACCTGTCCTTCTTCAGTTTCACCTTTCCCGAAATGTTTTACGTAACTGATTCCTCATTTGTTTCGTGCCGGCACACAACCTTTGAAATACAATTGTTTTTCAAAATATCCTATTTTATTTATAGTCTTTTATAATAAATATCTAATTATTTTATAGTTCTGCTTTAATTTTATATTACTTACCTTACAAAAAAATGTGCGTAGTTGTCACCACTTTTAACCTGATTTAAGGGACCAATCTGAAGAGCACATGCTTAATGTGGTCACTGATAGGTGGCGATAGTGCTTCATTATTTGATTTATAATAATATTGTTTTGCATCTCAAAATATTATTAAATGATCTTACAGAGCAGATCGAATGGGGACAGTGCATGGCACAGAGTCTAATTTTAGCTGGTCTAAGTCATCCTAATATGACACTGTGCTAGTTAGCGGTGATGGTTGCTAATGTTAAAGCAGTCATGAATATTCATATTCTCTAAGGCACACAGGTCATTTGAAACTACGTAAACAGAAGGATCGTAGTTGTAACAAGAAGGAGATCAGAATTCTCGGTTTGACGAAGACCACGCCATGCTGATGGAATTATACCAATTGGAAGTCCACATTGTTTTTAGACATGTCTAATGAAACGAATATATCAACAACAACAGTGCTAACCCTATCCACCACCAGCGCTCCCGAATTGTTGGAGTGTAAAGATCGGCTGTACTATGTATTCCTGCTGTCCAGTATCCTCAGTTTTATAACATGTTTTATCATCGTTCTGTTGTGGAGGGTCGGGGTAATACTCTGTGCACGGAGACAGAATGCACAGCTGGACTCCAAGAGCAGTCCACAGAAACATCTTCTCGGTAAAAATTCGACGGAGACAGAGATAGGATGGGTCTCGGAGGCCAAAGATTGGGCCGGCGAGCTTATTTCTGGTCAAACGATGACTGGGAGAATACTGGTAAGCGAATAAACAGGAAAAACTGAACTAAGCTGCTCTAATCTTTTACAGGATGCTTTAAATTTAGCTGGAGCGTGTCCATTTTGAACTGACTCGTATTATTTTTCACTATATAGACTGGATCACGGATAATTGAATACTCGTACATCCAGTTTGTTCATTCATTTCTAATGTAATCTTTCTACTAGCACGTTTTCAATGATTAAACATACTAGTTAACGGCACAGTGATGTATCCAATATTAAAAGAAAAATGTTTTATGTTTTGTATAAGAGTTCTCATGCAGGATTTATCAAAATATTATAACCAATATCTTATGTCTCTGAATATCACTATCTGTAATTGTTTTCCAGGTGATGATATTTTACATTTAAACTATCTCTTATCCTATGGTGTAGTATGTCAGTTTGAATTAGATTTCTCTGCTCATAATTTACAATTAATTTACAATTAGTATTTTTGCTTATGCATATTATATTTTTAATTTTCACACAAGGAAAAACATTTTTTACAAATTAACTGAATGTGAGGTGATTATGCCTGTTATTAGTTTTTTCTCCTACAGTTGCTATGGTTGCAGAATGCACACAAGAACTATTAGCACAATAAGAATAATCTATTTTATATCAATTTCAGAAATTCTACAATGTATTTGTCTTTGAAAATTAATTTATATTTCAATTAATGAGATGACCTGTAGTTATGTACATTTGATTAATTTTACTTCTTTGACCATTATTTTCTCTTTCTCTCTTAGACATATGTAGGCACATGTGCTCAAGCTCACACACACACACACATGATAAAAACCTTTGTATAGGGCCTGTGTATGCTGTATGTGAAAAAGAAGCAAGTTTCAGAGGTCAAAAGCTTTAGAGGTGCAGAAAGAGTCCAGGTAGAAAAATCTGATTCCCGGGGTTGTTCTATTTATAAATATATCTAGCTCATATCAGTCTGGCACTGTACAGTTGTACCTGAGTTTTATGTTGCATGTTAACAACTGCATGCTTTTGGTCTTTTTGGAGTGTAATCACTGTGTTATTACCAGAACTCACATTTGAACTTAAATTACAAATTTTCGCTGCGTAAGGAATATCAGTATTCAAACATTTGATTTAAGATGAAGGAAAAATTATTTATTGGTGTATATACTTAGTTATGTAGTTTATCATTAATTCTTACAAATTTATTATTTTCTCATAAGGTGTTTTTTGTAATTCTCAGTTTGATCAAGTAGTAAAATGGAAGAATAAGACCATTTGCCATCAAAAAGAAAGGTTTCAGTTAACACGTAAAATTTGCCCTTGCAAGACCACGTCCGTTGAGCCAGCTATTATATATTGTAGTTATTCCAGTCAATACAGTGAATGATACAGCTGCCAATGTTTGGAGTACCCATGTCCAGTGACTGTTTGATTTCTTCTGTTGATCACTTGGTGACAGCAAGTATAGCTTGTATTAGGTTACCTTTATTGTTGCCTTCTTAGGCTTAAGAATGAAGACCAGCACAGTGGCAGGAACGTTTTCTTATACCTAAGGTTGATGCTCATAAATTTCCCTATAAGTAACTTAGCAAGAAATCAATTGATTGTGTACATAGGAACATTGTTGTGTATTTAACACTGTATGGATGTGGTCTAGGTGTAATCAGCTGCATGGAACACTTCATTTCAGTTCTTTTTACAAGCTTTCTACATTAATAATATTATCATATTTTTTCAGTTTATTATATTAGAAAACTTATGATAATGAAATTGTAGTCACAATATTGTAGTTGAAATGGTACGTGAAGAATAATATTTTCCAAAGACCTAAACAAGGCTCAGGGTGTTAAGAACAGTTTAGTTCTTAATTGATTGGTTTCAGATCCACAGTTTTGGATCTCAAATAATTGGCATTTTAATTAGGGTTAAAGATAATCACTGGCACAGGGGGGTAATCAGGGGGAAATTAATTAGAGCTTAAGGTGTACAACGGAGGAAATCGGCTGTGAGCTTGCTAGATGAGCCAGTATAAACTTCCTCTGAGAACTGTAACCTATGTTCTGTACAGTGCACCAGTTTCAACAATTGAATTAGCAGTTCTGTTCCTCTCAATAGTTATCAGTTGCTGTGTTCACATTCATCATCTGTAAATTAGAACTATAAACACATCAAAGGAAAACATGCAGATTCTTGTAGAATATATGCAAGGAATCCTACTTACAACTTTGAAAATAGTTTTGGGATAAATTATCTTCTTCCTACAGACAACATTTTATTTTATGTAGCAGCAGCTTCTAGATTTCTTTTATACCAGACCCTTAATCACGCTCCAGTTAAACAGAATATCAGTTAATTCAATTAAAGGAGGGTGGGGGTGATAAGGGGCTAAATCCATGTTATTAATGTATTTATTTGTTTATGATATTAAAAAAACGTACATGTATCTAACATTGCATCACATGAATAACAGGCAAAGCTGTCAGCTACTAGTAAGTAATTTACTAATTGTTTGGTAACCTAATTGTCATTGCTTATCACTATTTTTGTGCCTACAAAGATTTACAAGTTATGATAATTGATTTTAAGCACCCCCCAACTACTAGTAACTAGTCAATCTCTATAAAAATGATCCTAATTGTTAGAAAGTATGTGGACTATAGGTAGGTATCAGGGGTTGCTGATTTAACTGTCAGTTTGAAAGTTATCTCCATTTGAAATAAACAATATGTTATAACATGGAGGTATTTCACATGAAAGCCAGTAGAATTAAAAGGAAGTCATTTACTAGTAAGCCAGTTTAGTGATATACTTTTGAAGTGCTATCAGCCAGCTTTTAATTGACATCTAGATCTTACAACTTACAAGAGAAAATCCCAATACAGAAAACAGTATTTTTCTCTCCACAATGAAAATACAGCATCACGTGTATGATACTTCTCTCAAATTTATATTAATGGAACTTCTTTCGTGGTGTATATTTATTTTTGTAAATAGAAAAAAAGACTTGCTTCATTATTCCTATGACTTTATTCCCCCCCCCCCTTTAGGTGTGTGATACCTTGTATATCTACATGAGGTAATGCTATAAACTATCATCAAAACTGTATTTTAGACTTGTTGTTGGACCACACTTATTATTATTNTGCGCTTGCTCCAGCTGGTGGTACAATATTTGGAGTCGATATCGCCTCTCTGATCCTCTAGTTATACTAGCTCTTGCCTCTGTTGAGAAATGTCATGCTCTGCAATTTCTTTTGGGAAAATAATATATTGCGTCTCTCCTTAATGGTACATAGGTAATATCGTCATGTCTATGATTAGCATATATCAAATGATTGAAAGGGTTGCACCTTGTCTGATGGTAAGCTAGTGTTTTTTTTTTTCTTGCCTGAAATGATACATTGTTGACATGTTATCCCGCATGATTCAGATATTACTATCTTTGCAATACCTCTGAGAAAAAGGCTCTGACGTCATAATTTTGACCAAATGTTAATCTTTCCCCTGTAGCCAAAGGCTGTCTGGCTAATATTTTCCCTTAGCCCTTTGCATAAACCCCATTTATTATTGATTTAGATATATTTTGGGAATTGATGAGAAAAGGTTGGCATATTGGACCAATACGTCGTGGAGTAGGTCTAACACATGTAACCTATGAGAGCAGCTGCTATAAAAGCTTTCAACCTAGTATCAACCCTTTATTGGAAAATTCTGACCTTCACATTCATCACATGATAATTTGAAATATTTGTACAAGCATTACAGGAAAACCTGCTGATTCTGGTAATGTATAAGGAATCCAACTTGCAGCTCTAAAAACAATTAAAATAAGGTATTATTTTCTCCATCAGAGTTGAAAAAAAAAAGCCTATTTTCTTATATCAATAGTTTCTGAGAAATTTTGTTTCTGAAAAATAAATTGATAAAAATTGTACCAGTATGTATACTGGTATGCTAACTATTTATTGTTCTTGCTTTGAATAACAAAACAAACATTTTGAGATGTAGCAAAAACAGTGGTATAGTAAGTTAGACCCAAGCTCAATGATGTGAAGGTTACACAAGTAGCTCAAATTCTGAACTGAGCTGTCACCAACGTATCAAATCCCTTTGAAGAAATTGATTTTCCTTATTTCATAACATGCCGAGCACAGACACAACACTGAGGATATAAATGAAATCGTATTCTTTTTTCATTCAGCATATCTATGAAACCAAATTCCTTTGTTCTTTCAGCTTATTTTGTTAGGTTTCCAAGAACCTTGAACTTCCTTTGGCAGAATGCCTGGCAGCATGATAAGAAGAAATCATTATTTTTTATTTACAGTGCAGCTAGTCAAGTTAATTGTGCCAGAATTTTTTTCTTTTTTTTTTTTTCTTAATCCTGAGTGGAACCTGGCAAGATGGACCAATTTTATTGATTTGGAATATTTATTTGCCATTAGTGTTTTCCTGGTTTCTATGTGTCTGTGTTCAACAGCATTGAGCAGTATTTACTTGATTCATCCACGAAAGTGTGTGTGAATCAATACTGCTCATCACGGACTAGTGAATAAATAATCTTCTTTTGTCTGTTTCAGGTTGTTTTTGTGTTTCTCCTCAGTATAGCCTCATTAATTATTTACTTCATTGATGCACAGTAAGTATAATGAAAGGAAAGGAAAGGTCTGTGTAACGTCTGTATAGAATTCATTAGTGAGAGTACCTCTTTTCCTTTGATCTTTTGCGCAAAACTTAACATTTTTCCAAGAAAATTGCCTAATAAATGCAGTATTAAACCTCTTGTGAAACAAATGGATTTTGAAAAATCTTCTTAATGCACCTGTAGATTTGATTTTGTATTGATTTGAGTAATTGAAAAATGAGTTGGATTGTCAGCTCTGTTCCCAGTTGAATATTTTCCATTTAAAGTTGTATCATAAGAAATAAATGATATTGAAGACTGGGAATAAGAAAATAATAAAGAAATAATAAAGAAGCAACATGTATAGTCTGGTTTCTTATAACACAAGTTTGTAATTTTTTTCTGTGTGAACAATCATATGCACATGAGTTATATAATTTATGTAGGGGCTCTATTCACCAATTTGTATAACGTTTAGAAGACTACTGCTCTGTAAAATTTCTAGATTGATACTTATAATTTATTATGAAATGTACCGCTGATCGTAAAAGCTCTTTTTACACATTTCAGAAATGTTTCTGATCCAAAAACAAGGCTAAGGGGAGCAACCAATTCTGATGGCAAGTGAGTATATTACCCTGCAGTTAAGGAGTTCCTGTCAATTCTATGTGCTTAGAAAACAATGAGAAACTATATCTTACTGGCACTGTGGTAGTTAAGTGATGTACATTTATCTATTCCTGACACTTGTGTACATTGCTGTGCAGTTTTCCCAAACCTACAATAACTTCAAATCATATTGTTCTAAAAGTCTTTAGTCACATATATACACACTGAACCTAGGCCTGCACACCTTGGTGCTATGCCTTTCTCTGGTTGAATAAACTTGCTATATAGGGGACAAATGCAGTTCTTCTCTCCGTGTGCAATGACCATAGGCAGCAGTTAGGAGTTGGTCATTGGAATAGGTCAGGGGTTATAGATTTACTGCTTTTTGTACAAAAAAAGTTGGGTGATGAGGAAGAGTTGGAGGATGTTTTCATACATTCTTACAATGAATAAGTATAAAACAACAGGTGTAGAGAAATGTTCAGAAATACACAGACTGAATACTTTTTGTAGTAAGATGCACTTTTGAGTACATTGAAAATGATTTGATTAGTTTTATAAAATATGGAAATCCTAATATTTTGTACTATAAGTCTCTACTACAGAATTCTTCCAAAATTAGATCTACTCAAACTCAGTTCTTTTGTACATGGTTTGCTACTGTCATCCAGAGGAAAAGTGTACAATGTTTGAACAGAAGTTAACAGAAGGACTTGCTGTAGTAGATGACTGCTTGGAATTTGCTGTGTAGCACAGTAATGGCTTAAAATACCAGTGTGTGCTCACATGCTAAGTATTGGCTGATTTCTTGGTGGGGAAATCCTTCTCTCACCTGAACCTTACAACTGCCATTACTTTGTCTTCAGGGCAGTGTAGGGAGGAGGGAAAGTTAGTCTGGAACACCATGTATACATCAAATACATTCATTAAGTGCTCATTTAAAACAAATGAAATATTAACTTGTCATGAAGGAAGGGTTTCGGCTAGTTTCCTTCAGTGTTGGCTTTAAGGGTGGCTGCTCATGACTGACAGAATTACTAATAATGCAAAGATAGGGAGAATATTATGTTAGCTTTGAAAACCCTGTATACATCAAGCTCATTGGTTAAGTGCCCATTTTAAAGTTGTAAAACATTTTTTATTGACAAAGAAAGATTCAGCTGCTGTTAGTGCTGGCAATAGTTGTTTTTGTAAACATGATTTATAAAGACAGTTTAAGGGACATAAGACAGAAGAAACAATACCAAACAGATATGTCTCATTTTCATAAATTTTGAACAGTTACTTATTTTAAAGAGTGTATTTCTTAATTTTAAACAAACAACAGTATATAACTTCAGTTCCACTTGTTATTCAGAATTTTCCAACACTGGAAAAAGTTTGAATTTATCCTTACTCTTCATGATCAGCCCATGCAGCCAGACTGTTTAACTGAATTGCCTTTAACCTGTGGCCTCATCTTAAACTGAATCATTCAATAAAGTCAGTTAATTTTGATCTGGCTCTGTATCCTGAGGCAGCATTTACCTGACAAGGGTCTCTGTTATACCCGGATGTGACACTTGCTGCCAAACTCAGGTTGTTTTTGTAGGTGTTAGGCTGCCTGCTATGTCCTAGTGTGAACTTCTGCCCCTTCTTTAGGAAGTCAGATCAGGAACAGACACTACAAAGAGCCATGCATGGGTTTTGGGTTTTTTTCTCTCTGATTGTTTTTATTTCTTGTAATTTTTCAATGAAACATCATTTGGTGAGTAGCTTTTTATTATAAATAGTTTTAAAAAGCAAAAACTAGAAACCAGCCGTCATAGCCATACTGCATGGCTGCCTCTCCCCAGATAGCATCAATCAAAATGATGCATATTTTAAGGATATATATATGTATATCTTATAATTTCCAATTATTGCCCAGTGATATAAGGATGGTGAATTTTTTAACAAACATAGAGACATTTCACTTACGAAATACATTTAAAAAACTAAGGTAATTTGCCAGTTTCTGTTATCACTTGGAGTGGTTCTTAATAGATCATAACACCTGTGAGGATTGAAAATTATTCTTAATGCATAACAAATGGCAACTTTCATAGGAATTATTTTTGCAGTGGGATACCTTGTTATTTCAGAGGTCCCATGGGGGAATGGTGGGGAGGGGGCATGATTATAAAGGTGTTCCCTCTAGGCTAAGCAGGATCTTTCTTTCACTAACATCCAGCTGAAAATTCACTTCTGTCTTGTAAGTCGGCATTCCTAGTAATTTGCACCAGCATAGAGCAGTGGTGATGGATGAGAGCAGAACTGTCAGATACAACTTTTCCATACATCTGAAGTTCTTACCAGAAAAACTGGGAATAAGTCAGTTGCTGCAGTGATCAGTAATACATGTTATGGAGAATAAACTTGCGATTCAACTTCGGCCCTTTCTACATCAAGTTGTACTGTTTCAGTTAACCAGATTAATTTTGATTGGCACATTAGAGTTTGTGAAAAGTAAACATTTTTTAAAAATATTACATGTAAGTATCAATTAAAATATGGTGGCACAGAAAACTGTACAGTTCCATGTGAAAAAGTGCCTTAGTTTGTGTTTATAAATCTTTTCTCTTGTGGACTTAACTTTTATAAAAGTGACCCAAAACTTTATTTATGATTATTGTGTAATCAACAGGTAGTCCTCTCTCTCTCTCTCTCTCTCTCTCTCTCTCTCTCTCTCTCTCTCTCATAGAACTTGAAACAAAAGCTGCTGTAAAACTCTTAGAACTTTACAACTTGATGCAAAAACCTTATCATCAATATCACATTTATCTTATGTGGATGGATTTATCTGTGTAAAACAAAATATTTTTATGTATTATTACTTTAACAATTTATCTCTGTACATATTCACAAGCTCAGTCTGGTGTAGCGGTGTGAATAAACATATATCAAGCATCTACTGTAAGGTGCAGTATGCTTTCCATTAGGATGTTATGTAATTGTTACATTAGTTCACTGGCTTCAGACAGCGCTATAATATCCAGCAGCTTCTTCCCCCCCAGAGACCCATTATCCAAACAAATGCAGGATGATTAATTGTATTAATTTATATATATGTATATGTTTTACCTGATGTTGAGTTATGCAGGGCTGCTGTCAAACACCTGGCTAGGTGAGACAGTGGCGTGTTTTCCGGCTGATCGTTCCAGAAATAGGTTCTCCTGCACGCGCTGTAATCCCTGGTATGTGGTGATGTATGTGGAACTGGGGGGGAGGAAAAACTGCTGCTGTGGCCTTCTCATTGTCTGGAAGTACCCTGTGATATAGCTCACAGAAATTTGAATAAAATATAATAGCCAATCTTGCCATTTTATCCAAATCTGGTTTGAGAACATATTTCACAGTTGTTGCATAATTATCTCCTTTTGTAAATGACTGTATTTGTTTAAATGGAAGGATATTAGAGTGGATGTTTTACAGGTAGCCTGCTATAAATATACATCAGGTAGCAAGGTATGTACATGTAGTTATATAGTATTGAGAGAATATCACATCTGTGTGGGGCTTCATCTATGCTGGTAGATCATGTAGGTGATTGCTAACATTTCAACAACAGTTCATCTGCAATGCAACAACCAGGAGGGGAGGCAATTGATATTCTATTGGCATGGCTGCAGGCTAAGAATAAATACAGAACTCCATTGCCAGGGTTCTCTGGACTCAGTAATGATTTGGAGTTCATAGATCTAGCGCTAATATTGAATCCAGGTTAAGATTTGACAGGAGTATAATGCTCCTGTGTCCTTAAATCCATATATAATTAGCCACAGGTCTGATGAGTGAGCCTTCACTGTCCTGTGCCTATAGCTTAAGATGGTTTTTAGCATAGTGGGTTTCTTCCTGAACTGAAGCCCCTGCCATCTGTCTTCAATAAAAGCTTTGTTTTTTTACAAGAGGCTGGCACAGGATCTAAATTTGTAAACCTCAGGTGAAACCACTAAGGGATAAAGAAGGTTACAGCTTTGTACAGAATACTTCTAGCTACATACACATTTTGTATATATATATGAAATCCTATATATATTTGGTTTGAGTTGTGTGATAGTGTTAAAGGGAACACTTTGCGACAAAATTTGAAACACTAATAAATGTTTGTTTTTTTTATTGAATATTTTAATTGTTACCTAACATTAAAGAAAGGGATTCAGTGTTTTTGCTATGAGTGAATTGCTATATATACAAATAGTAACCTAATGAAATCAGATATAATTCATGTCAGTGAGATGATCGGTAAAGTTGCCAAACAATAATAAACTCATATTTCGGAGGACAAACTAATTCTTTTTTTCCCATTTATTTCTGTTGCAGTCGATCAGTTGTGGAAACATGCATCCCGTGGGCAGAGAGTTACACACAGCAGGTGGATTTGGCTTTCAATGTCTTCTTCATGATCTACTTCTTTATCAGGGTAAGTACTGGGCACTTTTTAAAGTTGAAAACGTTTCAAAACAGATGCAGTTTATGACAAAAGCTTTTAAACTCCCATTCTGCTTGCAAAATTGACACTTAAAATTTGACATGAATTGAATAGGGTCCGAGCTTTCAACTTATCACACCTTAATATTATCACATTAAATGGTAGGTAGATATCTGACACAATCACATTTATTGTCATTTTGACTGGTTTATCTCTTTACACTTCACTCCTGGGTTTGAAAAAAACCCAGCAGATATTTTGATATTTTGTATGGCCCCCAGCCGTGATTAGTTGATGATAGCCACTTTAAATTTCCCACTTTTGACACTGATGATACACTTGGTAATATTTTTATTATGTTTGTCGAATGTGTTTCTTGATCATAATTGACAGATGTTGCTTAGTGGTGTTTTTTAGAAGTAAGACTTATCACACAGTCTCCTCTGTCTCATTAGATGCAGGCGTTTTATGAGTTCTTATTCCGAGAATACTGCTCCATGATTTGTTGTTGTTAACTAAGGTGTATATTATATTGTTGTATTGAATGGCCATGGTCACCATCATTGTCCCTGAAATATAGCCTACTGTACAGTTGTTGAAGTCACCTGAAACTAGCTCACAATTTTCAGTTACAAAGTCAATCAGAGATCTAAATCTTTTAAATCCAAGATAAGGAAATAAACATAGTTTTACAGTGAAAATTTTAAACCAGGTTATTAATAGGTAAGTATTCTGCCTGTTGAAATCAGCACGGATTGGAGTGTGCAGATATAGTCACTGTGAAGTTCTTAACAACAATATGTTGTGTAATTTTTGATTCATCAAATCTTTTGTGCAAGTGCTCTCATACGTTTCCAAAGGGTAGAATAATGGAAAACCACTTTTAATGGAATGGTTTTATTATATATATTAATATTATAATCACTCAAACTCTGGTTCTTGTTAGAATTTGCTTTCTAATCTCATTGATTCTAATGTGGATAGCAGTTGAAAAACAGGCACTCATTGTCTATCAGAAACTGTATTATGATGGTACAGCATAATCAATTTTCTTTCATTGCGAATTTAGTGACAAGACAATATTTATTGTCATGGTTCACATATATAGTAACAACTTAATGAGTGTATATATATATATATATATATATATATATATATATATATATATATATATATATATATATATATATATAGTAACAACATAATGAGTATTTGGGAATTGTATGACATAACTGCATATAGAGTTTCTCATGAAACTTTAAACAAATATGATAACATATAATGTTACTGAGTTAAACCAAGATATTGATTTTCAATAGAGACAGAGAGAGTTCATTGTACAATTTTACACCATATCATAATGTTAGTAATGTAAGATAAAGCATAGTAAGGTCCTGATGTACATTGGAGAGAGATAGAGCTAGACTTGATGGATTTTGTCTTCTGCAGGTGACAGCAGTTACTACAATACAGCACAGTGTTTATTTGTTCTCACAATAAAGATGATATTGACTTCACTTCATTTCGCTGAAACATCACGTAAAGAAATACAATACATCTTTTAATGAAATGATACGGATTGTCAATCTAAGTGAATTAATTTGTTTTCCATCTGTCATTGTCTTTGCTAAGGTAGCACTTCATACATCTCGGATACTTGATATCTACTGTAGCCATGGTAACAGTCTGACATTTACCTGGTATTAGGTATGAATGATTTTATCATTTAGTTTATTACTGTCTTTTATCTCTACAGTTTGATACATTACTAGTACCCTGATAAAATTCTGTGGCAAAGTTAAGGATTTTAAGCAGATATAAAATACATAAAAAAACTAATTCTAGTTGAGCTTATCTGACGACAAGTAATACTTTTTGATCAATTTTAAAAAGACAAATTCCATGAGTACATGTCACAAAAGTAATCAAATTTATTCCCTCATGATGAACTTTGTCACCTATTAAACATTATTTAAGTTGTATAAATCTGGAAGTAAGTGGGAGAATGATAACATTTGAAAAAACATTATAAAGGCCATTTTAATTTTAAATGGCGTCAGATTGTTACAGAATGTTGATGAGTGTCAGGAAAGGAGGATCAAATGTGAGTTAGTTACTATATGATAGAGAAAAATGCCATTTACCCAAGGCAACTTAATTATGATTTTTTCAAATCTTAGGAAAATCTTATATTAGGCACCATTAAACTGGTCGGTCATTGCAAGAGAAGTTTAAATGATACAGTATAATAAGCAATTGTTACCAAAATAAATAGTGAAGCCAAGAATTGAAAAAAGCAAAACTGATAACAAATGCAAAGAAAAAAATCATAAACCATTGATAATTATCAAGAAATGTTTTGAATAATTGAAATTGATGTTAAAATTTGCATAATACACAATAAGGTATTATATTTTATTGTTTTTTAATTCTATCAAAAATTAAAAAATAGGGAATAAAGCAACTTCTCCACTCAGAGAAAATAATGAATACATTGACTTTGAGCGCAATATGTTATACACAGTACTTACCTTGTTACCTGACCAAGTATGTAGTTAAAATAAATATGACATTGTGTCAGTCTTATACCAGCTTTAATGTATGCCCTCTGTGTGATAAGTGGTAAGAGAGGAGTAGGATGACTGTACAGTGGACCACTATTCATATTACATAATATAATTTATATATAATGCATTAAATTACCACTCAACATATTACATTAATCTGATTCAGATAAAATGACCTGCAAGAAGTAATATTGGTGTACCATACTTACAATGGAACTGTTACTGACAGTAATATTAGAAAGAGGAGCTGGTAGATATCAGGTGGCTCCAAAAATTTTATTAATTTCAAAGTTTAATAACTTCAGCAGTTTTGAAAAAAAAACGCATTGAATTGGAGATATTAATTGAACAGATCAATACGCCTCCTCTTGTTTCCAACTTATTGGTATAATCACCAGCTTTTCTGTATTCTACTCAATACCAGGGGGTGTGTAAGTCTATTAAACTGATTGCATTCAGCCAGTCCCCAGAGTTGGAACAATCTAAATAGACAGACATATTGTCAATGGGAATGAGCCCTAATAGTAAGTTATAATCAAGTTCCCATGGATGGGTGTTCAGTCAGACATTGTTACTAACAAGAATCCATCACCAAAGAATTCTTGTTAATTGTTATCTTGTAGGGACAGATCTTCATGTTACTGCAGGCAGGCAGGTTGTATTCTTTCTATGTGGCTGTATAGCTTTTTTTATCCCAGTATCCCCTAGCCTGATTCTGGTGTATGTGTGCTTATGAGGACCTGTTGAAACAAACAGCACACAAACAGAACTTATTTCCTGAACCAAAAGGAAAAAAAACAAAATCAATATTGTAAACCATTAGTGATATTTTGTGCTGCATTGCTGCCCTGAAGAAGAAAATGATCAAAGCTTGTTTAAGCAATACCTTTGTTATAAAACCATGGGTTTATGATTCCTGACCGTCCTTGTTTATTCAGCACAGGGCAAAAATCAATTGTTATAGATACATATTTTTTAGTGCTTCATCTCAGAAGCAAGTGGTACTACTGATTTACTCTCTTTTATCAAAAGTTAAGTAATTCAGCCTGTTTTAGACACTTCATTAACCACTTTCTATTCTGTTTATGTACCAACACAGCAGGGTTATTTGCGTTTCTAAGGTATTTGCTGTATCCTCAGCCTATGGTCAATCAATCCAGCAAAATAAGGAAACCAGGAATATTGATTAGTTCTGTTTAGCTTTGCTCTCTTTCTTATCCTTTGTGCTCCACATAAATCAATCCTTTACTTAGTAGAAAGAGAGATTGAGCACGTTATGGAACCAATAGCATCAGAACCAAGTGCCATTATAGGATAGAATGTCTTGAGTGCTTTTGTGTAGAATTCCAGAGTTCATATCTTTAATATTTTCTTTAAATTCTTAATGCATCTTTTATTACCATGTACCCTATTCTAGAAGAAATAAATTACTTTTGCCCAAGCATCTTTAATACTTCATACAAAACAGTCATTTTAGCTCTTGTCATCTGTGTGTGTGTGTGTGTGTTTTTTTTTTTTTTTTTTTGTTCGATATTCACATTTAGCAAGTTTGTTGTCTGTAGTGAATATTAATACTACATCCTAAATGGCCAGATGACATCTAACGTACCTTACAATTTTTGTATAAGTATTTATCAGTCTGACTCCCCAGTGGCCTTTCATAAACACTGACCTTTCCTGTGTTAAAAACAGGGCTGTTGGTATTTAACATTTATTTAAAACTGGAAAACTTGGCCATTATTAACAAAGAATAATGCGTAAAAGGGTTGGGAATAGATACTAGGAAATGTTTTAAGTCACCATTGGCAAATACTAAGTCCAGTTGGCAGAACAGTCTTAGTTTTTTTTGCCATTAGTGCTGAATTCCTGGCAATATACCTATCTCTCTGGACCAAATGGCAGATGTGACCAATGAAGCCAATAACTCAAGGTCTATTTAAATTTGTAAGAAATCCCCATGTTAGTACAGAGCAGTTTAAAAGCACAATAATAAATCTCAGTAAATATATATTTGTTGAATTAAGTAATTGTAATAAAATAAATGTTATAGAAATTATATATATACTTATATATATACTTTTATAAACCATCTCAGAAATAGTATTAGTATGGTCTACTAGCTTTATAATTATTATTATTATTATGAAATAGTTTTATGTCGATATTTTATGCCTTTATAGAAAATGTATCAAATGACAGAAAATTGTATTTTAAATAAGTATAAAATGCATGGATGAGGTGATGCAACAATTTGTTCCCTTGCTGTTTTATTAAATTCTCTTGGGTAAAGAAGGTTTGGCTCTACAAATAATATAAATATCCTCTAATGAAATTGTGTTCTGTTTCTGTTCTGTTCAATGGGATTTGTTCTGAATGTGTAACATTTGTAAACATGGTTTTGTAGTTAATGATGTTGTGAAGTGATATATATTGGGAAGATTTGCAATAATTATTATATTAAAACCAAGAGACCATAAAGTTTGATATCACATTTTTATCTATTACGTATGTTTGTATATTATTTTTCCAGTTTGTTGCTGCTCCAGAAAAACTATGGTTCCTCCTAGAAATCTATTCCTTTGTGGATTACTTCACCATTCCCCCATCATTTGTTGCCATCTACTTGGATAGGAACTGGTTAGGTAGGTATCACCTTTCTTCCTGATGACTGTATTTTGGGGTCATTGTACCATGGTCTTACTGTACAACCTGGGACTCACTGGATCATAGGGTCTCTGAACCATGGAGTCACTGGATCATGGAGTCACCGTACCATGGAGTTTCTGTTCCAGGGGGTCTCTGTATCATGGGATCACTGTACCATGCGTTCACTGTATCATGCGTTCACTTTATCATGGGGTTACTGTACCATGGGGTCATTGGATCATGGGGTCACTTGATCATGGGTCATTGGATCATGGGGTCACTGTATCATGGAATAACTCTCAAGACAAGGAAGATTTTTAACCATGGTAGATTGCAGTTAAATTTTTAATTTAAATATCTTTTCATATGAGTGCTGTCTTAATAGGCTCCCTTTCCAAAAGTCCAAACTTTCCCCCCTTTTTAAAAGAAAACAATAACTTTATCGCTTGTAGATTTTTATGCTAGTTTCATAGGTGGCTGTTCTGTTTGTAATATTTTAAGATCCGTAGTGTACATCATCATAAATTATGTATCTTTATTTGTATGTGGTATTGTTGGGTTGTAAAGTGAAAGAATTGTAGCAGAATAGAAGTTTACTTCATCTAAATATAAAATGCACAACTTAGGCAGTATTTCAGCTGACTCTTGACTGCATGATGTTAAATGATTATATTCCACAATTCCAGTGTGTGCATGAAAGAATGGGAATGAGAAGTGTTATATGACATCCCTTGTTTAATGCACGTGATTGGGCAATCTTGTCTTGATTTTCAGCATGTTTTTAGAAGAGATATGTCCAGTCTTGTGGTCAATGGGGCCCTGCCCTTGCATTGCTCTATGTACATATGTTGCCAGCATAGCTCTGGTCTAATGTAGGTTCTGGTTACTGCTATCAGAACACTGCCAAATAATGTTTCTTGTCTAAATTTTAAAGTATTGATGTCCTGTGGTTTTGTTTTTTCTTTCCAAAAAAGGGAAGAGAAAGAAAGGAAATGTATGAAAATTATACAATGCATTTGAAACATTTAACTTTTTGTGAAATTTTATATCATTTTAAGAATTTGTTTCGTCTCTGAGAAAAGCTAGTAAACAGGTAACAAAAAAGCTGGTGCTTCATACACATCTCTTTGAATAAATATTCCCTCTGATCTTAATTATTTATCTTTGTGACAAACAATATAGTTTAATTTCATTTTCCATTTTCCCTCCAGGTTTGGATTGCCTGCGTATATTGCGCCTCATGAACCTTCCCACAATCCTTACTTACCTCAGCATTCTCCAAAGCAGGCGCAGCTTACGACTGTCTCAACTGACCACAATGTTCCTGGGAAACTGGCTTTTTGCCGCTGGTGTGATCCACCTGGTAATAATAAATACTAGGCCTACTGCTACAGACCTGGTACTAGAACTCAGGCAGTGATCCTAGCTGGTCCTGACCTCCAGGTTTTTAGACTAGGCTCTGGGCTATGCTGAGAGTGGTTGTACTATATTTACCATTGATACTTACCTTTTTGCAGGCTTTTGTAACCAATTGTCTACACCACCGAGCTGGCTGAGTGGCATACGATGACTTGAACACTGTAAACTGCACGCTTTGCACTGCATTTTTATATACGTATCTAGTATGGTTTGATATAGTAGAGTAGTGGTTGCCCTAACAGTGCATGGTGGTAATCTTGAGATATGCTGTACAATGTGACAGGTTTCAAAGAAAATCAGCACTAAGTTGTCTACACTACATACCCTTAACAGTAGCTTTTAATCCATTACATACATTTGGTTAACTTACACATAGAACATTAATGGTGTTCGTGCTCTCACCATCCTTCTTGTCACCACCTCTTAGCATTTCTTAATAATTCTTAATTATTTATTAATAAGCAGGCTGTGTTGTTTACTTGCATGTTGACTCTTACCCTACCAAACACCCACCATAAAATGTTATCTTGAATACAGACAGAAACAAATCCATCATTTTTATTATACCCCTCTGTACTAACAGTGAGGGGTGGGGGTGCGGTAATGGCGTCAGGTTGTTCACGCGTTATTGGTGTTTTATTTGGGTTGAAATGTTTGCATATTTCCAGGAAACGTATGCAGATTTTGAGACATAGTTGCTTTATTGCAAATTACTGATAGTATTTAAGCTCATCAGCATTTTGGCTTTCAAGATGGCCCTTTCACAATCAGGAGTTTCTTCATTATTGATTAGCTAGTGGCAAAATGTTAACAGATGCAGCTGTTCATTTGCAAGGCTTAATTTTTGACATTTTGAATGGTGAAGGAATTTTTTTATTCTTCCTCCTGAATGACTCCACATCAGCTGTGGCTGTTTATTTTCATATATTCAACACAGATTTTAATCAAACTTTATATATATGGATGTGAGGTATTTATGGAGTGCCATGTTGGCAGTAGATACCATCTAGTGCCTTGAATACATTTGGTCTTGAGAAACAGTTTTGTAACATATATGAGATCAGTTACAAAGATAAACCAACTGAACACAAAATTAACATCATCTAAATTTGTAGGAATTTTCAGTCATTTTGTAAAAGTGCTATGTTATTTGAAAGCAGAACAGGAAATGTAGTGGTAGATGGATGTTAAAAGAGATCAGTGTGATGCATATATGTATTTATATCATAAGGATTGCAAGTTTAAAGTTGTCAAACTTATGGGAAATACTTCATCCTTCTAATTTCAAGAGAAAGAGCCCTGTTGTTTACAAAAAATTACCTTAACATAAAGAATTACTTTCAGTATTTCATAAGTATGAGATGTTATAATCTTTGCTCATCTGATCCATCCATCTTTGCTGAATCTTTAAAAATATATCTTCCTAAAAAATTGGAAAATAATTACATGTTATTTACAGATACACGTTTGGTTTTTAGTATTTAATATTCATACTTTGAATAATATTCAAAGTACAAATGTCAATAAAATGACATTTTCAACCTAGAATTATATGATGTTTTGGTATAAAACTGAATGATTATAACAAACTAGCCTTAGACACTCCTGCAAATTCATGCACACATAAAATATCACATTTGGGTTTGAAGCCTTTTGATTACCACCCAACCTATATTTCTGAAAAATAATCATTGAAAATAATCAGTCGAATCAGTTGAAAGATATTGCTATTATTTATTCATGCAGCAGTGACTATCATACAAAATTAGTCCGCTTCATTTTGTGTATTGTGGATAATTTTTATGTATTATTATTATTATTGTTATTATTATTATTCAACCTCTTCTCACTTTACACTTACCAAATATAGCTGTATTAAGACTTTTTGTATTCTTTAAACAACAATTTCTTTGAAGCTGTTGTATTGTACATTAAAGCATTTTGTTTCTTTTCCTGTAAATATTTTAGAGGTAATGTACGTGGCAATGTATGTGGGTAGCATGGCGTCTTGACATTGTGAATTGAATGTTCATTTTCTTGCAGTGCATTTTTTCTTTCTGGATAGCAAGCAGTTGCAGCATATGTGCAGTACATCAGTTCTTTGATCATATGAGCACGGTTTTAGACATTTTATTTTATTGTCACTATTTCTGTTGTTTCAGGGCTTCGCTTTCTCAGAGCAGTCCGTCTGATGAATGTACCTGATATTTTGCAATACCTCAGCATTTTACAAACCAGTAATAGTATCCGCTTGGCTCAAGTGGTGTCAGTTGTCACCAGTTTTTGGTTGTCTGCTGCAGGGTTTATTCACTTGGTGAGAATCATTTCATAATTGTCATTGCATCTTTAATGTTTGACAATATGTTTCCATATCATTTTCTTTTTATTTAATTTGATTTGATTAATTACATATATATATTTTGTATTATTTGGTTTAGTTTTGAGTAAACTTTTTAGTTGCAGTGATAACTGTTCTATAGAGACTTGTAACAGAGATATAAGATTTGTAAAAAATCAATCTGAAGCTTGGCTTGCATTTTGTATTCTCAAGAAATGACTCTTCTTGGACTATATATCTTTGACTTCTATTTGTGGACATGGGTGCATGGGATTGGGGCAGCCCTCTACTTTTACTACACAAGCACCATATTCACTTATACTTTATTACTGGTTTTGTTTTGAATGGACTGCAGTAAATAATTTATGTCAATTAGATAATGATTGGATCCACTGTAATGTTGGAAGGTGGGTGTGTTGCTTGCTACATTTCTTCATTGATTTCTTTTTGGCAGTGTCAGTAGCTCTGCGAAAAACTTAGCTTGATTTACTAGATGTGCAGTTATTCTTGAATAATCTGTCAAAATTGGTGGATATAATTTGACAGATTGAATTCTTTTGATTTGTTTGGAAACGTTTGCTTTTCTATCTGAGTTGACATTGACATTTTGTAAATTAATTGAATTTGTGATGAAATAAAAAAAAAAGTTGGGGCAATACTTCATGTAAATCACAGAAGATTTTGCAAGCCTGTTGTTAGGACTAGGTTGGTTAAATTGGGCATGTTTGAAAAATTTTCTATTTTCAATCACAATATTTGTGTAATCATATTTTTATGTACAAATACAGTGCTTCTGCATGCTGAAGTGGCTTATGTCTATACACATTGCCTCCTTTTCTAGAAATAATTGTCACTTTCTTATGGATACTTTGACCATTCTGAATCAGCAGGCCAAAAGAAGCAGTTGTTTTGGGTAGAAATCTTCATTTGATAAGGAAAATAGAGTTCAGCTGTTGAACTTTTAAAATAAGGGACTCTTGAACTCTGTATCTATTAGAAATGATATATGCTTTAATGTATCCTAAGGCCCTTTTCACATCAAGCAGTTTACAGTATACTTTGAAAACTAGATTTACAACTTAATAGCCTTTTATGTAATGGTGTCACTTATATTGAGCCTTGTATTTGACATGGACAGTTTATTAACAAGACAACTGGAAGCAAGTATGTGGAGAAATTGTAAAAAGGAGTAACACCACTGCAGTATAATTACATAATAGAACCACACAAAATATCCATAACTATCAACTGTATCACTAGGCACCATTCCCATATAGACACCATTAGTCTACATAGATCCATCCAACTTTACAGGAAATCAGTTTAACCTAAGATCTAATATACCGTTTATTAGATCTTAGGTTTAACAGATTAACACCCCTCCTGGCATTAAGTTGAATACAGAAAAGTTGATGAATATGGGAGTACTTCGGAAACAAGAGGAGGCATGTCATTCAGTAAGGCTGATTAGACTCAGTAAGAGTCCCCACAGAGATAGATGGTCTATGTAGACCAATGGTGTCTTTGAGAAAGAGGTCTAAGGTAACTGTTATGTACACTGGTATTTGTGAAAAGGGCCTTGATACAAGTCCTGAAACTATGCTGTCACCCCCCACTGTGGCAGAAAGCAGGGATCTGCTGCTGTCATGAAGATGAATATAAAGATAATTATGAATGTATATAAATAGATATAGATTTACAATCTTTTTGTTTCCTGTAGCTGGAAAATTCTGGAGACATCTTTTTTGACTTTAACAACCCCCAGTTCCTGACCTATGGGGAATGTGTGTATCTTCTCTTGGTCACTATGTCCACTGTGGGCTATGGAGACGTGGCCTGCAAGACTGTTCTGGGAAGGACATTCATGATATTTGCCATATTAGGTGGCTTGGTAAGTATACCCACTGCAGAATTAATCTTTATTTATCTGCAGAATTAATCTTATTTATTTATCTGGCTGTTGGGTTGTTGTTGACCCCACCAATATTTCACTTGAATAATGATTGCTATCCATGGGGATTGTTTTATAAGCAAATATTCAGAATAACTTCCAATATGCCTCTATATGAAATCAACAAGCGGTTTTGACAGAAACTATTTATGCTCATGCTGCTAAGGGACAAGTATATACAGACAAATGATTAACTAAAAATTAACCATATATTAATTGATTAATGGGTCAACAACAAAATCTGATTCTTAATTGGTCAATTCTCAACAGTTTCTGAAAATGTCATCAAAAGTTGTCCACAACTTTTTCCATAATGTTGCTAACAGACAATTGAACAAACAGACACTCTGTGTGTGTGTGTGTGTGTGTGTGTGTGTGTGTGTGTGTGTGTGTGTGTGTGTGTGTGTGTGTGTGTGTGTGTGTGTGTGTGTGTGTGTGTGTGTGTGTGTGTGTGTGTGTGTGTGTGTGTGTGTGTGTGAGAGAGAGAGAGAGAGAAAGGAAGGACTTTGTCTGGCAATTTTTGATTGATTATTTTGACAAGTGGACAGATGAATAATTTGGTTACAAACTTATTTAGTTTCAAATTTTTTTCTTTAAATTGTACATATTAAATATGTACAACAGCATTAACTGTTTTATTATGTATGGTAAATATGCAAAAATGGTTTGATCTCCATTTAGTTCTGGCAGTATTGCTGCTTTTCTTGGCCAATCTCCCTTTGGAACTCTATAATGGAAAAATAATGTTACTTTCATTGATTTCTTTTTCTCTTTCTTTCTGCTTTATGATAGTTTAAATATCCTAAGAAGTAAATTGATCAACATTTGGTAATTGGCACCCTATCTTTAAAATGTTCTTATTGTGTTTAAAAATTCTGGTCATTTAAAGATCATGTCTGTAAAGTCTCTGATTGTGCATAGTGTTAGAAAACAGAGCCTTATCATAGGCTTACAGTAGGTCTTGTAAAAAAGACAAAAATAATAGGATTGCATGTCAGTATGAAATAAAGCAAAAAAAAAAAAAAAAAACACTTTCAGCATACTAAATACAGCAGTTCTCTGCCAGCTGTGTAGTTTGCTTTACTGAACTGACTTAATTCTGTAGAAAGGAACTACATAGTAGATTGCATGACATCCTGCCACTGCCATGATTGGTACCTGGTGCCAGTGGGAGATGGGGGCCTTTGAACAAATGCACTGAAACCAACAGAAAATAAGGGCAATTACCACTGTTACATGCTTAATTCCTTTTTTTTCTGTCAGGTTCAGAAACCTTAAAAACATTTTGAACAACAGTTATACCAACATTGCACTCTGGAGTAAGATATAAATCATTCCAGCTGTGTGAAAACTAGGATATATGGTGTATATTTTTACATATTTAAAGGGATAACAAATCTTTTCATGAGATCTATATTTTACAATAAATACATTGTAAACAACTCTGTATAATAATTTCTGTTTTACCACCAAAACAGTGGTTATTGGAGTAATTTTGGAATCTGTGTTTACCATCGAACTATGTGACATTCTTGGATGGCTACCCTCTGTAATAATCTCTGAAGAGAAAATGAATAGTTGTTATCCTTTTAAGATTAGCTCTAAAAAAACATTAGTTGGTCATTACTGGGATGCATTCACACATATGGGAACATACTGCAGATTCGTCGAGGGGAAAAAAGCTGCATTTGGGTTTTAATAAATTTAATTGAAAGAAAAATTGGATGAAGTTTTTATCATGATTAACTGTTTGATGTTTTATTCACAATAGACACAGTATTCTCTGCTTGGAGGCTCTTATTTATAGAATTGCTTTTTTTTAAATCTTTTTAGGCCATGTTTGCAAGCTCTATCCCAGAAATTATAGACTTAATTGGCACACGTCAGAAATATGGAGGCACCTACAAGAAGGAACACGGAAAAAAGTATGTATACTTGATAAATGAGTAAAATATGAAGAAAGTGAAGACGGATGGCATTAAAATATCTCTTAAAAGAACCTGATGAGGTTTATTTCCTTTCTCCCTCTATTTCTGCCTTTTTAGCCAGCTTTTGTAAGAAATAACCTTTGTGATACATTTCAGTTCAGATTTGTTTTGATGAGATGATATTACATGTATGATCTATTGACCAGCCTGGCCAACATATCTCTCCTTTGATCAGCTCAGTTGGGGTTGCATGTGATCAGTGTAGATCATGCTATGGGATAAGCAGAAGCTCTTTACTGGTTGATAAAAGCAGTGAATATGTTATCTTATATTGGATTTATGTGGGTTTTCTCTCATTAATACACCCCATTAGATTTAATGCTGAATTTAGGTTCAACCTTTTGATGAGGAAGCACTGATTAGCAGGACATGCTGGTTTGGAAATCATTGATGAGGGCTTCCATGGCAATGTTAATGTGTTGGTTGTCTGTAAACCTCTGATCTCATTATGTGATGGCCTACGAAGTATTATTGGAAAACTTATAATTACCAGCTGATGAATTGCCTTATATTGACTTCACCCTGACAATGAAAGGCAACAGATGAAATGGGTTAAGGGCATAAAATACTGCAACTTCTTTTAATATCAAGGGTCATATCTTATTTGATGGATTTGGTCAACATTAAAGGTCATTTTTATTATGTTTGGTTGCAGGAAGCATAGCCACATTAAGCATTCTTGAAATTTTTATGTGGGCCATAGTTGCAAGTGCTCTGTGATTGTTTTTACATGTGTCTTCCTGATTTGTTTTACATGTATCTCTCTGTCTGCAGAATGTGATAAAAGATACATAAAATGATCAACTGGATTTTCATCACCTTTATGAGCCACCAAAACAGGACATGGAAAGTGAACAGTCTGCCATTCACCATGGAAGTCTTAATAAAAGTTATTTTTATTAGAAAGTTAATTGATAAACAAATTGAGAGTCGCTTTCAAATTTAAAATATGGATTCTGCCCTATTGGTATATTCTGAGATTACGCGAGAACTTTTGCTGATTTGTCACATCATAATTTTTAGGATGACGAGTCTTATTGGATATTTGATATAATTTTTTTATCCCTAAGGCTATAACATTTAATACAGGCAACAATTTGTTACATTAAAATTGTTAAAATGATTAGGATAGTGGGGTTATATAATAAAAACAGCCTTGTTTGACCAAATCTCGAACAATCAATATTCTTTGTTGCCTTCTTTCTTGTTGTGAATGAGACTAGGAAAGTGTGTGATACACTGGGATGGAGGAGACATAATGTATTTCACAACAGCCAACAGTTCTGTATAAGACTGGGTTCCCATGCCTAGATTGATCTAACAGGATTGATCAAATTCCATGGGGTTTCTCGCTAGATTGTTTTCAGTTTAAGCGGTTTAGGTTTCTGGCAGGCCTACTAAAACTGCTGAACGATAATTAATTACCCCCCAGTAGCTTCAGTAGGCATGACAGACATCTAAGCCGCTTTAGTTGATTGCATGCGGTTTAGTGAGAATCCTCTTGGAGATAGATCGATCCACATTTAGTACAATAGGCTCTGGGAATGGTCCCTTAGTGGACACTGATCGACAACAGCCAATTAGTTCTATATAATAGCTACATCTTTATTCCAAACACTTTATAATGGAACCGTGAATGTATAAAAAAACAATCAGAAATATACTAATAATGATATTTTCTTTCTCATTTGAAGGCATTTACTAATTTATGTTGTTTTAATGAAAAATGTGCATAAACTGTTTATAAAATACAACACCTGTTCAACAGCAGCCTGTCTTGTATGTTCAAACTTTGATTACATATTGGAGATATGATTAGTTCTGGTGGTGTATTTTTATACCAGGAACCATGGAGCATGTGGTCATGAATGCAGTGTTATTGATCATGCATTTGCATGTGGACAGCATACAGTAAAATTCTTCAACAGGTGAAAAATTACTCTACTGATCTTTGGAAAGTCTGTGTTATTGCCTTTCTCCGCCCCAACCTGTATCACCACATGGCATGAGACAGAAATCTGAACTGTAGAAGGTGGTCCTGGGACTAGGCCCTCTCCCACAATTATTCCCATGCAAACTGCACGCTTTATGCTATTTTAGGCTGGTAGACTTGAGGCTTGCATGAGTGTTTCTCTTGATTAATTGACTGCTGAATGAAATAGAGTTGGTTTTTGGAGGATAAGTAAGTATTGAAGCATGAAATATTTATGACTTTCTCATTTGTTACTTGCAAATTGCACAACTATAATGAAGATTGGATGAAGTTTGCAATTGGTTTTTTTGGAAGAATATATATATCACATGTGTCTTAATTTATTATTCACTTTTACTGTTGCTCTTGTCAACATAATAAAATGAACTGCACACTTTTTATTACCTCCACCGGGGAGGTTTCGTTTTTTGTTCAATTTATCGGTTTGTCTGTTAGCAACATTATTGAAAAGTTTTAGATGGGTTTTGATTAAATGTTCAGAAGCTGTCAAGAGTGAACCAAGTAAGAAATGAGTAGAATTGGTGATCCATTAATCAATTGCTGATTAATTATTAGTTAATTATTTGTTTGTCCTTTTGTAAACATTATGCAATAAGATGTGGATGAATTTTGCTGAAATTTTTGTGAAACTGTCTTGATGGAACTAAGTAAAAATGATGTTTTTGGTGGTGATCCATTTATTAATTAGTTAATTAATAAACTAAGTATTTCATTTATTTGTTTATTAGTTAGTTAATAATTAATAATGAGCATTTAATTTAGTGAATTAATGAATAATTCATAATGAGAAGTGAGCTGTTTTGGTGGCAGTCTGCACTTTCTGAGTTCCAGCTAACTTTAAAGTCAAAGTTTATTGACAAATTAAAAAGTGTCACTTATGTTTCAGGGTTACCAGCTTCATGCGTATTCTGCATATTAGTTTGTACATGTATCAGTTCACTTAGTTAATTTTCAGGTGTTTTAAAATAGCATGGCAAACAATAGATCGGAGATTTTAAGATTTTAAAGCCACGTTTTGTCAGGATGAGCAGTCTTTTGAAATTTTTTTTATTTATGCATTATAAATAATTAAGATTATTTCCTCTATTTTAGACACATAATAGTGTGTGGCCATATTACCTACGACTCTGTTTCCAACTTCCTCAGTGATTTCCTGCACAAAGACAGAGAGGATGTGGATGTGGAAATTATTTTCATACATAAGTAAGTATAAAATGCATTTATCTTCTTTGTATTAATATAAGTTGAGAAAAATATCTAATGTGATATTTTGTTATGAACTAAACACAGTCATTTCCCCCATTTTCCCAGTATTATATATAATATTAATTTATAATTATGATGGGCATCCCTTCATTTCCAAGCTTTTAAAGCCAGTCAGTTGCAGGTAAGAAAAAAAATTGTATTTTGCCTGCCTTGAGACTCTTTGTTACAATCAGAACTGCCAGCAAGGTGTACTGTTTTCTCGTTTACTGTAGCTTCTGGAAATTATTTTCAACATGAACTCCATTATATTGAGCTATTATGATACATAATGTAAATTACTTAACTTTGGCATTTAATATATATTTGTGCACTTGCAGACATCTTCCAGACTTAGATCTGGAGGGTTTATTTAAGCGCCACTTCACTCAGGTAGAATTCTTTCAAGGATCTGTGATGGATGCCAATGACCTGCAGAGAGTGTGTGTAAGTAAAATCAGAAACAAATTCTGCTCCTTACTTTAAGTGAATAATATATAATAACTTTATAAGAGATAAAAAAAAGTGTAGGGTACTATGAGCAAATTTATCTTTTTTTTTCACTTTCTTTTTGTCGAAGTCATTGATGTTATTGGATTGTCGTTCCATACATTCTAAATAAATTAGGTTAAGGCCAGACAAATTGAGCTCTTGGTTATTGAATCCAGTGATGCTAATTTGAGAAAATCAGAATTCTTAGCACCTTTTTTCAAATGGAAATTGACGAGTGGGAAAAAATTGATAAATGCCCTCAGGAAACTCATTTGTTCGAAAATTGCCCACATGTTTCTCTATCTCATAAACAAAGGCTGAAAAAACATCAACAGCCCTTATAATTTAGCTGCTATACTTGCTAAACATATTTTTAATAAATAGAGACAAAAAATATATTTCATCTACTGACCCTGTTCGCAGAGAATCGACCAACTTATCAATTTTGTCTGCTCTTATGGTAATTTAAAAAAATCTTCTTAATTTTACAACAGGGCTATGTTGACATGTCTTTCTACAAATAGGACTGTTGTAGGATCAAAGCTGGAGCTACAGTCATGTCAAATCAGATGTGATCAACATGTATTTTGAAATGAAAGCACTAAGTGCCTCTCACATTTTCAGATACATCTTTTTTCCCTAATATCATTCTTTCCACAAATTACCAAGAGATGGGACCTTCATGATTTTCTTCCAAGAAGAATCTCGCATGACTAAAATTTTGATTCATGCAGATATTTGAAATCACTGATCAAAATTCAGTGGGGACTTGAGGCCATTATGTACTGCAGACAAACTGTAGTACCAAGTTCTGTGGCCTGGTGTGTACATAATGTTTTAATCTTAAATATGCTGAACTGCACCTTACTGTGATTTCACTAATTGAGGTGATCATGGTAATATATGGGTGTTAGGGAGTCGATCAACAATCAGTCAACAGTGTTGGAGATAAGTTGAAGTCAAAGTTAATTAACAATTTTTTTCTTACATTATTGATTCTTCGTTTGTCTTGGCCGGTGCAGTGCAACAGTAATTACAGTGGCAGTTCTCCAGGGAAGCAGCAGAGTAATTAAAATGTGCTTAAAAGTGGACTCTGAGGCTTTCCACATCACTTCACCCTGCTTGACATTGTCACTTCTACTTGCTCTCTGATATGTTACACTGTTCTATGGCTGTCACTTGTTAATGGTGATTTTCTGTCCTAGATTAGTGATGAGAATTCGCTGTAGTTCATAAATTGATCTAGGCAGAGAGTTGAGTATAAAAATTCCATATGAGCTTGCACTGCCATTACCCTCATTTAGTATTCTGATTAGGGTGGGAAGTCTCTCTCCCACTCCAGTCATTTATCTCTGACAAATTGAATAAAACTATAAGTAGTTTCATCTGGACAGTAATGTCTGACACCCAGTATTGCAATATGGGTGTGCTGCTTGACGCAGAGAAGAAGGCCTTAAAGTATATAATGCATGATGTATCAAAGCAGTTAATATCCCCTGGAGAAATATACTGTTGAGAATAGTAGTGAATGTTTCAGTCCTTCATGGCCATAACAGGTTGAAAGTGAGGGAGTAAAAGTAAAGATGAAAATAACTAGTGAAGTTAGTCTTGTTCACTCTGTGGATACCATTGGTAGTCTTTAATCCACCGCCTGATCTGCAGATTTTGCCATAAGAGTCACATTTGAGAGCAGCATTGAGGGTCGGAATAGTGTATCTTCTCTCATGGGCATGCTTGTAGATACTGACCTCCTCTACTATCTTTGCAGCCTTTTTAATGCCCCCCCCCCCCCCACTTGTCTTTCTTACCTGCCTTGGTTTGCCACTATCTCCCTAATGATATTCACTCTTTACATATGCTAATGATTTTGTTGCAAAAAAAGCTTCAAAATTGTTTATATTAAATTAAGTATTATGTCATATTAGGTAAAAGAAGCTGACCGCTGCATGGTTCTTGCTGACAAGTACTGCTCAGACCCTGATGCTGAAGATGCTGCCAATATTATGAGAGCAATCTCCATCAAAAACTTTCACTCAGACATCAAAATCACCATTCAGCTGATGCAGTACCATAACAAGGTATTCAACTAAATTATTATTTAAAAAATGTTTTGGGGAAAGCACATTTTATCTGCTGGTCTTTAATGTAATTTACACTATTATTCAAATTTACACTATTTTACCTGTACTGCATATGTTATGTTTTGCCTGAGAAGATTCTCAGTCTCATTAGCTATATTGCCCTATGTGTCTTTTAGGCTTATCTCCTTAATATCCCAAGCTGGGACTGGAAGAAGGGAGATGATGCAGTCTGTTTAGCAGAACTTAAGTTGGGTTTCATTGCACAGAGCTGCTTAGCGCCAGGCTTCTCCACTCTAATGGCCAACTTATTCACCATGAGATCATACAAAACAGTAAGTAAATGTCCAAAGGTACATTAACTGTCCGTTATGTTCACTTCATTCAAAAGAATGTTATCTCTAATGGGGGGAGGAAAAGTGCAGTGATCAGTTTTCATGGGGTGAGCAACCAGGAGACAGTTCTGATTTTTTTAAGCTGTTGGCTTGGTTTTTCATCCATCAAGCTGTCTGCCCAGTACCTGCAATAGCTTGGAACCCCTACATCGTCTTTTTTCTTCCTGTGTAATTCCTTGTCATATGCTCATTGCCTGATATAAATCTGCTATAAAAGAAGGTACTTTTTTAGTCTAAAGAGCTTGTCGTTGTCTAATATATATTTTAATAAATGAAATAGGCAGACCTCTCTCATTATTATATGGTTCTCTTGATCGACACCCGTCAGTATAGAAACCATGGACACATCCTTCATTTAGTAAGATGTAGTTTGATTTTTATCTTTTACTCATTAGTATCTAAATTAAAATCAAAATGAAGCTATTTATTGTAGCAGTTATATGAACAATGATTATCTTTTTAATGAATTTCTTTTTATGTAGAGCCAACCAGACATTACCAGTGAGCATAAATTGATTGATGTATTATCCTTAAATGGATTTTGGATTTATTTTGACAAGAGGATAAAAATGCCTTATGGGCTTACCTGGAGTCTTCTTGATATAGTTGATTAATTACATTAAGATTTGGCAAGCGGATTGGAAAACTGAAAATAGCACTCTGCACTGAAACTACCATAATGTGCGTGATGTTACAATCATTATCAAATTCAAACTTTTCATAAAAATACTTCTTTATTCATTTGCTAGATGTATCTAGGTCAATTATTCTTTTTGGTTAAAAAAATTTAGATTGCCAAGAAGAAAACTCCAGAATATTCCACATTTTAAGTAAAAAGTTACTTGCCCTTCAGAGCGCTTGATTTTTTATATGACTCCAATGTGCTTCTTGGGCATTCTAAATTAAATTTTCATATATTTTGAATGCAGCATTGTTTTGGGAAAGTCAGTCAGTCTTAGTGAGTTATTTGTAATTTCGTATATGTTTCATCCACAGTCCCCTGACACTCCCCAGTGGCAGAACGACTACTTGCGCGGCACAGGAATGGAGATGTACAGTGACTACCTGTCCAGTTCCTTCGTGGGAATGACATTTCCAAAAGCTGCAGAGTAAGAGAATGCATATTAGAGGGCTATATATACACACTTGGAATTTTTAATTTCCTTTTAATTTATATTTTTGTGCCTGCTGAAATATTAATTTTGAAATGACGTGTTTGACTCATCAAGGTATAATGTCTGTCATTAGTGACATTTCACTTTGCTAATTGTTTCACACAGATCATCCATTATGGCACTGTTTGTGCAGGAAGTAGTTAATTGAAGTTGAATACTGAAACTCACTGAACTGTAAAGATAAAATGTCTGGTTGTGGCTTTCCTTGCAGGCTGTGCTTTGTTAAGTTGAAACTGCTGTTGATTGCAATCGAAGCCAAGAATGAAGATGGCAGTGAGAGCAGCATAGCCATCAATCCTGGAGGGAAGATAAGAATAGAACAGGGCACACAAGGCTTCTTTATTGCACAAGCTGCTGATGAAGTAAAAAGGTTATTAATGTGGACATGTCTATATATGATATAGTACTCCAAGGATATCTAAATATTAATATTTATTGTGGACAAAGTTTTCCTATGTAATAAATCACTATGTATTATATATAGTCATGACACCAGGGAAAGTGCCTTAATTGATGCAGGTATTACCTTTAAAAGCAAGGACATTTTGGAATGGTCTCTTTACAAACAATTAATTCCATTTGTACATCACTGTATGAGTAGTTATGATACAATGCTTTTCACATTTCTCCATAACCAGACCTTATCCAACCAATAGATACAGAACAATTTTGTCTATGGTTCTCATATTTGATGGGTTCATGTTCACATGTAGGTGACCACTTTTGATTTTGAGATCCTTCAACACAAAAACAATGTACAAACAATATATAGAGAAGGATTTGGTCTACAGTCCTCATATTTGGTAGGGAGGTTCATCATCACAAGTAGATGACCCCTATTTTGAGGTCAGGTCAAGGTCACAGTCACTTTCAACATAAAATTCTTGTCCAACCAATAAATAGAGAACAAAATTTTGCCTACTTAGGGCATCTGTATTTTACGAACACTTCTTGTTGTATGATTATATTCCTGTTCATTGGTATAACTGTGCACAAAAGGGACAGTGATTGAAAATGGTTTTGATTTTTTTTTTCACATCATGTTGTGATTGATATGATCTGTATTCCAGGGCATTTTATTACTGCAAGAATTGTCACGGAGATGTGTCTGATGTGAGAGCCATAAAAAAGTGCAGGTGTAAAGGAGGTAGGTTACTAAACACATTCTAAACCCTGATTCTTTTAAATTTAGTGCATTTAAATTTTTTGATGATATGTAACATCAAGTGATTGGCAGATTAAAATCAGAAGTTATAACTTTTGGTCAAACTAATTTTTGTGTCATATTAAATAGTAAATTGATTAAGATTATAAGCATTTTTTTTCCGGTAAATTGAAAAGTTGAAATGAGTTGGTAACACCATAGATGTGTTGTCATTTATAAAGAATAGAGATGAGATGTTAGTGCATACAACTGGAGATGGATCTTGATGCAATGCATATAACAACTCTGTATTTTCACTTTGGTCACCCTGGCTTTCTTTTTAAAGATGATGTTTTCCTTAAAATCAATGACAGTTTTTATGAAAAATTAGCATGTGTGTTTTATGTGAACTTCAACTATGTGAATTTCAACCAGATACATCTTTTCAATCATTTAATTATCAAAAACTGATATGTCATCTCAGTTAAGCCAGGTTGACCATACAGTTCACAGCATACAAATGTCTATATACTGCTGTGGACAGGACACATGCACTCTTTGTGGAAATGTGATTTATTTAAAAAAGATTGAAAAGCACGGCGCATGTAGGCATGTCATCTATGGAGTATATGCCACACGACTAGCACACAATACTAATGCATTTAGCATGGTCTTGATAGAGTCAACATGTAATGTTGATAATGGGAACCCAGAAAGAATTGTAGATTATTAGAATTTTAAATTGCTAATGGTGTGTATATTAAATTCTGTTTATAGTCTTATAGAGACAGCTGAGTGCACATGTAGAGAAGGTATATTATATAGACACTTAATATGTTGGGTATCTTAACTGAACAGTTTTTATGATCTCCTCCAATTTCTGATCATCTAGTGTTACATAAGCCTGAAAATTGCAATATTTGAATAGAAATTGTTAATGAAAGTTATACACTCTAATTACCATCTTTTCCAGAAGTATTTTGATTGTTTCTGTGTCTGTGTACTGCCCACTGTCCACATATCTGTCCAAGTATCACTTTGGCCACTGAGTGTGCTTCATGTGTACATTTACCACTTCTGTATTGAGGCAGCAGGATCTGATAACTGAAGACATGGTGATATACTGCATCCCTGTGTCTGCCACATAAGTAGCTCTTTCACGTGAACTTCTCAATTATATTATCAAACAATTGATTTTGAAACAGTTGGAAGTTGGAAATAATACACAGAAATACCACTTTCACTAGAAATAATCCCCTTCATATCCCACAGTTATTACATACCTTTTCAATGGTAAAAGTTCAGTTTGTGCAGCGTGACTAAGATACTAACATATGATTGAATGGGAGGGGGGAAATGCAGGAAAATTCCCAAGACTCCAAGATGGCTGAAAACAGGGCATATATACTTGTTTTAGAGTGTGTTTTGGCTGAAATTATATGCTAAAACAACTTTCACATCCTCATACAACCTTAAAGAACAAGATCTTTAAAAGGTTTAAACTCATTCTTGTTTTATTGAATCTTCTTTGGACTTAATGCATCTGTCGATCTGGTGTGGCACTTAAACATGGGCTGCGGGAAATTTGCTTCATGGAGTACAAATAATTCCTGTATTCTGCACTTCTCATACCTCAGCTGTGCAACATGCGTACCTTATATCTATTCTGTAACACTACTTTTGACCACTGCAATTCTATCACCCTGTGGCGAAACATCTTGCAAAATCAGTAACATTGCTGAATTGCAGGTAACATTGCTGAATACACACTCAGTCAGTAAAAAAGGTGCATTTTTAACCTGTGAATATTACCCGCTTTCCATTGATGAAAATCAACATGCCCCAGGTGACTGCATGGCATTTGTCCTAATTAAGCAAGTCAATATACCTGTCCATGCAAAAGAAACTTAAAAGCATGTAAGTGGGATTTAAAAAAAAAGAATAGAACAGAATTATAATAAAGAGGATGTAGGCACATCAACAGAGATAAATATGACAGTGTTGTTAGACTGCATCGGTTAACACTGAATGAGGTAATGGTCACACTGGTTTGGTCTGGTTTAATAGTTTGAGTAGTAGAAATAGTATAAGATGTGCGCCAGTGAATGAAATATGTGCATGCAAGCCATTCATGAAGGTAGCCGAGCATAAAACTGAACTTATAAAACGCACAAAAAAAAGTTGATAATCACATTTTTGACAAATGATATGAACATGTTTACATCGATCTAACAGTGATGATTATTTAAGATAAATTATTTTAGACACCATTCTGATATCAACTCGGCAATTGTATGACACTTTTCCTCTATTCATATGTCCCTTTAAGGTGGTGAAAAGAAGACTTACATTTTGAATGAAGTGTGTGTAAAAACTTAAATGCTGCTTGTTTCTATTTGTCACAGTAAGCATTAAACTACACATGCTCGTCTGAACATGCATGTACATGTGTATATGTGCACACACAGTCAAAGGGCATTTTGCAAAGCGTGACTAGTGATGGCATGAACTTCACAGCAGACGAGGAAACAAAATGTAGACATGATGATTTAGACTCCTCTAGGAGGCAATCTTAGTGAAATGTAGACAAGTGAGACGATGATTGATTTAGATGTTGATTTTGCCAATGCAAGACAGGATGTGAAATATGCTATGAGTAATAAAACCTGATGAATTATCCATTTAATTTTATGCAGCTCCACCAACATTCACTTGCTCTTTTGCTTTATTTTCAGTATTGAAATGGTTTTATCAGAAGTTTTTGTTCTCTTTAAGTGGGTTACTTAAAGAACTAGTAATTTTAATTATCATGCCCACTAATCATTACAATGATTAGAATGAATGTCATAGTATTCCCCCCTCTTGAAAATGTTTTCCTTTTGTTTGCCACTTCTTATCATTTTAATTGGATATAAGAATGGGTAAAAAAGAAGCAGCTATTTTTATTTATTTATTTATTTCAATTAAGGAAAGAAGGGGCAAAACATCTGGTGATGGGAAGTACTTTGGAAAGACCTTAATTCTAATTGCTATTTCATTTGTCAGAAATGTTGTTTTAATAGCTATTACATGTGATTCCATACCACATGCATTTTTGTTGTCATAGCTGAAGACTGGTTTGGTTACTAATTGACAATTTATCTTTCAATTTTAGTGAAAATGTTCAGAAAAGGAGCACAGGCATTAATGGGTATAGTGAACTGTGAAATTTTCTTGAAACTTTTTCTTATGTAGTTATATGGGATGAATTTTTCATGGCATCTGCAGAGTCAAAAATCTTTTTTAGCTTGAGTGAAAAAGTGTTCCCTTATGTACTGACATGTATATGGAAGATCTGAATTAGAGGAAAAAATGTTTGTATTGAATGATATTTTACTAAGATGTCAGTACGTAGGGGGAGTTCTTTAGTGCTGCTATCAGCGTTCACGTGTGAACCAATCTTTTTGCATATAGCATTATGAAAGTCTCATAACACACCTGGGATATAAAGAATGACCAAACAAATTTATACTTTCCATTTAATAGAAATTTTATAATTAAAAAAAATATGTATATATACACAGGAAACCAAACTTTGAAGAGAATTATGAATTCTTTCATTCACAGAGTGTGTAATGGGGCGTATTAAATCTCTAGGTAGAGGTACTTCTAAACTCTGGGTACTTACACGCAGGGTGGACATTTTCAGCATCAGTTCATGTTCATGTCTATAGCTTAATATTCTAAATGTGTTCTAATTGTCCATGCTCCTGTATAATAGCTTTAAATGTGGTACACTTTATCCACCTGACATGGCACTCAAAATGGCATGAAAACTGACAACAAATTAGAGTACGAACCTGGCCCACACTAACAGATCCTTATTCACCATGTGTAAACTTTACTGGACAGTGCCCATAGTTGCTGTATTCCAGTGTCAAAATGAAAAGCAGGATATAAATGAAGCCAGTGGTTTATGCAAAGTTTTCATATATATGTAGATAAAATAACACAGTGCAAATGCCATTTAATATGAAAATGTAAATAGCAAATTATTATTGTTTGTAATTAATGAATTGCATTATACTATGTTCAATTCCCTGCAAAGTCAGAGTTTATTAGTGACATGGAATTTAAAAAAGACATTTCACTGTTGTGTGTGGAAGCATTTGGAGTTGTTATCACACTGCTGGTATATGTATTGGGTAGTGTGTTGATAATGGCTTTGTTTTACTGTCATGGTTATATTATATTATGTTAGTTTTGGGATTTTATTTCACTAACAGTTTGTTGTCATCATAACAACTGTGTGAACTGGTTGTGGAGGTTTTTTTAAATCAATGTAAACATTGAAAATAACATTAAACTATTTCAATGAAAGGGGAAATAAACAGATCTAGATAATTAATCGTGTATAGAATGAGGGACTTGGCATAATAAGGGATAGGAAGGAATACATAACAAGAGGATTATAATATGGTGTTGTTTGTTCTAATTTATGTTGTCATAACTACATGTACATGTCCATACAATACATATCTGGTGTATATACTGCAATCTAGTCCCACAAGTTGCCAAGATGCTATCCCCAATCCGAGAGACAACAGGCACAGAACACAATACTATAGATGGCGCTGTGGTAGGCCAGGCTCCAAAGCGAGGTAATGTTCTGTTGGGTGCGGTGTGGTGAGCACATTGTTGGTCACCATAGAGTTGTGAGAACCACCCTCTGGTGAGAGGATGCCCTAGAGTACCAAGGCACACACACGTTGAGTAGTGAAGGAAGTAACCTGACTGTAGAGCACTTACTGTGAAAGAAGCAGTCTGACTGTAGAGCACTTACTGTCTGTATACATATTTTACTGGTGATGTGGTTGGTTGACACAGTGTATATAGCTTTAGAGATGTTGCCAGATGAGTGCCACGTTGTCTTTTGTGAACATTTGACTATGGTCAGCATGCTGAACACTGAAGACAAACAGATCTTGATATCATTACGCCTTGAATGCTAGCATGGATGACATGGTTCAGACATTAACATGTAGTTCAGCGTGCTGAATATAGATAGTTGATTCTTTGTAAATCTTTCTCTTGATGGTTGTGAACTTACAGCAGGGCATCATTGATTTTGTATGGATTAGCTGGAGAATGTTGGTCACTTCAGTGCTTTGGCTTCTTTCACTTCTGATGGCCATTTTCTTTTGTTGTACTCTTTATTTTCTTCTTAGATTACATATGCTGTATGCATATTGAACACAAACTCACAAATACACACACACATACACACACACACACACACACACTCACACACACACACACACACACACACACACACACACACACACACACACACACACACACACACACACACACACACACACACACACACACACACACACACTGGGATGATGGAAAAACAATCATGGTTTATAATGTTTGCCAATAGTTAATTATTTCAAATTCTTTTTCATCATTTTACTGTGCATTATATGTTTGCAACAGGTTGTATTACATTGTTTGCATATGTGGTAAAAGGATCAAGCACATATGTTGATTGTACTCTACACATATTTTACCTTTCATTATAATGTATATAACCAATGCACCTTACATATGTTGTAGCCTTCAAAACTGGGAAAAAGAGCATAGAGGTAGACCACACAGACGCTGTGGAGGAGACGGAGAATCATAACAGTAATGAGGATCTGGGAGATGGTACACATTCATATTTTATTTTGCTTTATCACTGTGTTATATTTAATATTGCCTTATGAGGAAGATATTATTGATGAAAGCCTCAGTGTCCTGTCACTTCGATTTGCTTGCTTGAGATGAGGTAATAATTCTTGGAAGTTAGGGATCTTAGCTGCTTATATATGTGATAGAGGGGGTGTGGTGTAGGAGTGGGGGGCACAGGTACAAATATGTGCATAACATGTATGTTGTGTATAATTATCTAAGAACCTATTTGATTTTGATACACAAATTTATAGACAGGATTAACAAAAAAATGAAAAAGCAAAAGAAGAAGAAGGGTACTTGGCAGTAGAGTTTTTTTTATTGTTTTTAATATGAATATATTGATTGAAAATAAAGTTGACTTGATTTGACATGAGTGCAATGCAACTGTATGATACCAGCTACTAAGGTCAATTGCAAAGGGCAGTTATGAAAAAGAGATGACTTCATATACAGGGCAGACATTTCAATTGACCATGATGTCACGTTATGACTTAAAGAGAGCAGAATTTTGCACATCTAGTGAATGGCCAGAGAAATACCTGTGGTCCTGATAGAGGATCCATAGACACAGGCATCTCACAAATTTCACATTTATTCAAGTTTAGCCTGTGAATTGTTCATCTAAGATATAAAGTACAACAAAATTTGCCTTGTTTAGCTGAATATTAGTCTCGTTCAACATATTGGATTAATCAAAACCCACCCCAATTAAGTCCTCTCTTGGAATTCTGAGGTGAGACTAGGGTTAAATGAGAAGGTGTATACTGTGGTCCCCAGTGAGATGACCTGCTCAGTAGTCTGCCTGTTGTGTTCCAGGTGATAGTGTAGACACAGTACATGAGATCCAGCTCCCTGCTGATGAAGAAGGTATACGTAGTATGTGCTGGTCTCCTATTACCTCAGAATATGTGTGTGTCTATGGGCGCACTCAGAACAAGTTGATCTGATGAGTAACAAATCCAGGCCCGTAGTCAGGGGGGGTTCGGAGGGTTCGAAAAAAAACCCCTTTTGCTGGGAAAAGGTTCCCTCTGGGTAAAAATGTATCTAGGCACATGAAGGTTTCATGGTAAAAGGTCCACTTTTCAGAAGAAAGAACCCCCCTTTTGAAATTGCTGGTTATGGGCCTGAAATCCATGGATCAGATATGGCCAACCCATTTGAAAGGTCACTGCCTAATCCCCTATTAAACTCTAAATAGATTCCCTGCGGGGATTAGGCAGTAACCTTTCAAGTAGGTCGGCCATAATTAATTTACAGATCTGTAAGTCCGCAGATCAACTTCTGTTGTGAATGTGGCCAATAACATGACTGACTTAGAGGGACCTTGCTGTTGTACTGGGTACATTAACCAAGTACTTACTGACCCAAAGTGTGTATGTGTGGTATAGAGACTTGTTATGTCTGACCATAGAATAAAGGAATTAAGTGAAAGATGTCATTCTTATCACATTATTAGTGAAAGGTGTACTAACTTAATTCAATGTTTTATTTGTTTCATTGCCTGAGGTGAACAGTATCAGAGGATTTCAGCAGCATAGCTCACTGGCATTTTACTACTTAAAGATTTGTTCAGTACAATTATATATTTTATTACTGTTGACCAACTTGGGTGCTGCTAACAGCTAGCAATGTAATTAATTTTAATTCATAATTAACTTTGAGATATTGTCAGTCAAGTTAATCAGAGGAGAGAAATACATGTATCCTATACCTACCAAATGGGACATTTATATCCAGGTACCCCAAGATGTTTATCTTTCAGGATCTCTTTTCAGAACCTTAACATCCATACCTTTTGTACCCAGCTGTTTTAGGGACAATTTGAGCCTTATGTTGCTAATTTAGAATAAACGAACTGAACAAAGTGATAGAATTCTTCCAATATTGTATATAAGTGTTAAATATATACATATTTATATATCACTGTAAGCACCACATAGGTATACTTTAAGGTGATGTAGATTATACTAGAAAGCTTCTGCATGTTTTATAACTGACATTTTGTTCTATAGACATTAATCATATTTTAACCTTTTGGGCATATAACCCTTATCTTAAACATAAAATTTTAAGTGCAATAGTTGACACTAAAACACAACATTTTAATTTATTCGATATACTTGACATGTACCAGCAAATATTACACAAGAGATTAGAAAAGCCATCCATTAACAGCACAAAACCTCTCCAATCACATCATTCCCATGCTTAGTCATCCTCAAAAAGTGCACAGTTCTAAAGTTCCAATGCTGATGGCTGCCCCCCGCCGCCCCCCCCCCCCCCATGCTTCCATTACTGTGCACACTAGCAGATCCTAGGTGTTATCATGCAGTTAATGTTCTGTACTGATTGTGTTCTACAGTAGGGGTCCAGGGACTGATGGTGCCCAGTGAGTCCAGGAGAGTGTCTGCAGGGGGCGCCTCACCAATCAAACCGCCAAGGTAAGAGACATTGCTAACTCAATACTAAAGGCATTTTCAGAATTGTATTCACAGAAACCTGCAAAAGTCATATCTGTTGTCACAAGGTAAGTCAGCTCATGTACCCCCGCCCCCTTCCAGGGATACCTTGGGGTGCTACACAATGATGTTTTAATGGAGTTATCTGGTGACACCAGGTGGACTATTTGGGTTTTAAGTCAGTAGGATTCTGAACATACCTTTCTTGTATTTTTTTACCTGTCGGGTGTTACACTTTGCTGAACTGAACTTTGCACTTGGGAAAATGACCAGGTTTATTAGAAGTGTGTGTACATTCTAAATGACAGCAGGCTATGCTACAGGATTTGTTAGAATTCGTATTCAGCAACAGTGTGTTTTCTGCAATATCAAAAACCTACTTGCAGTGTCTATGATGCATGTCTACTTGATAAAATTACATGAGACGCATTATGTGCATAACAAGACACCAGATACTTTGTTGGTATTTGATCCTCATTTGTATTTAAGCAACCTCAGGCTAAATAAAGATGTTTGTGACATTGTATTTTCATGATTTGATATAATGGTCTATGCAATCATTCAAGAATTTTCAAAAACAGTTCATCATAATTATCTAAATTTTAACTTTTGTCAATGCATTTAGTTCCTACCAGAGTAGATGGTGTATCCATGCCCGCAGGGCCCCAGATTGATAATGATCTTATTCCCTGATTGTTTTGTTCAGAGTAATCTTTGTGAGCAGTACCAATAGTTTAAGGTTGAGTAGGATATGATTTTTCTGGCACTTGTCAAAACAGAGGCACAGGAACTTTTTTCTCTTATTTTCTAATTTTATATTTATAGGGCATTCAAGAAACTAGTGATAGTGACTGATTCCATTGCACTGCCTTCTCAGTTGAAGACATTTTAAAGTTGCTGATCAATGGTGTGCTCTTTTGTCTCACCTGATTAGCAGTCAAAAAGTTTTAAATGATTTTTCAGCTGAGAAGTCACTTTGTGGCTCCCATATTCTGGTCCTAACTTTGAGAAATATTGACTTAAGTGGCTTTTAAATTTCAGTTTTCCAAAATTCTTTATAGTTTCTTTATAGATTGTCACAAGTTACAAAACAAATTTTGTCTTACAGATATTACTTTTTGGTTCAAAATATGGGGATATGCCACTAGTATAAAATTTTAAATACTCATTACATAGTACACAAGGAACCTTACTATGATCAAGCACTGAAGTGGCACTGTATGCTTTCCCATATGTATGGTACTTGTATCTGGCGACTGCATTCACAGACTGTTATATTATATTATATTATATTTTTATGAACTTTATATATCATATTGAAAAGCTTTATTAGTAACAATTTTTGTTCCAGTAGACTCTTGCTTTTGTCATATGTCATTTTCATTGATCTATTTTAGTATTTATGGCCTAGTTTACACCTTTAATGTTATATTGTTTTGTGAACAATATGCTGAGAAGTCTTTGGTGAATATGTTGCTTTAAAATTTTGTAATTTTCAAATTGGTGTAAAATATACAGCATGAGATTACTGATGCAAAATTTGCTGTGTGTTGGCTCTTATTGCTCTCTGTCTGAAACTAAGGGCATGCAGGTTTAAACAAAATTAAATTGGTGCTGCAAGGAAATTAAGTTTGTTAGCTACTCTGTGGCAAATCCACCATTTCACCAGAGACTATTATTTACTTTGTATAGTTTAAATTTGTGTTCCCTGTACCATGAAAACCTTTGTTTTGTATCCCTTTGTTAAATATTCAAACCACTGCTTGATGTACCGTCTCTTGACGTTAAATTTCAGAAATCGCAGCAACAGGGTTGATAAGCAAAAGGATGACAAAAAACATTCTTCACCTGATAAAAATCATGGGAAAACTTTGGGCCCTCTGAGGTCCACGAAAAAGTATGGCTTCACTCATAGTTCCAGTTCTGAAACTTTTGTTCTTTATTCATTTAATAACAAGCTTAACCTGGGCAACAACCTTTTTTCCCTTTGGTGTTAACAGTCTAAAATCTCCTAAATGAGAATGTCATCAGTTTTTTCTAGATGTTGTTGTAGTTTGTTTGCCACTATCTCCCTCTTGATCTCTGTTTTATGTTTTTCACTTCCTTCTTAACCAACAACAGGTAACCCAACTGTTTGGTTGACATCACTCAGGTATTAATATTAGTAGAGATAGTTGCTGATAACCCCAGTAACACTGTCCTCTGCAGACTACACACATATATGTGTAATAATTGTTACACTGGTAAATGTGTAGGCTGAATAGATTCCTTAGTTTTTCCGCTGCTCCATAAATTGTATTTTAACCTTAATTTTGAAACATTGGCAGAAGGGGAAGTAGCACTAGTACCAGCATTACTGTAGGTACTTGTAGAAGTCTGATTATTGACATATTACCAATACCAACATCATATTCTACAGCTGCTGTGCAAATCCACATTTGATACCATTATTAAGACAGACACACACAGACACTCACACACAAACACACGTGCAAACACCAAAGGCTCTTCACCTGCTGCTGCAACAACTTGCAGTCCTCAGAGGTTTAACTTACAGACTATCAATAGAGACAAGCTCTGAGAAAGTACTTGCTTACAGTCAGCTAAACAAATAAGTCTTTTGGTGCATTTGTGCATGACATGATGGTATGTGTCCAACTGCATGTTGCCATGCCCTGATAGACATGGGAATGCAGGATATGTGTTAACAGTTTTACTAAAATTTGCATGCTGTTATTTGCATCATATGTATATATATATATATATATATATATTAACATAGTAGTTCGTTGTCAAGATGCTTGTGATCAGTGTGGTCTGGGCTCAAACATCTGTCAATATTGCTGTGCAAAAATAAACTTGTGCAAGTATGGTAGAAGCAGGCTCTAACATTTTGTACTTGGCATTGGCTAAGATGATAAAAATAATATGACATTCTAAGAACTATTATGTTTTTTTACATTTACTTTGTATTTTTTTTAGTTAATCTTCAACTTTGATCTTATATCTATGCTTATATAAAAACAAGATATTCTTGCTTGGCAAAGATGTAGAAATTTCACTGTTTGAACTCTCTGCATCTTTATACAGCATTTAATGCAGACTTTGCAAATTTTGAATGCATTTTGTCATTTAGATTTTCTTCACAGACCTTTTTGAAATCCTTCTTTTGTCTTTTATATAAAGGGTATTTAAAAAATTTGTGGGTTATTTTAAGAAAAAAATTATTTAATGTTAAAGACTATTGATTTAATATTTATATCATTGCAATTTTACCCAAAACTATTCAGACATATATTGTTAAATTGAGTTACTATTACATTACTGCATATTTGAAGATATACTAATTGTAAATATTGTTACTATATAATGGAACACATCTGGTTTATTTTGTATGCATTGAATAGTATATTAGATATCTTTGAATGGATTTATTATATCTTGATTATTATTTGAAGTGCTTCCCTTCTTCCTGATCATATATATTCATAATCATGCAATCTTTATTTTTTATGTTTTTGGTTAATTAACTTTTAATAAATGTGAATAATCTCTGTCAACCTCCCCTCCCCCCCAATTCTCCTTGAAATGACTAATTATGAAATGTTACACAGCAGTGTAAGGGACCATTCAGAATCAGAAGAGCTGAGTGCTAGCTAGGCCATGACCTAAATATGGTGGACCTACATGAAAGGAAGACCGCTTAATCCTGTAATGGTCTCTCATACGCCTCCCCATGCATCGTCCCTGCAGGGGCACAATAATTAAATCTCGGCCCAATTCAACTGATTGAGAGATGAAGAGTGGGGAGCCATGTGAGAGGTGGAGAGACCATTACAGGATTAAACGGTATTTCTTTCATGTAGGTCCGCCATATTTATATCGTGGACTAGCTAGCACTCGCCTCTTCTCACTCTGAATGGGGCCTAAGTCTATCTGGTCACAACCAAATATCTCATCACTGCATTTGTAGATCTTAAATTAATTAATTAATGTGGCTCAATTAAGCACTTTTAACTGAAAAAAAAAAACCTTTGTCAAATATTTATTCTTCCTTCTCATTAAATTATTCAGTTTAATATTGATTGGTTAATCAGAATTACTCTTCTTTTATTTTGCACATGCCAAGTAAAGAGAAGTAAAAATCAATCTACAGTGTGTTAACTGTCTATATTGTACATAGCTGCAGTTACAATGTTTCTACTTGACAGGAGTTCTGTTTCTATTTCTAGACCAGGTAGTACAGCCAATTTGAACACTTTGCCTCCAATTGAGAGCAAAACAATAGCAGAAGAAGGAGGGAAGATCTCACCTTCAATCAAGGCAGACAATGCGCAGCCAGATTTGGATCAAATAAAATTTGATGTCACAGGAATGTTCCATTGGTGTCCACAGCAACAGTTTGAAGATGTAGTACTTGTGAGTTACTCACATTTTTCTTACAGATTTCAAAGGACCATATTTTTTAAATATTTGTATATTTATAAAATAGATTTGTTTAAGATATATAAATAAATAAGGTTTGTCTCTCGTAGAAATTCTTCTTTCTAGGCATAAGGCAAAGAAAAGCATAAATTTTTGGAATATCTTCTTACAAGGTTTTGGTGGTTTTTATGGTGTGTATTTTGTGTCAGATAAATGTTCTTGTTTTGCCTTTTCACTGGATATACTTCACAAAGGGACACAAATGTGTCGAAAATTTCTTCCAGACAATGGGAGATCCTCCTGGAACTGTGAAACACAACTACAGCAGCCATGTTGTTGTGTGTGTGTTTGCAGACACACACTCTCCTCTTATGGGTCTATGTAATCTAGTTATGCCACTACGTGCCAGTAACTTTCACTTTGAAGAACTCAAAGATGTGATACTAGTTGGAGACAAGGAGTACCTGAGGAGAGAATGGAAAGGCTTGCATAACTTTCCAAAAGTTCATATTTTACCGGTATGTGTTGATTGTGTTGAAAAGAATACATGTACTTGTAGGTACTGAGGGGTTCCACATTGGAAAAAAATCAGTGTACACATTTTATTCTGTTTGTTACTAAATGTTATTTAGCCAAATCAGTGATATGATGTCTTGGTTTTAACATATTAGCCAGCAGAAATATTAACTTTTTTACACGTGTAGTCCACTAAGATAAGCTTTTTGGGGAGCCTATGGTGTCTTGAAAATTCAGACTTCTCTGAACGTGTTATTTTAAAGAAATGTAATACAAAATGAAAGATTCCCAGTTTGAAACAAAAAGTTGTGCTTTTTTTATATGCTAAATACCTGCACTGCATGTTGTTTCAATTTGTAACTTCACATAAGTGCACATATATTATGATAAATTCTCATGACAGTTTTACAGTTTTCTAATGTTTTCTAACTTTTACTCATATGTGTCCATATAGAGGTTAGAATTGCAACTTAACACATACTCCTTGTGATTCTGCTCTAGCCTTTCTGGTACATTTTGTGGTACCATCTTGGTACATTTTGTGGTGTCTTCTTGTTACATGTACCATGTATGCTGCCTTCATAGTACATTATTTGATACTTTCATGATACATTTAACTTTCACAGTACAATTTGTGGTACCTTCATGGTACATTTTGTGGTACCTTTATGGTACATTACATTATGTGTACTTAACCATTGTTATTTCCTTTCCTAGGGTTCCCCGCTAAACCGGTCCCGACTGAGATCTGTAAATATCAACCTGTGTGATATGTGTGTGATTTTATCTGCCAAGCATGGCTCCTCTGAGGACACTACCCTGGTAGATAAAGAAGCCATTCTCTGCTCACTGAACATCAAAGCCATGTCCTTTGATGACACCCTGGGATTGCTCAATCAGAACACTGAAGGTACTACAGCATTCTCTTGGTGTTCACCAAATGAGAACTTATCCAAGTCAAACATTTCACACTTGTATAAAAATGAAATGATGCTTTACCCTAAGTGAATTGTTTGATTGTATATTGGCATTTACAAAAACATTCAGAATGCAAATATGTTCACAGATATATCTTAGGTAATTATTTTTCACCAGGCAGAAGTACACTTGATGTATACAGCCTAATTACAATAAAAAGATATTTTGCCTATTACAATAGATTGTTCATTAGATAGTCATCTAAAGATTGACAGGCACAGAAATTAATATTATAAGATATACATTGTTGTTTAAGTTCACCAGAATTGTGCTCCATTAATTTTAAATTCTGTTATAGTAACTGAAGTGTTCCCCAGGATTCCAGGATTCCTTGGTTCCCTAATTAGCTCCTATTGTCACCAGTTAAATCATAATTCAATAATTCAAATAATCCTTCCCTATATTAGGGTTCTTGCCTCCTGGATTTGCTCCTATTGGCAGTCCTATGCGTCTGTCCAGGGTGGAGTGTATGCATGGCTCCAACATCCCAATGATCACAGAGTTAGGTAAGTCTGTTCAACACTACATACTATAAGGAGATAATTTAATGCCTCAGTGTGTACAACATACCAGGGCTGTAGGTCAAATGTTGCTGGATGCAACTAAAAAGATTTTGTTGCTGAATACAGCCTTTTACATTCAGACAATGATATTGTGACATTGTATATATTCCACTGCCAATGATATTGTTACATTGTATATCTTCCACAGCCAATGCTTTCCTAACATTGTATCTATTCCACAGCCAATGCTATCCATAGAAGTAGAACTATATTAACATTGTATCTATTCCACAGTCAATACTTATATTAACATTGTATCTATTCCACAGTCAATACTATCTTAACATTGTATATATTCCACAGCCAATGTTATCCTTACATTTTATACATGTATATTCCACAGCCAGTGATATCCTAACATTGTATCTCTTCACAGCCAATGATATTGTTACATTGTATATATTCCACATCCAGTGCTTTCCTAACATTGTATATACATGTTGTATTCCACAGCCAATGATAGCAATGTCCAGTTCTTGGACCAGGATGATGATGATGACCCAGACACTGAGCTGTACATGACGCAGCCCTTTGCCTGTGGGACTGCGTTTGCTGTCAGTGTCCTGGACTCTCTCATGAGCACAGTGAGTTCCTGGACATTATTATCTGCTCAGTTTAATTTGCTGTATAGATTGTGCTTTCATTCTCATGACTTCAGTTCAAATCAAAGGGTTGAGCACAAAGACTTTTTGGGTATGAGATGTCATCAGAATATGTCTCTTGGAAAAAGTCACTAAGTTCATCGTTTAGTTTTTATTTAGAGTTTTGATGCTGTTTTTATTAAAGAGAATTTAGCTATTTTCATAATCTCCTGATAGAGATTTTTAAAGGAGTTTTTTTTTTGGTGAACACATTATTTGACCTAAACGACCAATGTAAACTTCACTGCTTGCAAATGTCTGATTCCTGAGTTCTAAAAGTCACATAGGATTGTTTTGTTTATTTGTAAGAAAATGACAAATGATGTCTTGGTATTTTTCATTGCCCATTGCTGCTTGACTATGAGACTGAAAATTACTTGAATATTCATGCCTGTTACTTTATTTCAGACATATTTCAATGACAATGCGTTGACTCTTATAAGAACTTTGATCACTGGTGGCGCAACCCCTGAGCTAGAACAGATCCTGGCAGAGGGCGCTGGCATGCGTGGAGGTTTCAGCACTCCAGATATTTTGTCCAATAGGAGCCGGTGCCGAGTAGGACAGATCTCCTTGTTTGAAGGACCATTATCACAATATGGGGTGGGTAGTCTTTAGCTGTTATCTCATATGTGGTACAGTGTATGTGTTCAGACTGTGTGGCTTGTTGTTGTCATATAAGTATTGATATTACATGTTTACATTTGTTTTAGTGGGTGTGTGTGTGTGTGTGTGTGTGTGTGTGTGTGTGTGTGTGTGTGTGTGTGTGTGTGTGTGTCATAATACAAAAAGATTTATACCTGCACATCTATGAGCTGACCTGTTGTCACCCAAATAAAATAATTGCTATTTAGAAAAAAAACTGTGATTGATGGTGCAAATGTTCTATTCTGCAGGAGGGAGGGAAATATGGAGACTTATTTGTGGCTGCCCTGAGGAGCTACGGTATCCTATGTATTGGTCTCTATCGATTCCGAGACACCAATTCTACAGCAAAGAGTCCATCATCAAAACGTTATGTCATCACCAACCCACCAGACGACTTCAGCATGATGCCAACAGATCAAGTAAGTTTTATGTCAAGAATATGATGTTGTATTTGCCTCAGACTGCCTGCAACTTTTGCCACATGTTTACAACTAATCTTATTCAATTTGTTAGATTAATTTTAAGAGAGACATCTTTGCATGTTTTGTTTGAAAAAAATGGTAAAGAATTTAAAAGTTCATTGATGAAGGTGTGATTTTTCAGAATGTTTGAAACTAAACACAGTCTTTATAATACTACTGAGAATTGATTCTTTCTCATTGTGTTCTTTTTCTTGTTGATTATAAATACTAATCCTTTTGGTGTCTACATTTGGTTTAATTTTACATAAAATATTTCCTCTGTGAGCTACATTTGGTGACGCGTACATAGAGGTGAAATTCAAAGAAGTTGACTCTGAAAGATTTTTTTAGCTATTTTTGTAATGAGGTGATTTCTGTACAGTTTTTAGGCATTATTTTATATGTAAAATGAAGTTGCTGTTTATGTCAAGTGGTTACTTGATGTAATTGAACTGCACCATGCAGTGAAGAAATCACATTGTCAGAACAGAAAGTGAAATGGGATCTTTTGTAGAACAGTTTTCAAACTTACTTTGCTTTGGTTTTGTTTGTAGTTTATTTAAGGTTATAAGGCATATATAATACTTGAAAATTCTTTTTTCTTATGATAAAAACTATTGAGATTCTTAGTGCAGTTTTCAAAGATATAATCTTCCCTTTGTTTGGAATCATGACATTTTTCAGTATGTAATATTTGTCATAAGCAGATGTTCCACATCACACTAACTGTGGTCATCTCTTTGCTGAAACACCTTACTAATGTGTTCGAACACCTTTTTAGAAGTTCTTCATCACATTCACTGTAGTCAATCAACTTTTTGCTGAGATATGTAACTAACGAACAGACATCCTCAGACAAATTGAAAATTTATGCCAATAAGAACTAAGAAAACCATTTATTTTGGATTCGTTATTACTATTTACTCGCAGCTTTTCCCAAGAATGTATTTATCAAGTATCTTATTTTATGAACTACGGTAAACCTGTGACATTAATTAGTGGTTGTTATCACCATTGGCCATATATTGTTTAGAAACTTCAATTTTTTTACATGTAGTGTATTTTAATGTTAAGCATAATACATATTGGGAAGAATGCTTTGTTCAGCTGGAATGTTTATAACTTTTCTATAGTGTTTTTCTTCATCATCATTTTCTAGACTTGCTGCATGAGGATGACATGATAACTAACAGCATCTCTTCTGACTTTTTCTTCCCACCAGGTTTTCTGTTTTGTTCCTTGCAACTTTAACAATCCTGCTTACGCCAAGGAAATAGAACGTAAGCCATCTACTCCTCGCCTTATCTTTCTTCTTGCCACACCTGGGCTCATCCCAAACCTGTTTGAGATCAAATACAACAACAAAAAAGGTAGACCATTATCCACAAAACAAAAAAAAAAAAAAAAAGAAAAATTGTTGATACTTGGTTATCATGCAAAATATAACTTTTTAGCTCATTTGCACATTGATTTCTTTTCAAATTAGCTTGTCTCGCCTAGAACTTATTACTTCATGTAGCGTGGGATTAAGTCTGCCAGGCTTTTCTGCACATAAATTTCCTCTGGGGAGTACAAGTCCATGATAATACTCGTGCACTACTTATTCCCAAAAGGAAGTTTTGGCTCTTTTTAATAACCCAGTGGTAAGAAAAAGTGCAAAAGTGATCAGACTGGGCTATACAGGATGGAAAGTAGGCCTGTAGGTGGTGGTGGGGGGGGGGGGGGGGGGGTTTGAGGGTGTAGAAGAAACTGCTCTTTTGGTCAAAAAGTTGATGGATGTTCAGAAAAAGAGACCGTTTTGAAATTGCTGGCTACAGGACTGAAATGGATCCATATGGCAACATAGGATTACTTGTACTCTGGTCACCTGACAAGGCAAATTGGACCAAATCTCAGTCCAAAATATTCAAGTATTAACAGATAAATAGAAATCACTAGAGAATTTTCAGAACTTAACCCTTGATGCTTGTGCACAAATTAGAATATTATTCATTCCACATTAAATACTAGTAGAGACACAAAGTACATTGAACTATGTAGATATTTTTGCTTTTTACCAAAAACTGTTTCATTTTAATTTCAATTATATGTTAAAGTGGTGAGGGTTTACATAAAAGATTTAACAGAGAATTTAAGTTGGTCAATTGAAATTTTTGGTAAGCAATACTGTATGTGCAGAGAAGGCTGACTTTTCCCCCCGCAGCATCTATCATACATTCATTTCAACAATTTGAAAAATATTGGTTCAGTTTGCATGTCACAGTTTCTAGTATTTAGCTCTGTGATTTTTTTCTTTTTATTGACTTAAATTATTTTTTTACTAGCCAGTGCAGTCCATTTTGCACATAGCCTTTTTGTCATAGTTTCAATGTTATTGTAAAGTTCCAGTTTTACTTTATTTTCATGAAGATGAAATCTTGTAAAGTAGTCAGTAGCAAGTGTCAGTATGATGGCGCTGTGAATGAAGACAGAGACATACTGGGGTGTGACATGCAGATTGGTCCTTATCTTTGGATTGAGTCCAGGTCTTTAACAAATGCATTATAAGAACTGAGGGAAGTCACAAACTGCTCATAGCTTTTTTACTAAAAAAAAAAGGACAAAAGTGTTCATTACCCAGTGGCTCAAAGGAAATATGCATGGTACATCTTAAAGTTTAGCAGCGTTTTATTTATTTTCAAAGGGAAAAAATATGTAATTAGTGCTTTTAGTGCCTTGGGTATGTTGCTCAGTAAAATGACAGGTGCAGAAAATAAATTGGTTGAGACAATTTTGGTCCTCACTGCAGGGAGGAGATACTTGGTTCCAATCCCTGTGCCTGATCTCTCTGTTATCCCCAAGGTTGCTATCAAGTACCTGTTCCCTGAAGGAAGGACAAACAAAACCTTGGTTTAAGCTAATCAGCATTTAATGTCAAATTCTGATGAAAATCATGCCACTTTTCTGGATGATAAAAATTGCTGCCTGAACTATGAGACAGTACCTGCAGAAGATTCCAATCTTCTTACAAGGCTGATAAGCCATCAAATTATGCCTTAGAAAGCTTTTGCAGCATTCCCACAATTTTTCTTCTCATTTTTTGCTAACAGAACATTAAAATAACTTGAGCACTGAGCACAGCACTTGGTGTAGTGAGTAGTGTATGCCAGTTTCATGTTAAATCACACAGCATGCGGTATCACACTGTCTGTTTGGAGATTTGATGGATACAGTGATTGTTTTTTGTGTGCACATATTTATATATATATATACCTTTTAAAGATCCTTACATGGGACAGATATTTTGCAAATAGGGCAAAGTGACAGGCCTCCATTCCATGGACTGTATGTTTAATAGTTACTCATGTGTGCCCAGGCTGCTACTATCATAAATATTACAATCTGTAAATACATCAACAAAATGTTTTCTTCTACGCTCATCTACTCAGTAACTGTACACTCCAAACACCCACTCGGACAAAAATAGTGCCCTCTGTCTGGGACTGCGACCTTTTTTTATATATAAAAATGTGTGGTTTACGTCTGTGTAATCATCAGCTTTGCTGCAGAGAAATGAAAGCCTTAGTTTAATTGTGACTTCCTAGCTCAGGTTGAAGGCATGTGTAATGGTGCCATGTGCTTTTTTGTGTGTCTGTGTGCATCCAGTGATGGAAGAGAGAGAGAGAGAGTGTCTTGTTACATGTACAGCCTAGATGTTGCATGGGGTTATTCTTACTTTTCCTTCCTCCACCTCTTCCTTCCTTCCTTGGACTTTCCTGGAGGTAACTATTTAATATTGTAGTATTATAGGGGGAGAATTATGGTTTGTTTTCAAATTTTTATGTCAAGAGAAACGATAATTTTTACAATGTGATTCTGATTCTTTTAAGAAAAATCGTGCCATTGTTGATTCTCCTTCCCTATATTACATGATATATGAAGTTTCACTATTTGTCCAATTTGCATAGTGAAGACCACTTGCACATGTGCATGGTTTTGTATGTGCCTGAGTGTATATACACATACATATATAAATGTTTATAAACACACTTTAAGGTTTTCAGAATGTAGCACTTACAAAGCATGATTGAAATTTTGACCTTTTTATAAACACTTGAATAGGAAACTTAACAAGTGTTAACAAATGTTAATTTGGGTTGCAAGTAGTTTAGAACCAGGTAGTGGGTGGTATTCTTGTACCATACATTGCCAGTGCCTGTACACAGTCATTATATAGGCTCTGCATGGTTCTAGTTGGCATGTATCACTGTGTGTAGTAATAGTAGTAGTAGCAGTGTGTAGTTAACACTGGTGATCACACTGTCCTGGTCTGCCATCCAAGTGATGCATGCAGTCCCATGTATGTTCAGTAAAGAAATATGTCCTGTCCACTACCTGTGTCCTGAGGAGTTGAAGAGGACTGAAGTGTCTCTGATCTAACTGAACACAGAACAATTAGAATTGCACAACTGTTTATATTGGCCCCTTTGATAAATGATCTAATTTTGGCTTTGTTCATTTCAGCATTTTTAAAACTTTTTATCTAGTGTGTATGGATACACATTTGTTATTTGCAATTCCTCTCAAAACTATTTGTGAACAGTTTCTCTGAGCATTGAAAAAGTTTTTTCTTACTTAATTGTTTGGAAAATATAGTCATGAAATGGGCATTTAAAGTTTCACAAACAGTGGATGGTGTTTTTTTTTCTGAAAAATCCTGCTATTGGAGTGTGGGTTTTTGGTTCTTTAAATACGAAATTGAAGCCTCTAAAACTTCTTAGCTTGAAGTGCAAAAGAGAGAGAGAGACTGTTACCACATTGTGGTAGGTGAGCAGAGTGCAGAAATGTGTTCTGTTGAGCTTCCACAGCACCTCTACCACAATTACTCTCCCACACTGTATTCTTTGTTGTCTGCTGCACCAGAGAAATCAGAAATATACACTATACCAATTATCTCATATTTTTGTAGTTTATTGATGGATAAATTTTAATTAAGTATTGATATTAATGTTGTCTTTAAAATTTCCATTGCCTACATTAAAATTCATAATGTATTTAGAGGTATAATACATCTTAGCCAGGAAAGTGCCCTTATTTATTAGGACTTGAAATTTTGACCAGAAATTACTATGGGTTAGGCTGCATTGTAATATTTGTACATTTAACTCAATGGTGCCTCTTTACTGAACATTTTATATCTTGTCATTCATATGTGATGATGTTAGATCCGTGGTAATACTCTAGATGTTAACAACTGCTCCTCTTTCTTCATTCAGGTCTTTTGTCTAATTCCCTTCGATGAAGGGCGTGGAAGCACCAGAAGACGCAGAGGCCAGAGGCCTATGAGTGCAAGCAGCATGGATAGGGTGGGAAGTGGATCACGAAAATCACGCGAATCACTTCGCAGTTCACATCATTTGCGCCTTCCAGATTCTACATACACATGATTTTGATGGCAAATGGTGCTGGGCACCAACTGATTTCACACTGCAGACATGAGGCAGAGGTGGGCCACATAAGATCTGATACAAGCATGGAGTATGGAGAGATGGACAGATAAAGAAGAGACTATTAAATAAAACATTGTGATGTAGTAGTAGACTGTGTATATTGTATGCTGTGCTGTTATTCATGAAGATGTGGGCACTATTCACTCATACTCTGTGCTACTACTTAAATATTGTACACTACATGTCACAGAGTGTTTGTAAAGTATTAAATCAGCACAGTGATTGTCTTTATAATAAAAGATAGGATGCCCACGGGTCATCTGGCTAAATGTGTCCATCTGCCATGATGGACACACAACATAGATGTACATTGCCTGGGTCTCAGCTATGACTCAGCCCAGTGGAGGGGGGGAGGGGCGTGGCTGTTACCTTGCTAATATAGTGGTTATATCATAATGTGCTGGCTCTTCAGTTCCTTAGTTTCTGATTTCACAGATGAAATATATGTAGAATGTGAATTTTAAGAATTTTTTTCTTGTTGGGCACATACGCAGTTTGTTCAAGTGCAGCTTATTGTTTTAGCTTTTTATGTCTTTTTCTTATGTTAAAAATTTGATAGCAGTGTTAGATTCTTTATTACTCATTTTCAATTCCACATCTTTATTTAAATCTAACTTTTCCCTTTGTATAAAAATCTGTGTCTGGCTTATTCATGTAACTATTTGCTTGTTGATTTCTTTATTCATTTAATATCGTTTTATTTATATTTCACTTACATGTAAATGGTATCTAAAAGGGATTGTTACCAAACATCAGGTATCTCTCTGAGGGGGGTGGAGGCAATATGGAGGGTGGGTTGTTGGATCCAAAACCCTGGAACATCGTTTTAGGCAGCAAGCCCTGCATTCTGCCCAATCCTAAATCTGAACTGATAGGCAGGCAGTAGGTGGGTTTAAAAAAACAGATACGTTGTAAATGTTTATCAATAACTTCATTTTATACGGAAGACCACTGTGTTAAATAACATTCCCACGTCGGTGCTACATGTATGTATAATTTGTTGACACTTCAATGTCTAGTGACAGTATTGTATAAATGTTATTGTTTTTTATCTATTGTTTACCCACCTCAACATGTTTTGTAAATGTTATACAACACAGAGAATCTCATTGTCAAACTTGAGTTTAGGATCACTGCCTTATGTGTCTTATTTTTAATGCACGGCTGCGTGTAATAAGTCTTTTTCTATTTGTTGTATAGTTTACACATAACTTGCCAGTATATCCAAGGTATCTGTTCAGTTCCCAGGAACAGTGTGTGATTTGCTGTGATATATCCTGCCCTTTGTCCAGTTCATTACTAGAGCAGCAGTTAATATCTGGTACAGATTTTTGTTTTTGATATTGTTTTTCTTGTGACTTTTGCCGGTTGATTTACTCATTGTTTATGCAGTAGTGCAGTTGTCTACAGTTTGTAGAGAGTGAGCTGTTATATAATGTGAGCTGGAGACACAGTCAGTGTTCACCGTATTTCTACCCCGGAGATTCAAAGCAACGTTGCACTGCTAAATACTCGTTCATATTTGGGATGTCATTTGTTACCAGCTGTTATAGACCTGTCTCACAAGATGTGCCCGTACTCGTGCTTTTCAATGATAATTACATTATCTGACCGCAAAACATTTGTAACTTCCATGGTGTATTTACTACCGACAGTGCAATCGGAGTGTTTTCTGCTTTGTCTAATAAACAGAAGTATTTTGACCAAGCCCTTGTTGTGTTTAATTGTGTAACGTAAAACAACGATTTTGGAAATGGCTAGGAAGCGGCGTGGTCAGCCTTTCGATAAATTACTGTTAAACTCGAAATGTCTCGTGGCGGCGTGTGTCGCCAGCACGGATCAAAGCGCGGCGACAAGGGTATGACTAGCGCGTAAGCTTATTGAACTAAAGTATTATAGACATTTGAAATAAGATCCCGGTTATTGCTTTCTATCTTGCGAGTGTCAATACTTGAATCTTGTGAACAAGTGAAGGGATCAGTCCTAATCCTAGAACCGCTGTGCTTGTACAGCACTTCATCCAAGAATTATACGTATTTTAGGCAGGTTAGACTGGCCGTTATGCTGCCTCAACGTACAGCAATGCGGTCGATGTGACCCCGTGGAGAAGGGGGCGGTAGAGAAGAAAAAGGGCCAATATTGGCCTCTGTGCTGTCGCATCCCCCGTATAGGAGTTCGTACTACTGTTGCAACGTACACACAGCAGGATTTTCTCAGAGGCTGTTTATTCTCCACACCAAGGCGAATACACCCCCAGCCCATCCCCCCCCCCATCCTCCCATAAAACTTGTAAAAATCTTTAAAAAAAAGTAATTTTTAAAAATTGCTTTAGCTTTCACAGTATACTCCCCGCCATTGCGGTAAAATCGGTAAAAATATCATTTCCGGGTGAAAATAGTTCTGCTTGTGAATTTCATTTTGCTCCTAAGGCTGTCGCCAGCCTAGCGGCAAATCACCTCTACATCTCTCCACTCATATGAAGATCAGCTGACGACTGAGACGCCATTTTCTTGTGTGAACGCGCCAGTTCACACGAGACTGGCGCGCTCACACTGACCAGTAGGCGATGTGCCGGAGACACATCTCTATCAAGTGCCCGAGGTCCACTCCTACTCCACCCCCTGTACCCTGTAAAGGGTTCATTCTACTATCGGAAATATGCAACCTCGTGTTTGCGGTGACGCTCATATGGCTGTTAGGGGTATTTCAAAGCGAAAAGATAGAAAACTTAATTTGTTGGTGTCACCAGCATCCGTGTAGTGCGTGCCGACCAATGCTCGGTGTATTTTTTTTTCTTTTGTCACGACTTTGGTCAAGTGCATTTTCACCACGCGTCACGAAAATGTCTTCTAAGCAAAGACTAGTAATTTCATAACTTAAAAAAAGATTTGACGTCCCTATTCTATAGGTTAATGTTTTAAAAGAAGGAAATGGGAAGATTTGAGACAAATCTCCAAAAACGATACCTTTGAGTCACTCGAGTGCCATCCACACGGCGTCTCTCTCTTGCCGTGCAGACACTTACCGCTTACCTGGATGGAACGCGACTAGCTCTGTAGACTGACTTCTAACAAGACCACCCAGAGTTAAAAATTACAAAATAACTGATAATGTCATTCACTCCCCCGATCTCTTAAAAATCCGGCCTAGTCCTAGGTGTTATTGATGATGTCATATCGCGATTTTATGTTTAGAAATAGTCTCTTGCAAATGACGCCCAATATAGGATATGATATTGAATTTTTAGAATTGAAAATATGATCCCTCCCGCTAGATCATTAGGGGATAGGGACTGAACAGGAGAGACAACCCCGGGGTTGTCACTAGCAACTAAGCTTGAAATCAAAGTAAAACGAACTGTACGGATGTCCATTTTTGTTTTACTGACAAAGTGTATCTGTTAGAATATCGTCATCCCACCTTCTTGCGTCCGTCGTATTATTTTCATCTCTTATCCGAATTAACATGAATTTCTACATCAAATAAACAGAATCTGATGAACAATTTCTTTTTTCACTTGACTTATTTGCTGATTGCAAATCATATAAAAGCACGCTTTTATTGATTCACGTCTTGCCCACAATCTTACATAGAATCAATGTAATGATTACTTAACACTATTTATCCTACGATTAAGAAGTATCAATTAAACGCCAATACACAACGCCTCCTGCCCAATCGATCCCTATATACTTAAGTCCCGTAGTGCAATTTGTACATGCCTGTTCAAACGGGATTGTCTTTTTCAAAAAAAAAAAAAAAAAAACTCTACGATCAGAGAAAGAGTGTATCCATTAATTTGATTGTTTATTGCTAAGTCCTTTACATTTTTTCTTGTCATACCTCTGCTTAATCTTTGTATTTTAATTTATAATTGATGGCACCAGCACGACGCGTTGGGTTCAATCGTAACGGTGGGCTCGGCGTTTGCTATCCTCGACGCTGATATACGACTCTTGAAAAAGCAAGCAGAGGGTTAGGAGGGTGGAAATTGGAGGTGCAAGGTAAACATCTCACTAAGTTCGACACGTATTTTTTCACGCTTATCTCCTCTGAGATCGATTATATTACTAAACATATTCATTATTGCTGATGTCCACAAGTTAACATTGCCATTAGCGTGGAATTAGTGTGAACAACACGAGCTAGGGCCAGCCAACCCTCCAAGCGGAGGGACGGCGTCGTGGCTAGTGAGGTGATGAATTTGGCAGATTTCTGAAACACTACGTGTCGAGAAGGTCTGGGCAGCCCGTCTACAAAGTGCTATTTCTGTTTCATCAAGCCGCAACAACTTCCTTTTCCATTTTTTATATTTCCCTACCATTTTCCATGTAAACAATCTCGTTTGAGTTGTACGGAGTACATCAGTCCATCAATCTCCCACCTCAGTCCATTTCATTTTATTTTAAGGTACGCGTGGATGAAGCGCTGTCGTCGATTTTGCACCGGTTTGGTGAAACGTCTCTAATTTGAACTGGTGCGCCCATTTAACTTTTAAAAAATGTAAAACAAAATAACAAAAACAATGTTTAATAGTACAAATGTATGCACTGATTTATCTTGTGATTTAACGTCCAGCCCGTCCCTCCCGACTAGACCCGTGCTTCACCAGTCACATTTTGCACGCACACTGCCCTAGGTGTCCTGTAACAAATACAAACTTCTTGCCCTTGATGAAGTTCGGAAATTTTAGACAACCGTTTTCCTGGAAAATCTCACAATCAACCTTGAGTCATATTTCAAGGAACAGGGCTTTATTTTGCGAATCTAGTAAAATATTTAATTCTCGAATCACATATGAAACTGTCTGAAAACCAGGGAAGAGCATCCAAAATAACACCTTAGAGGACGTTATGGGCCGTCTCCAACATAACGTGATAACATCAGACAGATGGAAAAGTGTGAACATTGACCATTTCGTTGGATTTATTATCTCCGTAGCTACAAGATCTCAAACCAACGAGTTTTTCTTCACCGCGGTAGGTGACGAGATAACTTAGCAGACGACCAGCGCCATCAGGCCACAGATTACTCACTGCGGTTCATGGGACGGATCGAAGCGAGAACGTGGAAAATTTTGTGAATATTTGATAAGCAGTATGTGAGAACGTATCAAGCATATCAACAGATGTCAAAAATAAAAACATAAGGTCCAGAAAAGCATCATTGTGCACCGTGGGCTTTGAGTAAACTGATTAGTAGTGCTTTCGAGAAAAAATATTATTCAATGTGATCAGCACTTGTCACAATAGACAAGATGAAAGGAAAATAATTGACTCATCTTGAAGGCGGGTCCCAAGATGTCGTAGATGATAACCACCTCTTAGAACTTAATCAATATATTTCATTCCGTGACAACTGCTTCTTGGGTTTCCACCTTCGATTTTAAACGTTGTTTTCTCGGTATTTTTAAAGGCTGTTTACTTGAAAACAAAGGGTGTTTATTCAAGGTAAACTGTTTGGAGCCAGCCATTATCTTAAGGTTCGTGTTTCTAGAGTAGTGCTGCTCCTGTCCGTGTTTTGATAGAATAATTAAGGCTTAATACGGCATTGTAGAAGTCAGTACGCCTCGTTTGCTATTGCCTACAATCGCCGATAAGGCGCTGACGGAACTATTACTACGTGGCCAATGTTTGTTTATTAGTTCCACACAATATAGCGCCTTTTCCACTAAACCTCTTGATAGATTTTGCTGGAGTATTAGCCGCTCGTGTTAGCTACAAAGTCGTTTTGTTGGCACTGGCCAGTAAGGCTAAGATTACACATCAATACTTTAATACTGATCTGATTATTTTGAAGACCAAGGGGACGCAGCTCCAATTACTAAACGTCCAGTTATTAAGGGAAATGAAAGTCCGAATTTCTGCAACTAGCTGTATCACATGTCATAGCGTCCCTATTGTCCACTCTGTCCAATTAGTGGACAATGTGTTCCGTCAATAGCCGTTGTCATTGGCGCAGTTCTGTCGCACTGGGGTTGGACGCTTTCAGAACGGGAAATGTGTTTGGTTTTCAATCACAATCAGCTTCCGTTATTTGCGTTACTATAACAAATTCTTTTTTCCTCTTGGTTTTGCTATTAACATAAATAAAGTATTATTGTTGCACACATTATTACAGAATATCATAAAATTCGAAAACTACTCAAAATGTAAACAGAGAGGAATTCATCTGCCGGTTCTTTTTGTTATTAAATGTTGTGTTAACCCCTGATAGTTATAATCTTTTATTTCAGTTGATTAAAATTACACACGTTTGTCTCGTTTAAAAAGTGTTTTAGTTATATAGAATAAGTCGACAGGTAGCCTCGATCCTTCAGTAGTATGTGTAGTTCAGTAATTCGATGAATTCATCAATTTATGGTCGCTAAACCAAACGTAAAAAGTATGCATTAAAGCTTTTACGTTGGTTTTCTCAATCGAAAATTGGTAAACGCAAAGTAAGCCTGTGTCAACTGAACGCATCTCCATCTTGTTGAACTTGTTGGAGAAAATCAAATAGTTTAAATATATCAAAGTATGATCGCCCCGAGAGAAGAACGTGTTTCATGGTTCACGTTTCAATGAAAACCCGCACGCTTCATTACATAGATCAAATTACATTCATCAAATAAAATCAAGTTTCCCTAAAAATCCAGTAAACATAAAGGTAGGGTAGGTCCCGGGAAACAATGTCAATATCAGCTTTCAAAGCGGGATTTTTTGTGTCAAAATAAAGCGAGTTTTTATTAGCACTTAAAGACTTTATTAAGCCATGTTTAAAACAATCAACCAGATTAGCTGGAAACAACCGAGAAGCACTCGGGCTGAGGGGAAAATAGGAACCGATTTTCATGCTCCGCTTGGTTAGTATTTAATGTGTTGCGTGTATTTAAGTTGCTATGGGAAAAAGAAAACGTTCTTTTATTCCTCTTCACCTTAACGCATCTATATGACGCGGGGAGTGGGTGCAGTATTCGTATATTTCTTTCAAAAAGGGTAAACAGATAAGGCGTGCGTGTAGACAAAAGTTATCTACAGACCAACCGAAGGAAGGCTTCTAGCTCCTGGTGAGAGCGTGTACTCGGGAAAATGCGTCACTTTCCAGGCAACTGCATTTTCCAGTGGCAGCCTTCCGCCTGTACCTCTGATACCGCTAACAGTGCCTGCTTGGCTATTTTGTTTACTTTTCTCTTATATTACGGCGGCTAATTGAATTTTGTCTGATCGGATTCAAAACCTCCCCTCTCACCAATGCTTTTAAATAGAAGAACATGTTATCTTCATACATATATGTATTTTTTCTGCACCTGGCATTAATACTGAGCCAGACCCGATAAAGACATAGAAACAGAAAGGGAATATGAATATGTTGGTGGATGTATCAATAAATGAAATCCTATATTTTTAAGTTATCTAGATAACTACACATTCACCGTTTCACCATCACAATCACTGCGGACCTGTTAGATATTAGCCTGGTCTATAGCGGCTTTGCTGTCTTCAGAGGCCCGTGTAACATCAGTACAATACACCTAGTGTCTGAAGTAGACGCACCCTGCGTGCTTTGATACTGCTGTCTGGGACCTCTTAAAATATTTGACTCTATTTTATTATTTTTTTCACCATTTGTCGATTTATGTATAGAAAACCCCGGGCCACAATCTACAGACGTGTTTATCATAACAGCAATGGACCATTATCGTTGTTAAAGGGGAGGCGCAGAAAAAAGGAAACGATTTCGTCCTTATTCGCACCTTGATCTTCACTTGAGCACAATTCAGGTGTATATCTTTATCACTTGAGTATTGATGTTATATGTAAAATATTGGCACTAGCTATATAAAACATCCTTGTCTCTGCAATCAGTACTTCCTTCAAGTTCAATATTTACCACAAATTTTAAATACTGTGGTATTTTCTGTGACTGTTCTACATTTCGGACATTATTGACGCGCCTTGTGGGCATTGCAAACTGACACTGACGCGCGAGGCTGAAGGATGGTCCCAGAAATATGAATAATCCTACATTTTATAAGAAATATTTGAGTCGAGGTCGACAGAAAGCATTTTTGCTAAGGGGAGACATGACAGATGAAAGGTAAACGTGTTTTTTGGAGGGGAGTAAAGGTCATGTCACCCGAGGAAAACACCTTGCTTATCTTGATTGATGGCTTAAGAAGACAGGTGACGGTCAAATTCAAGTGCAAAAAACGCTGCACAGCGAATTGTTAATTAGTCTAACAATCGTAATCTTGTGTTTCTCCATCCATGGGGAAAATAGGGGAAACGATGCCAATCTCTCCTCTGTAGTTTCTTAAGTTTATGCAACCTTTGTCGCATTCTAAACCGGCCTTCCCTAAGCACCGGAGAATGCACAGCGCAGCACTGCGAGGCACGCGGCAAAGATGTGCCGTTAGTTCATGGTTTCAACATTCCATATCGCACCTCGGGCAACGCGGGACGCTGCCAGACGACTCAATCGACAGCTTTGATCCTAAATTGGCTACAAATTGCGGTTAGGCCCATCTCAGTATGCATAAGCAAAGCAAACAACAATTAACCCGGGCCGGTCACTTTATACCGGTCATTCTGTCATTTTGACATTTTGGCCCTGCCTGATACTTCGTGGGCCAACAACTTGCGGATTACAGATTTACTGCAACACACGTAGTGTTGCCAACTTACGAATGGAGAGGGTAATTTTACGACCGTGCTGTCAAAGTCATCCACAGACATTTACACTGTTTATGTTTGCAGTGACTCGCACTCATCATATAATTAAGAGATTCCAACATGACTATCTTATCATAAAGTTTATTTGTCCAATCACTTCACTGAGCAAATTGAGCTACAACTAACACGACGCTGCCTGGATTTAATATTAGATGGCTCTTAAATTTGTCGTTATTTTATATGCTTATTTCTTTCACCCCGTGCAGTATAACTGTTGCATCTTTGACCTCCCAACTAGCGCCGTAGGTCATTTGTTTGGTCTCCAAAAACTATCCAAAGTCATTTCCATAATGCCACTCGTACTCCCCCGACTACAACGCTCAGTGTAATGACAGCTACTCCACATAGTTTGACTGTCACTCCAGGCTCATTGACGTGGCGGCGGCAAATAAAACAACATTTACAATTGTTGGAGACTCGTTTCTATAATTTAGAGATTTACTTCTTGACATCTCTTTAAAACGGCGTCAAGCATAAAGCATTTAGTCTCTAAACCAATCTTTCATTTTCAGTGGTAGTGTCTTTTTCGCGTTTGGCGTCCACGTGCGGAGCGCAACCGACGAGAGATTGATACTGATTAATAGCGCGTATTAAGTTGCAACTTTTGAAAAAAAGCGGGTCTTTTTTTCGCATTGTCTTTTCAGCAGGTTGCAATATACTCAAAGAGCACGCACCTTCGCTGACAGGTGAGCAACGTATATTGGTTACATGCGGTAGAAATTGGTAGTGCCACATTTGTTATGAAGCAACGCGTTAGATGAATGTCCCCCCGCCGCTGTGCTATCAGCTAGACTTCATTGAAGAACTGAGGGCAACTTCACGATCAAACTCGGTGAACCCGCGTAGCTTAATCACAAGGATTGTGGGAGCTTAAATTTTTCGGACAATTGATTCGTAACTATTCACAAGCCTTAATTCCTATTGGTGTCCATTAAATCCCGTCTCCGGCTTTTGTGCTTTTCTTCTTCATCAATTCTTATTGCGGCTGAAGCGGCGACAGAGGATTTCTGGTCGATGGGCAGCCCCCCTCCCGCCGGTCAACAACACCAGGATAACAACATGGCCTTGTATCGTTTTACTTTTGAAGTACAACAACCGAACAACCATTGAACATTTATTTATGACTCAGACATCCATTATAGTTATAGCTTCCTAAAGATGCGAGAACGGTAAATTTCTCTTTAATTACTTCTTTGAAAACAGAGCAAAATATTACTCTTTTGAAGTGCCACTGGACTCGTGAATGAAAGTAGGAGCTGCGTGCCGCACTGAAGCGCTCCTTCCTCCTCAAAAAACACTCCAAATAAATTTGTAACACAGAAATTTATTAACCCAAGGTAATTTTTTTTTATCTAAATCAATCTTTTTCTCTGGGAGAAGAGTTTTTTCCAGTGCATCAACTTGAAATCGACGTTGGCAAACAAGGCCTGCGCCGATTGAGAAAGGCGTAGTGGATTTGGGCGACTTCGTATTGAGATTAGCTTGTTTGCGAAATTGTATAAAATATTTGAGCCAAGAAGCCGACACTGTTAGCACTTTCGTGCCCGAGTAATTGCTTTGTTCATAAGAGGGAAGGGAGTTAGGTGGAAGAGGGGCCCTAAACCCTCTTGAATTATCTGGTGTTTTACACAGCTTTCACCTGTCTCCCGTGATTCCAATAGCAACAGTGTGGGAAAGGACTCGGTCACGGGGGTAGGCTATGAAGAGAACATAACAGGAGATCACGCCCACGTATGGTAAAGGGCAGAGTTGTGATCAATAGCTTACAGATTGCTGCACAATGTAATTCAAACAACGGTGTGTCGAGATTACGTCCTTAAGAAAATACTTACATGCTGCACTAAAGGAAAATTAATACATAACAAGTTAAAACAACGTTTACTTCGACGGCAACACATTTTGTATTGCTATCTTTGCTGCGTTTCGATATGTCGGGTTAATTCCTGACTGTTTACGCTAGCGCTGACTCCAGTAAACTTTGATCAAAAGGCAGAATTATCAGCTAATGCTCCTGCCGCCTTAGTTCAATCCATCTCCTGTTCCTTACGTTAAAACTGGGAAGTTCAAGTATTACTAGAGTGTCCAGCCAATGAAAATAAACGTAGGCCTTATGCCTCGTAGTCATTGGCTCCTCCGGGATTGATACCTATTAAATAGCAAATTGAAAGCCAATCGACACGCCTCATTAAAAACGGAACAAAAAAAGACAGCTCTACACACCCGTGACTTTTATCTCTGTGTTCACTGAAGGCATTATATTTTCAATGCACACAGATTAATGAGAAGCCCGCGCCTTAACAAATTTCCATGAGGTTTGAGCAAATGAGAACGTAGCGCCACCAGCGTAGCTCGTCTAGACCTGGCGTCGCGGCTACATTTTGTTCACTCAGCTTTAGAGTGACACGCCAAGGTATATATTCCTCCTACCCTTAGAGCTCGGTTCAGAAAAGCACAGCGTTGGAGGCTGACGTACTGCGCTGATTAAGTTTTCCACGTCAGAAAGTGATCAGCCCTGACGTGCGGTGGAGTTGTGAAGGCACACATGGTTGCGGCTAAGGGATCTGCTACTTCACGCATGCAGACCGCACACTTCAACACTCACAGCCTGCCAGAGGATTTACATTCATTCACGATTCAGCTTAAACAGGAATACTGGATTAATCCCAGAAAACGCACACACCTCTATTAAGTGGGACGACATAATTGAGAAAACAGGTAGGTTGCGCGATATGCGGACGTCATTAATACAATAATGATGTGTCGATTGTGTTTTCATGTAAGTATTAATTTGCTTTGACGCAATCACATTATGTCTTGTTTAGGTCGACTAAGCACGTGTAATCGTCAGTCGTAATTGCGGATTAATGTCATATATGATATGATTTCAGAGGTTTCCCCTAGAATCATGTGGGGACTACGAGAACTGCTGTGGATAGGCTGTGGGGTCCTCTTGCTCTCACGTTTACCTGTGGTGGACGCCACACCCGTGGACTTGCTACAGTCCACATTATTCAAAAAACTCCGGAGCAATAGCGATGGGGGTGGTGACGGAGATGACGACGGCAATCGGGGCGCGCGCATTCCTGACTCTTGGCTCGTGGGTCTCAAACCTGAACCCTCGGATAAACTGCCTGTACCTCCCTTATTAGAGTCCGAAGACACTTCCCTGGATCCAAGCTTTCAGGATTTCGACAAAGAAACGTTACTGAAACTTTTAGGGGATAAGTACGAGCCGCTGTATATGTCTACAAGACAGCCGTATGAAAGCATTTATTCACCAAATGGAACGCTGGAATATGACTTTAAAAACAACCGCCGGCCCACGGGAAAGATGCCACATTCTATTAGAAATATGGATTTTAGTGTTCTGCATCTTCCAGAGGGACCTAATATTAAAACAAAAATTGGACATAGATTAAGCAAAAAACTCCAGCGTTTACTGTGGGCCTACACGTACTGCCCAGTGAATTACGTCTGGAAGGATCTAGGGGTTCGATTTTGGCCACGCTGGCTAAGAGAGGGGCGGTGTTATAACGGACGCTCGTGTTCTATACCTGAGGGGATGACATGTAAACCCTCCGGCTCCAAGTATCTGACGCTACTACGGTGGCATTGTCAGGGAGGGAGGACTTGTCAATGGATTCCAATTCAGTACCCAGTCATTACCGCATGCTCCTGTGGTTGCAAAGACTCCTAACATTTTGTGCAAGCCCAAACACTGTGATTATTGTGAATAGTGTACATAGTATAAAAAAATGAAGCTATAAGTTATTATGTACTGTATAATAGACTGCATCTATTTAATTACCTGTTATAATATTTCCCTTTTAAGGATTAAAATCTTAAGATGCCTGGTGCCAAGTTGAGCGAGGTTATTTTTTGTAAGTATGTGAATATTTCTGTTTTTGATAGAAACGTTTTTTTCCTGTAAATATGTAATTTTAGACGTGACTGCACACAAAGCTTCTCGCTAAAATATATGAGATTCGAACTATTAAGTGTTAATTTAGTTTATTGCATTAGGCCTGCTCCCTCTTACTTGAAGGATCCTACAACTCAAGTAGATTTGCTTTAAAACTGCCCTTCTTCCTGTTTATAAAACTTTAGTCTACTAAATATTAATTCAAATAATTCAAAGACCCTGCTCTGCATTTACGTTTTTACAGACCACGAGAATGGGAATGAATTCAGCATGTTCGTGTTTCTTATTCGTTTCATTGCCAGATTGCAACAATCAAGTGTTTACTCCGGCACTTACTTCTCTCTTCAGTCGCTTATTGCTTAATACGCACTTCAATATGCCAATCACGAGCAATGTTATTCAGGATCTATCTCTGAACAGTGTTATTGATAAACAGCGCAAGAAGAATTAAGATCGTCTGAATTACTAAATTAAACTTTTTTCATCCAAGTATGTAAGCACTTGGCGACCATCATGACGGTGACATCATTTCAACTTAGGAAACTCGATCAAACCCGTGTGACCGACTACAACGTAGAGAAGTACTCCTGAACTCTGGGAAAATGCAATAGAGAGCAAGGCCTCTGAACTGTACTTCTCCTCATTTTTTGTAAGTCTCCTGCCTACTTATTTCTATTAAAACAATGCCTTGTAGTAAACAATGATATGTGAAATTATGCTTCTCAGTCTGTGTGAGTACAAAAAGCCCTAGTGGCATTTAAACGTACGTCAAAGAGACATTGAACTATCCCACCCAATAAACAGCGCTTTTTCGCTCCAAACTGTCAGGAAAAAATTAGCAAATTGTCGCCTTAATAAGAACTACGTCATTCCAAACTGTGTATCATGCATACCGGGCGTAGTGGAAACGTAAGGTACGTGTCAAATGAATGTCGACTCTGGGTGAGAAAAACATCGTCAATTTACCTTGGACATGGTAAAAACTTCACCACACGAGCTGCTAACATTGCCTGCTTGTCTTACTATAACTAAAAAAACTCACTTAAAAAGAAAAAAATCTTTCTCAAAGAACAGCAAACTGGATATTAGAAAGAATAGGTATAAAAACAGTTCTATCATCTGATTTCACTTGACGCCTTGTGAATGTCAGCCGTGGAGACCTCTGAGCGTTCAGCTCTTTGAGTTTCATGTAAGGGCAGACCTCTGAGCTACATAAGTCCTGAAGTAATTATGAGGGACAAAACTAAGTTTGAGTCTGAATAGTTGCTTACTAAAAACTGCCATATGATTTGGTTCCTTTTAAAGATTGTTTGGAATTATTTCTGCAGTGGTTTGTTATGTTTATGGCACGCGCATCTCGCCCCGACTCCGTGTGTATCCCCAACCGTCGTGGAACAATGCTGTGTATTTTGGCGGATAGTACAAAGTGGGACTCTTCGCTATAAGACAAAATAAACCATCAAAGTGCGGGTATTATTCTAATCACTCAGCGCTGTTTGTGCAAGTCGACGATAATTACATCAAACGCCTGGGATCACTATATATATCTACTGCTAGTAATTGCTCGCAGCTTTTACTCGCCAAAAAATAGAGGAAGCTTTGGCTTCATAATCGCCGCAGCATGTTTAGGACCTGCAATAAAACAATGCTTTAATTACTTTAGAGGGTTCCGTGACCCTTCCAAGAACCTTGTAGAGAAAACCGCTTGAAACAATGAAACAATTGGAAACCACTTCCCACACACACCGAAATGCGGTTGTACTACAGACAAACAGTTCCTATTGCTCTCTCTCTCTCTCTCTCTCAAATCCATTTTTTTCAATCGAGGTTATAAATAATTGACACTGGAATTAAGTTCATACAAATTAGATTAGCGATGAAACGACTTATTTTTCATCTTGTTCCTACAGCTTTGTAGAGGTATTTAATGAATGGCGATCCACAATGTAAAAATAGCCTGGCTAGTCTTATATATCCTCCACCTACCACAAGAAAACGGAACTATAAAATATGCATCTACATCTGTTACAAATTGGTCCTAAATGACTTACATGCGATTTCAACACTCTTACAAGTTGGCACAATATTGATAACAGCCATTAAGTGTGCAAGTAGGGAGCGCAAGAATGCGGCGTTTTTAATACAGTAAAAACAAACCCTTCCGTCGCCCTAACATACACCAAAAATTGAATTTGGAAAGATAATATAAGATTTATTACTGAGGCAACTTAAAGGCCCTTCATCGGTTCTGGTATGAAGAAAATGCTATGACGTTTGGGATACATGTAAAAAAGAATAAGGAGTAGAATCCCTTTGTTGGACTACCCACTTCCATTCCTTTCTTTTCTTTTTTTTTCTTTTATTATTTTCCTTTTTTATTTTTTTACATTCAAATTAGAACAAACGGATTCTGTGGTGCAAACTGAATGATATATGCAAGACAATTTTTTTCGTGCGTGGGCAGTGACAACATGTGACATTATTATAAGTGAGTTCTGATGAACAGATCATGCTGCACCAATGACATCCCTTCTCCCACTCCAGGCAGGTCTAAGCAACCCCGTTCTTCTCGCTAAAAAATTGGTCTATTGCTCGACTTTTATACTGCTGACAACTGCCCCATGATATGAATATGTAGTAAACTCTAAGATTAGACTTGTTTCTTTATACAAAAGAGCACAAGGAGAACTAGGTTAAGATTACCGTTAAGGTAAAATAAAACCCATAACTCATATTAAGGTGATGACCCGATTTTTAAAAAAAGAATTGAAGAAAAATGCATTCGTACTGAAAAGCCGCGATAACTCATACGTACGCCTTTACTCATAGTACCCCTTACTCATGGTAACAACACCACCAAAAAAATCCCTTTAATTATTTATCTTTAATCAAGCATAAACTAATCTTCCAGGAATTGATTGGGAATTCATGTCTTAATCATTTGTTTACAGATCTGTGTGACTTACTCACGAATGACGAAGAAACCTAATCATTTACTTTGTCTTGGTCTTGATATTGAGTGTTACGACGTACTACTTCGTTGTTAATTTAATGTTTTAACATCGTATTCATTTCGAAGGACGTTCCAAACGTTGTTTTGTTAACACCTTGATCCTAGCACAAATAAAACGTTTCTTTTTAATGTTCTATTCCCCCCTTAATTTTTTCCTTTTCTCCCTGTTTCTCCACGGCTTGCTTCAAATGTAAAAATCGTCACCTTTTGAGCCCGAAGAGTTAACAGCAGGAAAACCGGCTCTCTGACCAAACAAATTTAACTTAAATGTTTCACAACTGCAGTTACTGACATTCTAGCTCACCACATACTGCGAACTCGAGTCGCCTGGCAAAGTAACAGAGGGCCCGGTTCATTCATTGAGAGCGATCGGGCCTGGGCGTAAGGAAATGTCGTAAAAACGGACTTAACATTCAATCATGTTTGATTGGGATTTGTATCATTTAAACAATTTAGTGAATGAAAGAAATGAAACAACCCAAGGCTCTGTTCCTGTTGCTAGCTCCCCGACTACTCGGTCCATATTTAGCCTTTCTAGCGCATAAGGACGATTGCTGTGTAAATTCAATGTGCCAAATATTGAGAGGAAGCACCAAGTCCGTGTCGCTAATAGAGCGTTCTTTGTGAATTAAAGTGAACAAGCTAGCAGTATTCACCGTAATTATGCAACCGAAAAAATACGTGTCACTAAATGCTCCCACATACACGAAACCAGACACCACACATCTTTCATTTTTTCGCATTTTTATTCTGAATATGATGCAATATTTCTCGATTTTTTAAGTTTACAAACCCTGGAGTGGGACCACGGAGTCACCAAGACTGGACTTCACGGATACGTAACCGCACCTCGTCATTTTTCAGCACAATCTGTCAACACGCAACGCAGCAGACGATGTTTTCAGCACTTTCCGAGATATGTCTACGATTCATCGATATTTCAAAATTTTCGTCCATCTTTCTCGCATGTACTTATTTACTCGTCCACCGGTTGTATGCCAGGGCGGATATGCCCAAACACCCGTGCTGCATTGTAAACTACCTTAATCTCCGCACTGAGATCTTCAGCTCGAGGCAGAGGTAATTCAAGAAAGTCTCCTGTCGGCATTATCCACTATGTTCATGTTGAAATGATGTGTATTAATAAATATTTGCTTTCTCTAAAACGATACATTGATTTTATGCGAATGCAAACAAACAGAGAGTGGATTTCAGTAGATAAATTTAAACTGTCTGACAGCAGCGTATATCATACATCTGCGTCTGTGCAGTTCAACCATTGAGGTCCGGCGACAATAATAGTTAAATGCCAAGGATAAAACATAGACTCTGGAAGTAAATTGACAGTGAGTTCTGTAAATATTATCAAGACACACCTAGAGGTCGTTGAGGTAGAAATCAGAGCCGGAATTCTCGAGTCATTCAAATTTAACCCCAGGACAAAAGACAAACGGACGCTAAAATGACCGCGTAATGCATGTGTTTGTTTCAATTTTGCGCATAATAGTAAATATCAAGCGGACTTTGATGTGTCTAAGGAAGATGTCGCATCAATCTGTGCGCATTAAATAATTTAACCACATTAAACGGCCTATTTTATAACTTTGAGACGCATTAATTTGTTGCCGGCTCCTGTACTGATGAAGAAAGTTCCCTAAACTTACCGTCCATAGCACGACATACTTGGGCGAGGCATGGTCCGCCCTCGCACATGTCACGAAACATATAGCAATTTATATGATAATTGAGAAATGTTTTCTGTTTTACTTAAAGAGATCTGCCGAGGTTGACTCCCTCTGTCTTGGGAAGGTTATAGCTGACATTTAGACGGAAAAATTACATGTTTGGATGAAAATATTTTAGTGAGCACGTGCGCCTCCCGAAAATGAAGTGATATTAACTCAACCAATAAAAACTGTGGGATTGCATGATAAGAAAAACGTTGTTTATTTAATACACGTGGAAGTTACTCCTCTACAAAAAACAGACTGTTTGCCTCGCTACTGATGTTCTCGCACACTATACTAAGTGGTTTGTTTACCAATTTCTTACGCTTTTCTTCTGATCTAACTATGGTAACTCCATAAATGTGGAATAAAATGAAGACCTTCCTTGTCTTCACTTCATTGTCTTACCACTGGGCCATCTAAAAATATACATCTTACGTACTTCAACATTCTATAAATAAAAATCTTACGTACATTTTAGAAGAGTTGGAAGTTTCCCAAATTTTATTTTTGGGAATAACGAGCAAATCTTTTGTTCCGAAATAAAGCATGTAAGGATTTTTTCAAACAATGATACCTCTAACCCATGGTATTATAGGAATTTGTGTATTAGTAAATTGGGTAAATAAAGTGGGAAAAGCCCGAGAATGGTAGAGGGATAAAAATTTGTTCTCAGAATAACTCTGCTCTCTTTCTAAACCAGTGGTTTGTAATAAGATAAAAACCGTCCAGTCGTGTTTGACTTCTTTCTCTGTTTTGTGTTATACTCGATAATGACTCGATCTTGTATAAAGCACATTGTCGTGCGCCTTTGAACTTTTGTGCATAAACACCATCGTAATCTGACTTTAATAGGTAAACAAGGTGAGTAGAAGTCATCTAAAATCTCGAGGGGCGTGTCACCAGTTTCTTTAGTCTTACAGTAGGGCCCACAGATTGCCGCCGAGGAGTCTGTGTGAAATGTATTCTCCTGTAGCTCATACTAGGCTCACCATTGTATCATTCACGTACGGTACACAATAACCACTGTGTTTTGAAAGTGACAAATTGGTAAAGGTTACGGAAAGCCACTTTCTGTAAAATGACTTCTTGACAAACCCTTAGAGATTATGAAGACTTCATAAGAAAAGGATTATGCGATTTTATTATTCAGGAGAATAGGAAAGCGTTGTGTAGGCTGAAGTTTTCAAACTTGAATAAAATATGTCGGACCTGAGATATGGGGGAGGGGAGGGGGGGGCATAAAGATGGTGCGTAAACAGCCCATTATTTCATCTTTTGTTATTGTACATATAACACAAATATTCTTTTCAATGTTTAGGTCACTAGTATATGAATTTGCTTCAATTTTCATATTTTTCTTTTCACTCGCCATTGCTTACCCGCCGACAATTATCGAAATTACAAAATCGTGTTTCAGACAGTTTTGATTTCATTTAAGCGCGTCACCGATGCTCCACGAACAGCTAAGTTGTATTTGCTGTTTTAAGTTCTTACCCGTCGACTTACGGACGCCTACAATTCAACAAGATTGCAAACTGAGCTGCCAACCTCTAAGTTGTTAGTTACACAGGCAGATGGTTTATCATAGCATATAGAAAAAATCCGGAAAGACCTGTAGTATACGTTGAGGGTGTGATTTACATTTTTGCCGCGGAATAAGCTGATCTGGACTCTTTAACAGGGAAATACGCTTCATTCACATTCTGTTGCACATGATCTTTTTTTTTTAAATATTTCATAACTCCTAAATTTTTGGCGTCATGGCTAAGATGTCTTTATCACTCATATATTAAAAAGACGACATGCGTTTGTCCAGAATGTGAGGAAAAAGGCATACAGGTATTTGGGTTTCACGGTCTGTGGCGTCGTTGACAGAATAAGTGTGCTCCGTTTGTTTACATGGGCATTATATGAAATAGTCAGTTGAAGAGAACTCGATTTATTTATTGAATTGAACGAACTCAATCTATCGATAGCAGTAATTGCTTTGATTATGTCACCTTATAGTCAACCATGTATCTCAACTAAATTGCTATAGGCGTTGAAACGACGCCAAGGAAAACCTAATACAAATTAATATACCTTTGGTCGAATAGACTAAAAGGAGCAATTGAAACTGTGATACATTATTCACCTTCAGAATTGATTTACAACTGTCAAATTAATTCTTGGGCAATTGACGAAATCACAACGGGGGCAATTCGGTATGATCGCCCGCAGATTAATGTTACAATAATACAATTTTCTAACAATTGCCATTCAGACTTCTATAAGCAAATATTGGTCGTAGCCAAAATGGTTACATTTGTGAAATGCGGGTTATTTTCTAAACAAACTAACATGGAGAAAGAGTACACACTTTCCGGCAGTGCAGTCAAGAATAAGTAGGTCTGTGTCCTAAGCTCCCACTTTAAAGAAACAAATATTTGTAACCGCAGAGACAATGTCCACTAGCACAGACAAGGGGAAAGTCTGTCGCTACATTCCTTTACATCCCACAATACCGTAATCCGGGATTGCTTACTGTCATCTTTGCCTCCCCTGGGGCTAAAAAAAATCGACGTTAACTCACTGTCGATACTGATATGATTTTACAGATTTTTCATTGGTTGATTTTGACGATGCAAGTGGGGGGTGGGCACACTTTCTAAAATATTTTGCGTCGTTTCGGCCGTGAGACAAAAATAAGAATATTATACAGGGCAAAGAAAGAGATGAAATAAGAAGTTTGGTTTTGTGCCGTTAAGCTCGTTTCTCGACTCACAAATCGTTTTAATCAGTAGGCCTAAGCACACGGGCAGCCTCCCCCCTCCCGCGCTAAAGGACCGATACGCACAAAAAAGTGTGCGTGTAGTTGGGTGGGTGGGGTGAATGTAAACATTTTTTAACACTCGACATTTGAAAATACGAGAACATGTGTGGCCGCGTCCCATATAATACTAAGGCCCGGGTAAAACGGTCCTGTATTTAGAGTGCAAACGAAATTTTAACATTAAAAATGAGTTTATTGTTTCTGGTGAAATTTTGTTAATTTCAAACAAAGCATTTTTCGTTAAAAGTCGGTGGGGATTCGTGTTGAGCGAGTAGGGCCTACCTTTGTCAAATCAAAATCCACCTAAATGTCTTCCTAGTGGTTAAAATAGTAGGCCCCTATAACTAGTTTCGTTACATCATTTCGCAACGCGACGCAAACAAAACGCATGTTTTTGCACAGCGTGTTGAGTTTTAATTATTGACTGTGTCGTCCATGCTGAAAGCGCTCGGTTTGAGAAAGCCTGGTGCACCCATTCATATCTTATCTACAGTTGACTGACGCTAGCTGACCTTAATCCCCACTCAGGCGGTAGTAACTGACGGCCATGTTTTAGACCCTCTCTCCTATTGTACACGATTCGGACGATTGTATCAACCGGTCTGCTGGATTCCACTGTTATACAGGGTGAGTTATACATTCAGTTACAAACATGTCGTAAGCAAATGTTTCAAGATACACTGTACGTGTTAACTCCGGGTGTGGTTGCCGGACATGCTGCCTCAGTTCCAACTACTGGGTATTTTACGACAAATAGTCTATTCAGCCTTAAAGAGAACGTACAATCGCTGCACAATCCACACGACCTAAGTCAAATAGGTGGTCAGACTCACACACTAGCCTGCACTGCGCTCGCCAACCATTGTAATCCTTGCTATTAATACACGTAGCAGGACCAGTTGAGTTACAAAGCTTTAACCAGCTGGCTCGGAATTAAGCATTTACGCATGCGCGAAGTACATTTTTGCAGCAGTGTTGCCACATTAAAAACGGGGTATCAAATTAGTTCTCCCAAAATAACTTAATACAGCATATATATTTGTTTACATGTAGAAAGAGACAATTTTTTAAAAACTGTATGTATAATACTGCATTCTGGTGCATTTAAACAGTTATTTATTGCTTNGCAGGGGAGGGGGGCATAACGATGGTGCGTAAACAGCCCATTATGTCATCTTTTGTTATTGTACATATAACACAAATATTCTTTTCAATGTTTAGGTCACTAGTATATTAATTTGCTTCAATTTTCATATTTTTCTTTTCACTCGCCATTGCTTACCCGCCGACAATTATCGAAATTACAAAATCGTGTTTCAGACAGTTTTGATTTCATTTAAGCGCGTCACCGATGCTCCACGAACAGCTAAGTTGTATTTGCTGTTTTAAGTTCTTACCCGTCGACTTACGGACGCCTACAATTCAACAAGATTGCAAACTGAGCTGCCAACCTCTAAGTTGTTAGTTACACAGGCAGATGGTTTATCATAGCATATAGAAAAAATCCGGAAAGACCTGTAGTATACATTGAGGGTGTGATTTACATTTTGGCCGCAGAATAAGCTGTTCTGGACTCTTTAACAGGGAAATACGCTTCATTCACATTCTGTTGCACATGATCTTTTTTTTAATATTTCATAACTCCTGAATTTTTGGCGTCATGGCTAAGATGTCTTTATCACTCGTATATTAAAAAGACGACATGCGTTTGTCCAGAATGTGAGGAAAAAAGCATACAGGTATTTGGGTTTCACGGTCTGTGGCGTCGTTGACAGAATAAGTGTGCTCAATTTGTTTACATGGGCATTATATGAAATAGTCAGTTGAAGAGAACTCGATTTATTTATTGAATTGAACGAACTCAATCTATCGATAGCAGTAATTGCTTTGATTATGTCACCTTATAGTCAACCATGTATCTCAACTAAATTGCTATAGGCGTTGAAACGACGCTAAGGAAAACCTAATACAAATTAATATACCTTTGGTCGAATAGACTAAAAGGAGCAATTGAAATTGTGATACATTATTCACCTTCAGAATTGATTTACAACTGTCAAATTAATTCTTGGGCAATTGACGAAATCACAACGGGGGCAATTCGGTATGATCGCCCGCAGATTAATGTTACAATAATACAATTTTCTAACAATTGCCATTCAGACTTCTATAAGCAAATATTGGTCGTAGCCAAAATGGTTACATTTGTGAAATGCGGGTTATTTTCTAAACAAACTAACATGGAGAAAGAGTACACACTTTCCGGCAGTGCAGTCAAGAATAAGTAGGTCTGTGTCCTAAGCTCCCACTTTAAAGAAACAAATATTTGTAACCGCAGAGACAATGTCCACTAGCACAGACAAGGGGAAAGTCTGTCGCTACATTCCTTTACATCCCACAATACCGTAATCCGGGATTGCTTACTGTCATCTTTGCCTCCCCTGGGGCTAAAAAAAATCGACGTTAACTCACTGTCGATACTGATATGATTTTACAGCTTATTCATTGGTTGATTTTGACGATGCAAGTAGGGGTTGGGGGGGGGGGGGCACACTTTCTAAAATATTTTGCGTCGTTTCAGCCGTGAGACAAAAATAAGAATATTATACAGGGCAAAGAAAGAGATGAAAAAAGTTTGGTTTTGTGTCGTTAAGCTCGTTTCTCGACTGACAAATCGTTTTAATCAGTAGGCCTAAGCACACGGGCAGCCTGCCCCCTCCCGCGCTAAAGGACCGATACGCGCAAAAAAGTGTGCGTGTAGTTGGTTGGGTGGGGTGAATGTAAAAATTTTTTAACACTCGACATTTGAAAATACGAGAGCATATGTAGCCGCGTCCCATGAGTGCAACCGAAATTTTAACATTATAAATGAGTTTATTGTTACTGGTGAAATTTTGTTAATTTCAAACATAGCATTATTCGTTAAAAGTCGGTGGGGATTCGTGTTGAGCGAGTAGGGCCTACCTTTGACAAATCAAAATCCACCTACATGTCTCCCTAGTGGTTAAAATAGTAGGCCTAGGCCCCTATAACTAGTTTCGTTACATCATTTCGCAACGCGACGCAAACTAAACGCATGTCTTTGCACCGCGTGTTGAGTTTTATTTATTGACTGTGTCGTCCATGCCGAAAGCGCTCGGTTTGAGAAAGCCTGGTGCACCCATTCATATCTTATCTACAGTTGACTGACGCTAGCTGACCTTAATCCCCACTCAGGCGGTAGTAACTGACGGCCATGTTTTAGACCCTCTCTCCCATTGTACACGATTCGGACGATTGTATCAACCGGTCTGCTGGATTCCACTGTTTTACAGGGTGAGTTATACATTCAGTTACAAACATGTCGTAAGCAAACGTTTCAAGATACACTGTACGTGTTAACTCCGGGTGTGGTTGCCGGACATGCTGCCTCAGTTCCAACTACTGGGTACTTTACGACAAATTCACCGAACATAGTCTATTCAGCCTAAAAGAGAGCGTACAATCGCTGCACAATCCACACGACCTAAGTCAAATAGGTGGTCAGACTCACACACTAGCCTGCTCTGCGCTCGCCAACCATTGTAATCCTTGCAATATAGAGGGCACGTAGCAGGACCAGTTGAGTTACAAAGCTTTAACCAGCTGGCTCGGAATTAAGCATTTACGCATGCGCGAAGTACATTTTTGCAGCAGTGTTGCCACATTAAAAACGGGGTATCAAATTAGTTCTCCCAAAATAAATTAATACAGCATATATATTTGTTTACATGTAGAAAGAGACACATTTTTAAAAACTGTATGTATAATACTGCATTCTGGTGCATTTTAACAGTTATTTATTGCTCAATCAGAAGTCAGAAATTGTGGGTTCATTTTGCCATAAGTACAGTCATTTTTTCAACACAACACGCCTTTGTAAACAGATTGTTGAATGATTGTCTAGTGGCCATGAGTGCATTTTCTCACAGAATTGATGCCAACTTTGCAATTATTTTTTTTCACCCTTGCGATTATTTTTTTGCACCTCAAATCCGAGGGGGGGGGGNAAATTTTTTTTTTTCCCCCTGCGATTTTTTTTTTGCCCCCCAAAACCGGGGGGGGGGGGGGGCGCCCCCCCCCCCCCCCCCCGGAGGCTACGCCCCTGTAACTGTTATTGGTAATTTATTATTTTTTCTTTGCATTTTGTTCCTTTGGATCACAGTGTAAGACGAAAAATATCCAAGGAAATGTGGGCGTGGCTGGTGGTACCCTCTCAGGAGATTGCGCACTCTCGTAGACATCACCTGTCTGAGCCCCTCGTAGACATCACCTGTACTGAAATCAGAGTGATGTTCCAGTTGAGTCCAGCGTTCTTTGTGGCAATTATTTCTAAAAATTCCTTTTTGAAGTCACTTATTCATCACTGAAAATTGTGGAATTCTGCCAAGTAGGGTTTCAAGTGAAGAAGAAATCCAACACATATAACAGGCTACTTTCCGTAAGGTGATTGTCTCCTTATAAACACTGAAAATCGTGTGCTGCTACTGCTGGCATGGAGACAAGAACGGTAAATCAGACCATCAACAGCAGACAACATGGTACTATATCGTGCATGTATGTAGTAGTTGTAGCACTATTGTGTATTCGGTATATAAACTGCAGTGTCGCGACAAGTATATCTGTTTATACTGAACTGTAATTGCTAAAAGGCACAACTACATTACCACCTATCAAGACCAGCGCAAATCTTCTGCATTTTTAAAACTTATATACCAGTTCGTCGTTGCATTACCGTTTGGTAGATAAAATTGATTTATCATTTAATTAAAACATAATAAATTATTTTCGTTTTAGAAAAAATGTCTGAGACAGATGTACCTTTCGTCGGACACGAAAGATTGTCCAAAATCGATGCAAACAGCAGCCCTGAAACCCTGCGGAAGATCTATGACGCGTGGGCCAGAAAATACGACGCCGACACTACTGGACATCTAGGCTACGTGGGCCCGGTAGAGGGAGCCAGGAAACTAGCGGAATGGGTGCCCGACAAGAAGGCCAAGATATTAGACGCCGGGGCCGGCACGGGAATGTCTGGTGCCGCCCTGCACGAGTGGGGCTATTCCAACTTAGACGCTTTGGATATTAGCGCGGAGATGTTGGTTGTGGCAGAGGAAAAGGGAGCATACAATCACCTGTTTCAGGATAATATGGCTGGACCCGAGCCCTTGAAGCTGCCTTCCAATGATTATGATGCTATTTTGGTGGTTGGAACTTTCACAAAAGGTCACGTCCATGCCGACGCATTAGACGAGCTAATTCGTGTCACCAAACCTAACGGACTAATTGTCTTCACTCTGCGCCCCGACATGTGCGACGACCCGGCCTACGGATTTACAGAGAAACTGCCCAAAATAGAAGCAGAGAAAAAAGTGGAACTCCTCTCCAAGACCACTGAAAAGTATCACTTAAAGCACGATAAGATAAATTGTTACATGTATGTATACAAAGTCCTCAAGTAGCACAGAACTTAATTGGGGGCATCGTTGCTATTTTGAATTGGCATTTTAGAGTTCTCCGCCGTCACCTACCTCATTTCTCCCATGCACCAGAACGTATGAAATCACTGCTGTGAGTGAGGATCAGTGCACCCTCTCTGACCACAAAAGCGAAAAAAAAAAAAAAAAAAAATTTCTCTCAAGGCTACCTCTGGGAAATCGGAGCTATCTGATGACTCTTTTAAATAGACGGGAATTTCAGTAAAAGTGCACATACTAAGGGACAGACTTACTTGACTTACGTATTAAATGGGATTAGTGACGTAAATTAAGTTTTAAATCTAAAAACGGACTTGTATTTTATTCTGATAAATAAAGATGTATCAATTACATTTGCACGTTGAATATTGAAAGACGAAAGACAACTGTTTCAATCTTTAAAATAAATCTGTAGGCAGCAAAAGTATGTTTCATATATATATGTCCATCCTAGCGTAAGCGAACACCCTATGTTCAAATATTCAGCGAAAGATAAGGATTTGGGCCGTTAAACCAAACTCCACGTGGAAGTAGACTTTGCACCTCTAGTGCCTTACAGACAAAGGAACATGAATGTATACATATATATATGTATATATGATATATACATGTATATAAACTGCAGTGCCGTGACAAGTGTAACAAAGCAAACTTTGCAAACCTGAATCGCGCATTTTCTAGTCCTTGTATCACAAATGTAACTAATGACAGTCTTGGGAAACGCTTCAATATAAACGCTAGTGTGTACGATAATACATATTTAAATTAAATGTACTTATTGTACCCATGATGTTTTTAAGAGTAACACCCCATTTCCATTGATTAGATCGTCCTACTTTAGATCGACCTAACTCCCTGGGGGTTCACGCTAAATAGCTGTCAGCCGGGCGGACACCAAAGTTAATTACCCCCTTATAGCTTGTAGTAGGCGGGACGGACATTTAAGTCGGATTATCTGAAAGTAATCTAGTGAGACTCCCCGCGGGGATAGATCGATCTAAATCTATGGGAATAGAGCCTAAGACTTTACCTGGTAGTAATAAATTGAAGTGTTAAGTCAGACTAAATGATAAATTCCAAACGATTATCATTTAATTAAAATATTTATTTACAAAGATGATGTTCAATGTAAGTTGTACATGAATTATTGTAGAAAACACTGTTTTAAACTTTGCTAAATTATGTTTGAATCATAAAGGAGCAAAACCTTTAAATAAAAAAGCAAAACAAAAAGAGTTCAATCTTTAAGATTACCACTTCACAGTGCACATATCTTCAGTATGTTATACAATCAATACTTATATCACAACTATTATGTATATATACAAATGTTTCACACTGGACCAAATGGCACTGGATGGTGTCATCGTGTTTCAGATAATTCCACCTCAGCTATTTTTGACAGTATTTTACACAGTCTTGCCAGTACACTAGATCCTCAGGGTCATATCTACATGTCACTTATTCCTAGGATTGTCCTGCCAGACCTTGAAGTTCCGGGAGAGATATCTGTACCAGTTTATATCCACCAGAGATCCATGCTGTGCTTATTTCTGATGTTTAGCCCCCTGTGGGGTGCTGGGTTTGGGAGGGAGTGCTATCAGCCTGGGCCTGGTGGTGATGTTGTATTCCCTATTGAAGGCCTCATTTACAATGTTTGTCAAAGTGTTTTCAAGCAGATGTTCCAGAGTTGAGCTGAATTCTGGTAATCTGAAAGCAGAGACAGGTTACACCAATGAACTAAGCACTACAATCATTTGGAATTTTCTTTATGAAGTAAGTCCTCATCTAAAATCAAGTATATTACACTGTTTTCATTTACATGCATGTTTTGGTGATGAATTGCTAAACAGGCAAACAGGTGAACCATTGTAAAATAAATACAATTAAAATTGACTAAACAAGTCCAACTTTAAGCACCAGTGACTTGGAAGTACCCCTAACCTTACCTCTGTAATGCTTCTCTCTCCTTCAGTCGTTTCTCCTCCTGAAGGCTCTTCTCCACCTCGTCCTGTGTGCGCCGGTGGTGTTCAGGGACAGATGACGCCACTGATGCCACTTCAACCTGAATATTGCAAACAAACAGTCTCACAGGCCATCAAAATATATATATGAATTTGATATGTAGTATCTAAACTGACAACACAATAAACAAAAAAATTACACAATCATTTGAAAAAAATTTCCCTTTTAAAACCTGAGCATATTTTTAAAAAACTAACTTCAAATCTAACTTCAAATCTTCAACTGGATTAAAACTTAAAGGTATGTTACACAGCATACAGATATGTAAACACGTACCTGCTCGCCCAGACCCTCGGTTGAGTGGTCTGATGGTGATGGTGATGGTACATAGCCTGTCCTAGCGGGGGTGGGAGGACGATCACCAGGGGCAGTGGTAGGAGCACGAGTGGACGGGACAGTTACAGTCTTTGGTCTACCTTCACCAAGTTGAGTGAAGTATGGGATTGGCTCATCTGATATCTTTTTCACTGCTTCATGGAAGTCTACATCATCCAGTAGACCTCTGAAATCATATGTGAGGCATGGTGTCATCATGCGTATAGACTGATATTAAAAATATTTTCTGTTATTGCAATAATAGGTGAAAATACTGTAAATATTTGTTTTATAAAGATTTTATATTAAAAAAGAAGAAACTTGACAAGATCAAGTCTTGCTAGTAAGTGTGATTATTTCAATTTTAAACCCATCTAGATATTGGTTTTTTATTTCTCTCTTTTTCATTTTCATTTCTTTTTTCTTGGTAGTAGATGTGCACATATGCTGTGTCTGCAGAAACCGCTCATGAAGAAATTAAATGTATTTCCCCCTTTTTAAGCAGCCTACCTCAATACATTGCTAACTACTCCAGTTACAATGTCAGCCTCTATATCTGAGCACTCCACAGGTTCTTGTTTCTCCTTAATCTCCTCTGTCCTCTTCTCTACCTCCTTCTGGAGTTTGTCACCAAGGGTCCTAGGTGGGGAAAATCATCCATTGGTTTTAATCATTATCTATGCTTATTATTTATTTTCATGCCAAGCAAGATGTGAAACAATGGATTACCTTTACCAGTCCTTTACAAATATTGGATACTTAGATTTATGATGTTTTTGCACTCACAGTAGCTCAATAACATTAAAATGTTACCATGGTTGGTGCAAAAATATGTCCCTATTACCTCTAACCAACTACCCTGACACCAGAAAACTAAACCCACCTTATTTAAATGGTAGAACCACTACTATTAATTCACTGATCTAATTATGATCACTGTACTGCAAAAAAACTTTTGTTCTAGAAATAAATTTGTACTATTCTTTTTTTTTTTTAATTTGATACCATGCCTTTAATGCAAGTAAAGTTTACTTACAAGTTAAGCTAGGGTATATAAATATATCATCCTATACTTTTTTCAGTAAAAGATTAAGAAAATAATCTTTCAACCTAACAAACCTACCTGTCCACAAATGTGCTCTTGAGCAAATCTGGAAAGTTGACCTGGAAGTCATCAATGTTATGGGTCCTGGCTGTCACTCCCAGGTGGATCAGGAAAGGCTCTGGTGGGGATGGTTTCTGCCAGAACTGATCATGAAGCTTCCCAACTAGTTGTTGTCTTTCTCGCTCGAGGTCAGCAGAGCTGTGTTTGATAGGGGGTAGAGTCTGCAGAGAGATATAGACAGCATACTTCAACACTACACCTCACACAAGATGGCAAAGGTATTAAGATAAAGTATATGAATTAATAAATAATTGAATAAATAAAGTTTTTACTCACAGAATATTTGATGAGGTCAGCCTCGGACTCCACCCTGTTTCCATTGAGCGCCTTAAGTCTTCCACTTGGAGGCCTCTCCTGGAAGATAAAGAACTGCTTGAAAACTTCTTGTAACTTTCCAATACTGTGACTACATGTATCTATGTGTTTTCCTCTGATCACAATATACAGGTAATGGTAACCAGCTCAAACTAGCCTCAACCCCCGATTCCTTACCTCCACATTCAGCACAGTGTGATCTGTGGTGAGGTCTTTCTCTGTGATGGTAAACTCATACATCTGGCGGTATTTTTCTTCATCCCATTCCTTCATCTTTTTCCTATAGACTGCCATCTCTGTCTCATCAGTGACCTGAGGGAGACACAATCAAGTTTTGTGTGCAAAGAAAGCTTTACTATATGAGTATAGTCTTCTTTACAGATTGAAAAGAATTCCCCCAAATTTCTAAGCAGGAAGAAGTACATGTATATAAAAATGTTAAAATTGCACTAACAAACATTCTGACACTTACAAAATAAAGATCAAAATTGGGAATTGTCTGGATCTAAATTATGGAATATTTATTTTCATAGGGTAGGCTAATATTATATATCTTGGAAAAAAATGAAAAAAGCTACAATAAAAGACAATAACCAAATGTCAGCCAGGAAATGTTAGTTGCTCATCAGTTCATCAGTAGAAACAAGACGAGTTAATTATTCTCCTACCACAGCATAATCCTATGCATATTATTGCAAGGGAAAAATTAACCGTTAATCTTACCTCACACACCAGGTCAAGGTCATAAAAGGAGGGTGTTCCACATGCTGTGAAAGTGACCTTACACATGTGTGACTGGCCTGGCTGTAAGGTGCCCTTGGCTGGCTGTATGCTCAATATCTGACTGTCTCCAGGAATTGTGACATGCCACTCATAAGATACCACATGGTCCAGAGACTTGTTGGTCAAGTTGACCATCTGTCTGGACTGGCTGAACAGTGGCAGGTTGCCCATGCTGATTCTTTCTTGGTTTAGGTACAGGAGCTGGAAAATATTAAAATCAAAAAAGGTTTTAACATAATCTCTAAACAAAAAGCAAAATTGTAGCAGAAGAAATTCCTATGCTAATTCTATTTTGAGACACTTATTGAAGAGAACTGAAAAACCAAAGTGATGAAAATAATCAAATAAAACTTTATTCAGCAGGTGTAGTACTGTTCAATTTGAAGAATAATTTCATTAGTCCTTGATTTGCAGATGTTTGTATAAGACTTACTTTGGTTAAATATAAGTTAAATATTGGTTAAACCTGTATATAATAAAGTTGATTGCTTTGCCCAGTTAATGAATTATATGTGGGAATAAAACTAATTAAGTAAAGTTACCTGTCCAGGCACAGGTACACTCTGTACAGCAGGGACACCTGACAGGTCATGCTGGTCAGTGATGGGCATGGTATCCCCCATCACACGCCGGTCATAGCCCACCCCAGTGAACGTGATCAGGGCACTGTCTCCATTGTGGACAAGGATTGGAACATCAACCTAAACAACAACAGTAACAACTGTTACATCATGGTTACAATGTTGCCAT